GAGGGCTCCAGATGGGGAGACGGAGTAGTACAGGTACCCAGCTGGAACCCCCGGGAGGACCGTTCCCCCATTACGGGCGGCCCGCTGGAGATTGCGTGGATCGCCCATTGCCAGACGGGTTCCCCTGAAGTCTTCCAGGGGAAAAAACTCTGCTGAGTCCTTCTTTGGTCGCGTCATTCTGTCAGGGACGTGGGTGGGAGGCAGGACTCAAACGCAGAGTTGTCAGGAAACACAAAGACTTTAATAGTCAAAAGGCCAAAAACACAGGAACCGGGAGGAAAAACAGCAGGCAACATGTGTGACGAAAGACAATGACGCGACAAGTGACACAAGAGACACACGGCTTAAATACACAAGGGAGGTGCAGGTGATTGGACACAGGTGGAAACTATTAGACAATCACAGGGGATGACGGGACAAGGCAGGAAGTGAAGTTACCCGGGGACACGAGTGGCAGAAAACTACAAAATACAACAGGGAGTGAACCACACCGTGACAGACACACTGGGAGCCAATGTAAGGATTTAAGAATTGGTGTAATGTGCTCACATTTTTTGGTCTTTGTTAGAACTCTAGCAGCAGCGTTCTGAACAAGCTGGAGCTGCCTGACAGTTTTTTTTGGAAGACCTGCAAGGAGACCATTACAATAGTCTAGCCTACTAGTTATAAAGACACGTACAAGTGTTTCTAAGTCTTGAGCTGACATGAGCCCTCTAAGTCGTGCTACATTTTTGAGGTGGTAGTAGGCCCATTTTGTTACTGATTTGATGTGACTCTCCAAGTGTAAATCTGAATCCATAATAACCCCCAGATTTCTGGCTTTATTTGATGTTTTCAGGGACAGAGAGTGAAGGTGTTGGGTTACTTTAAACCTTTCTTTTTTAGAACCAAATACAATGATCTCAGTTTTGTCTTCATTTAGTTGTAGGGAATTTTGACACATCGAGTCTTTGATTTGCTCAATGCACTGGCACAGAAGATCTATGGGGCGATAGTCGTTTGGTGATAGCGCTACATAGATTTGGGTGTCATCAGCGTAGCAATGGTGGTCAATTTTATTTTTTTGCATGATTTGTCCTAGTGGGAGCATGTAGATGTTGAATAAAGTCGGCCCTAAGATCCAACCTTGGGGGACTCCACACGTTACGTCGGTTGTTTCTGATACGAAGTCACGAATGGAAACAAGATAGTTCCTGTCTTGTAGATATGACCTGAACCAGCTTAAGACTGTGCCTGAGAGCCCCACACAGTTTTCCAACCTGTCCAGAAGTATTGAGTGGTCGACAGTATCAAATGCAGCACTGAGGTCTAATAGCATTAATATTGAAGTTTTGCCAGAGTCTGTGTTAAGACGGATGTCATTTACAACTTTAATAAGGGCCGTCTCGGTGCTATGAAGAGGTCGAAATCCTGACTGGAAGTTGTCGTGGCAGCCAGTTGAAGCCAGGAAGTGATTAAGTTGTTGTAGGACAACTTTCTCAATTATTTTACTTATGAAAGGTAGATTTGAAATTGGTCTGTAGTTGTTGATAATAGAGGCATCTAGGCTCCGCTTTTTTAGGAGAGGTTTAATAACTGCAGTTTTGAAAGCTTTTGGGAAATGTCCTGTCTGAATAGAGTTATTAACTATTTGCAATACGTCTGTTGCTAGGCAGTCAAAAACATTCTTAAAGAAGTTGGTAGGTAGAACATCAAGACAGCAGGTGGATGGTTTTAAATTTGTTACCGTTTCCACTAGAGTTTGAGAGTCTATGGCATTAAAGCTTGTCATCATTGCTGTGTTACTTTTGCCTAAATAGGGTGGTGATCCAACATTTTTGTTTGAGATATTAATGGCGCGTCTGATGCCTTCAATTTCATCAGTAAAAGAACGCAAACTCATTGAATTTCTGTGTGGAATGGAGTTCAGGTGGTATTTGTGTCGGGGGGTTGGTCAGTCTGTCAACAGTTCCAAATGGGGTTTTTGCCTTATTAGTGTTGTTGTTAATGATGTTGGAGAAGAATGTTTCCCTAGCACTTTTTAAGTCTAAATTGTAGGCCCGGAGGCGCTCTTTATAGATGTCATGGTGAATATGAAATTTTGTATTCCGCCAGATTCGTTCAGCCTTCCTGCACTCTCTTCTCTGGGCTGTTACAACAGCAGCTTTTCTCCAGGGTGCCTTTTGCTTACTAGAACTGGTTTTAACCGTAACAGGTGCAATGTCATCTATAACATTCAAAATTTTGGAATTAAAGTTGTTTACAAGATTATCAACATGACATGGGATTAGAGGTGGTAACGAGGAGATGACATTTTTAAAGAGTACATTAGTATGTTCATTGATGTACCGTTTTAGAACTTTTCTTACACTCATTCTTACATTAAATGTGTACAGCCCATGAACTCCTTCACCAGCACTATAAGTGTAAAGTGGTTTCCTCTTTCCAATGCATATATAGTTTGTTTTATCAACAATGTTGTTCCTAAAGGACATTCTCATTGGTCCCAACCAGCTTCACAATGGCTCTTTGCACTTCGTTTGGATTCCAGAATTCTATCTCTCCTCCAAATTGATCCATCATCTGCAAACACATTTTCTACCAATACGTAATGCAATCCGCTTCACACTTGGGACAACTCTGTTTATCTTTCTGACTGCTGCTATATGCCTGTAGCTCTGGATTTATAGCAGCGAAGGCGGGGGAGGAATGTAGGACCTCACTGGGAAACTCGTCATCAGATTTGTGGCGCCTGTTGAGAGGCCTGTCCTCCCTTAACCAAAAAGAAGGGTTGGCGATTGGATCCCGGCTCTGCCTGTTGCATGTTGGGGTGTAGGGCAAGACACTTAACCCCAAGTTGCTCCCGTAGGTGTGACTATGTAAAGTTCATAGTTTCAATGTTACCTACTAACGGTCAGGTGTCGTATCTCCATACACACCTGGAGTGTAAAAGCGCTCTGAATGACATGAAAAGCGACCACCAAAATTATTTTTTAACTTGTGCCTCCAATACGGCCACCATGCGCCCCATGAGTCCAAGCAGGGATTGTGTGTCCGCTCTCATGTCCTGACACAAGGCATTATCCATTGCCTTGCTGTGCAGCAGGAACCTCTCATCTGCCCTTTCCAGATATTGAAGGATTTCCGAGGTACCATCTCTCTTCCTTTTTCCTGTGTAGAACAATAATAATAAAAAACGAATACAGATCGTCAAGGTGTTGTCATAGCATCGCAAATAGTTGTTTTCAGCAGAGAATTACGCATGTGTATCTGCTATATTGATTATATTAAAAAAAAAGTATAGCATTATACTACATCAATAACACTTCAGATTTTGCTCATGTCCCGTAATAAACAGTATATCAACATTATATAGTATATAGCAAATTAATATCAGAACGACTTTATATTCTATTCTAAACTTTTATAAAAAGACATTTTAGGTAATATAATTGAATTTTGACATAAAGCATTTTGTATTGCTGTTCAGAAGTTAAATGAAGAAAAACATAAATATAAAACAATGTTTCAGTGCATCACAGTAATATACAATGTGTGTAATATATATGTAATATATAAGATATATATATATTACAGACACATCTCAATGTTTGCATAGTGTATGGTGTGATAATTTGAACATACCCCGTTCTGAAGATTTGCTACACGACGGCACGGGGGAGCTGCAGCCCAGCGGTGGCGGCAACTCAACGTTGTCTTCACGGTCGTTGATGGCAGACAGTTCTATAAACATACACACAAGATGACAGTGCTTTAACAGCTAAGAAACATGCTAAGATAAGAACAAGTCAAATAAAAACTGAACTTGTCATGATCAAGGCAAATTTGCTGCGGCGAATCATCCAGCATTGACTCGAGCATTATTGTGGCCGAGCTCAGCCCCCCGGTCACCTGGCATGCCGGCCTATCGCCGGGAACACAGTCGAGAACGTTGAAATGTGGATTTTGTCGCGGGCGCCCATTGCCGCTTCGACCGAGGTCCTTTTTTTGGTACCTATAGTCTTTAGTTTTTTTTAGTTTGTTTGTTATCTGGACGAGGCTCCGGTCAAAACCAGCTACAGCCATCTCTCTCTGAATCTGCTGCAAAACCGGTTTCGTCCGCGAAGCCCCATCTAACTTACTCAGGACTTCTGAAGAGGACCAGAGTGCAAGAAAGCAGCTTGTTTCCTCGTCTGACCAGTGCTGTTTTTGCCTAGTAGCGTCCATTGTGTTGTTGTTAGCTCGATTAGCTGCTATCGAAAAATGGCGGATCACAAAGTTTCGCTCGTCTTGTTGGTCACGGTAACCCCGCCCCCAGCCGCTGGCGTAAGCGGTTCTTACTTCTAGACCAGCAATGATATGGTGCTACTTAAGAACCACTTTTACTGGTTGGGAGCTGGTGCTTCGGTGGTGGAAAACCAAAGAACCGATTTGAAACTAGGCTCTGCTCCGAACTAGCACCAGTTCTGCCTTGGTGGAAAAGGGCCATGAGTGGATGAAGGACCAGGAGAGAGATAAACAAGCACATTTACCACTCAGAGTTTGTTGTGGTGTTCGTCTACAGGAATATTCATTCTCACTCTCTGTGTCCCTCAATTCTCACGCAGAGATTGGCCCAAAGATTATTTTGTTTTTCCTCTTCTTTTGCTCGACATAACAGTATTATCAATAGGATTGGAACCTTTAATGTTTATCAATAACTACATTTTTGCTTGCGGTTTTCACCAAAGTCATTGGGTTTCTAGATACGTCTAGAATATCTGTCACACACTTATTTAAACATGCTCATTTATTTTTCTTACTGTAGATCATGGCCAGCATGATTGAAACTACCCAGTAGCAGTCCCACCCAGTAATCTATCACCCAGTTTTAGATTGTAGCGGCTGTGCAGACTTTGGTTCCAGCCAAAGCATTTGTAAGCAGTTTACATTTCAATGAGGTCAGTGTTCTACATTTAAATGTACAATCATTCTGCATGAGCTCTTATTAAGATGCTTGAGTTGTGTTTCTTCTTTTGCAGATTTATCCTTTCAATCCCTTTTCATTCTTTAAAATGATTCCATCTCACTGAATCGTCCCAGTCATAAGTATGGAGCTGCAGAAGCTTTCCAATGGAAATCACCACTGTGACGAGGATGCACCTGTGGAGGGAGGGTACGTTTTCCGACACATTCTGAAGCCTTGGCGATTCATTTTTTCAAATCATTTCAGGTTTATATTTTTCTTTGTGATGGATATTACAGAATTGCACCAGAAGAAGAAAAGTTCCTGCAGCAGAGTGATGGATCAAAGAGACCTCAGTTCACAGATGTGAGTATGAGACAAAGGCTCAGTTCACTTATAGTACAATTGAGAAAGACAAATCACATTGATTTTTTACTTTTTTTTTTACTGTTATGGAACAGATCTTAGTCTACAGGTGGCCATAATGTGACTGCAAGTCCTCCATACAGTGGGCCACACAGCTTATGGCTTAACTATGACTGATCAGCACGTCTAATTACACCTTATCCTCTATTGTTTGGAGTCGGAGCGCGGTTGTCATGTCGACCAGCAGCCTGTGCCTGGTTCATTCATTCAGTTTCTGAAATAACGGTTAATTTAACTATATGATAAAAATATAGAGAAATATGCCTTTTTATATTAACAAAAGGGTAATGCGGGCTTTCTTATGGCAAGATGAAGGCCCAACATGTACAGATCATTTTTGGGAGAAATTTCATGACTTTATAGAATAGTGCACACTTGACATGCCAGAAAATTCTCCGGGAGGAAACCAGCCAGGGACATGATCAGTAACCCTCCAAGCCTCCAAGTCTGTTTAGAAGATGACATGAAAAACTCGGACCACGTCCACAAAGAATGTCCATACAACCCCTGACAGCGACTGGCATAACGTTGTTCAGGGGAACATTTTTATTAATTCCTGTGCTATCGGAGGTCTCCTGCATCAGGGGCCACATTTTGAGGACAGTAATAACGGAAGTCGGGGGTTTGACCAAAACAACCTTGTGTGAGCCCTGATCAGTTCAAGATATAATATGTACTATACCTTTATTACTGGCTTGTACCACTAAAAAGCCTGCAGATTAACGCAGTACTTATTGACTTACTGTAGTTAGTGTATAAAAAGTAAGTACTTACTGCATTAAAATACAGGACGTCCATCACATCCGATGTAAAAAAAGTACATACAGTTGTGGTCAAAAGTTTACATACACTTGTAAAGAACATAATGTCATGCCTCTCTTGAGTTTCCAGTTATTTCTACAACTCTGATTTTTCTCTGATAGAGTGATTGGAACAGATACTTCTCTGTCACAAAAAACATTCATGAAGTTTGGTTCTTTTATAACTTTATTATGGGTTAACAGAAAAAGTGACAAAATCTGCTGGGTCAAAAATAACGGGAAACTCAAGAGAGCCGTGACATTATGTTCTTTACAAGTGTACGTAAACTTTTGACCACAACTGTATCTAATATACGTTGTTGATGTGGTTTGTAATTAAGCTCTGAATTGCTTCTCAGGGATCTCGATTGGCTTTAGCTTTTTCACTTAGTCCAAATTTCTCCAATACCTGGAATAGAAAATTCCAGTTTACCCTCAAGAATGCCTTTTCTGCATCAAGGCTTATTAAGGATGCCGAAATGTTTTTACTATTAATGTGTTCAATTATATGTAGTGTTCTCCGTATGTCATCCTGGGTTTGGCGCCCCTTGATGAAGCCTGTCTGGTCCTCATCTATAATGTCCTTCATATCTTTTTGCAGTAATCGAGGTATACAAATTACAGTCTATATTAAGTACTGATATAGGTCTATACCCAGAGCAGCAATCACTATTTGTTAGGAATCACTGTTATTATGGGGATCTATTTGTTTACCCGCAGTTTGCTCTATTTCTCTTTTTGTAATAGGGGAGGTCAAAAGGTCGTTGTGATCAGTCCTAATTACTAGTAGGTCTAGTGTCTCTAGGAAAGTGTTAATTAGTTTTTTGTCAGCAGCTGGGGGTTGACTATACAAGTTTAGATAATAGTTCCTGAAAGTGTTTTCAATCTCTTTCAGTTCGTACAATATTACATTTGTTTCTGGATCCTTTATCTTATGTATCGTCCTGTCTGCCTGTTGTTTTTGCAGTCTTTTTGCCAATAATTTATTTGCTTTGGGTCCCACCTCGTAGTAGGATTGTTTAAAAAAGAATCCATAACATTTTTTTCTCCCGAGGTTTTAACTCAACGTTGAGATAAACTGCGCAGTGATCAGGCATGTCTGCTGTTCCAATTTCTCATTCCCTAACTCTGTGTATGTCCTTTTTATTCATAAAAAAGTAGTCAATTCTAGCGTAACTTGGGTCTTCATACGAAAATTATATTAAACAGAACATTATTCATAAGTATGCAGTATCATAACTACATCTCTTCCGTTTATAGCAAATTAAGCCGTTTGAAAATTGGTTATTATTATTTAAAGTACATGTACCACTACCAACACAATGTTATGGGTGAGCGAGCTGAACGTACAGAGATGGCTGCCATGTGCAGACGTCTAGCCTTTCATATAGGTCTATGGTCTGTCTAGCCTGCCCAAACAGGCAGGCAGGAACGAGAGGCAGGCCGGACGATTGACAATGACGCGACAAGTGACAGGAGACACACACGGGTTAAATACACCAGGGAGGTGCAGGTGATCGGACACAGGTGGAAACAATCACAGAAATCACCAGAAAACTACAAAATAAGACAGGAAATAAAACCACACCGTGACAGCCTCACTTAGAAGCCTACAGTTCAAACCTACCGAGGCCTGTGGGTCAGAGGGACAGAACGCAGCTCATGGAATGGCCGATACATGGTGAAGTAAACTAATTGGTAACCAGGAAATAGTTAACCCTCTGCCCACCATGTCCTGGGATAGAGAGAGAGATCTTTAGGATTGTATAAAACATAAGAGCAGTTTCTAAGCTGGAAACGCACAGCTGTGAATATTATGTTGCACTTCTACCGATTCATCTCCCTAAATGTTCAACTGTATTCAACATCATGCCATCTGTATGTCAATTTTTACATTTTGTACTGATCTACAATCACCATATTTACCTGATATTGTGTGTCGGTGCTTGTTTGGCTGCACACATATTGCAGCAATAAATAAACTAAACTGTTTTCACAATCCAGGAAACACGGACTTCTCCCCAAAATAGAACACCAATTTAAGAGACTGTATTGGACATGGCAGCATGGTTTACGCGTTGACTCTACTATACATGTCATGTAACAATACACATCCTACCATGAAATCTTCATGGTGATTGTGTCTTAGAAGTTGATATGCAAGTCTTGCATGTTTTCCAGTTTGAGGGTAAAACCTCCATTGGGATGTCTGTCTTCAATCTGAGCAATGCTATCATGGGCAGCGGCATCCTTGGTCTGTCATACGCCATGTCCAACACCGGCATCGTCCTTTTCCTGTGAGTATCAGAAAGCAACACTCGGGCTGCACAACTCATTCACACGTGGTGTGCCTCAGGGATTCCTTGGAAACAGACCGTCAGTAACAAACAGTGACACAAGAACCACGGTCAATATTGCATTACACTTATGCTTGTACACTTTGCTTATGCTTGGTTTAATATCTAAAGTTATTGTAATGCCCCATCAAATGTTATCAAATGTTAATAAGATGGCATTCAGGTGATTTGCCTCAAATCTGTAATGCCAACTGCTGGTCTCTTTAGTACCAAAATACTGAATCAATCATATAGGAACATATAGGAATGACATTAATGACATTAATGACATACCTTGCCTCTCTGTGTATTACAGGATCCTGCTAACATGTATTGCCTGTCTGTCCTGTTACTCCGTCCATCTGCTTCTACGTAGTGCTGGAGTTGTGGGTGAGGCTTCATAAATGGTGAAAATATAGTTTCCATAGGCTCCTTCTTCTTGTTCTTCACTTGCCATCTCTTGTAGAGGCCAACTGGCAGTCCTGTACGTGTGTCAGAATGTCGGCAGCCAGTTGACATGGTTCCCTGTTACTTCAGGTATTCGTGCCTATGAGCAGCTTGGCATGAGAGCTTTTGGTCATCCAGGGAAGATCATTGCAGCAGTCGTCATCACATTGCATAACATTGGAGGTAAGACACCTGTAGTTAAGTAAGGTAACTGTCATGTGAGTAGTTGGGGATCATACGTCCTCCCGTGGGAACCACATATGCCAGAACATACGTTTTTATGGATCATGTAAGGACATGTGACCATGCACACAAATAGTCCCATTTCAACTCAGTACCAGGCCGCACAGAAAGAATTATTATTTTTTTGTCATTTTTTCCAAAAAATGTTTATGTTGAACAATGACTGGATTCTCTCCCAATTACATGCGCCTATCCCTCTTGACACCTTTCTCAAGCTTCATCCAAGCGTCTTCTTACCCATTTACAAGTGTCCACTCCTTGCTGCGCACGGCAAGGTGGGGGACCCCTAATAGACTCTCTTTGTTCAGGCTGTGGATGTTTCCCTCCCCTTCAGGCATGTCCAGTTACCTGTTCATAGTCAAATCTGAGTTACCTCTGGTCATCCAAGCCTTTCTTGGCCAAACATCCAGCTCTGGGTGAGTACCTGTGTGACACTCACTATCAGTCACATCTGCATGGGCCCATTCCAGAGGTAAGTTCAAGATGGAAGATGAAAGACGAATTCAACATGTCTGCCTATGTACGTTTTGACTGCCCTACTCTCACATCCCATACATCTAGTTCAATTATTCAAATAAAGGACAAACATGAACATAAAGTAAAGTAGTACAACTGAAGTAAAACTTTGGGCAACCAAAATGTGAAAATAATCACATAATAATGTAATAATTCATTAAACTTGATACGGTTAAAGTTCTATACAAAAACACAAACAACCCCTGGACTGGAAAAATTGGTGGAGACCTGTCAATCATAAGTTAGCTCCACCTTGGTCTATTTGACTCTAAATGGACCATAGCTACTAAAAGAACATCATGCTGTGTTGAAGAAAACTAGAGATTGAGGTCATGATTATGAGGTCACTCATGTTTACAGTGTTTACTGGGGGAATAAATCAAGAGACGAGCACCATCGTGATCAAAAAGGTGCACGGGATAGATGTTGCGTTGAGAGTTTGTCACGTGAATGTAGTACTGATCCAAACTGTGGGGATGAAGGATCGTGTAAGGAGCCAGAGAATAGAGCTCTGAGGCGTAAAACATACACACAGTCCTTGTTTGTAGATGTATTCATGGTTGGTTGAGTCGAAACATGTAATTTGATGGCATTAAGAAACACAGACTATCATATCATCAACCTTATACTTTAACACGTTTGGAAATAGATGTATTAAGTTAGACAAAGAAATGACAGTCTGAAAAACATGTCGGAGAGTGGGTGGGCCTGAGCCATCAGAGATGTATTTGGGTTGTACTCTGGAGCACAAACCGATATCATTGTGATATCTGATACCTGATATATTCCTATCTGACGTTTTTGTACCAAATATTTTTTGGTTTTCCTTTAAAACAGCTCTAAAATAGATGCACTCTATAATCCAGCATTCAGTTGTCCTAAATGTTTTATTTGAGTAAAGCTTGATATGAAAGGATGACACCACTGCTCTGAAGAAAGTCCCATCACTCTTCTTTTATGTCTCGCATTACCTACAGTCAAAGCCTGACGGACACATTCAAACAGGGGTTTCCTGCTTTGCTGTTGGGAAACCCCTGGGAAATGGTTGGCTCCACTTGACTCAGTGGAATCTCCATAGCCCCCAGTAGAAACACTAATGCTCTGTGTTCAGGAATTGAAGAGCCTGCTTCATACAATATTACACTACCAGGGTACAAACTGCAGCCTCACTCTCATCTGCTGCGTGCTACTTCATTGATTAGATCTGACTCAGATTACTGAACAGAAAGCTGATGTGACCTTTTTTCTACCTGCTGAGGTACTTGTATGACTCTCACCTTGTGAGTGGGTATCCTAGATTATCAAGAGCTGCCATGCAGTGACACCTGCCCACCAGGATAACATTCACACAGTGACGACAGGAGCTGCCCTGCAGTAACACCTGCCCATCAGAACTAACATTCACACACCGTAGTCACAGCTACGTGTCTCGTGACACGTGGACATGCAGCGTCAGGGAGCTGGGGATCGACCCGATCTACCACGGAAACAGTGGCCCATGTTTGAGTTTTACACTTGTGTATCTGTGTGTATGTGTGATGTCCTGTGTCCTGCACAGCGAATGGTTCATGAATGGAAACTACCTGATCATCATCGTCACTCTCTGCATCATCCTCCCATTGGCCCTGATGAAACACCTGGGTATGACACACTCCCTCAATAATCGGTCACCCATGGTTTTTATGTACAGTGATTATTTCAAGAGAATTTAACACAACATTTACAACTTTGTATGAAAGTCCTGTCTAGTTGTTGGGCTGCTGTTATGTCTTATCCAGACGCCTCTTAAGACCCCATGTAGACCTGGGACTATACAAAAATCCATATACATCTGATTGCCACTATTGTCTCAATAATCCCTAAAAATGTTCTAAATGCCACTAAAACATGTTATAAAATGATTACATTAAAATGGAGTGTATTGAGATGGAGAGTCAGGAACAATGGATTATTAAACCTCAGTATAATATTAGCATCATCTTTTTTTTTATTCTTCTTTTCAAATTTTCAACATCACAACACTATCCCCCTGTATCAAAGTGACTTGCTGAATAAAGGTTAACATTTCTTTTTTGAACTTATATAGTAGACAAAAGATTGAAAGATGGAAAATCGCACAGCACATTATTAAGATCTTTTTTTTTTGGTGTCCCACAGGGTATCTTGGCTATACCAGCGGCTTCTCTCTGTCCTGCATGGTCTTCTTCCTCTCTGCGGTGAGTGGGGGGCTCTGGTCACCATGTCCTACCCAACCAAGGCATACGCTGTTTTGCATATCATTTGTAATGTATGATTTTGGGCTATACAAACCCTTGGGTTAAGTCCTTAAAATCTCCACCACTGTATTTATCATGTTATCATTTTCTTGCACACAACTACTGTATCAAATAAGTTGATGTGTTTATTATGACACAATATCCACTTGTTCTCCCTCCTCAAGCTCTCTTAATCTGTTCCATCAGGTTATTTACAAGAAATTCAACATTGCTTGCCCTCTTGAAGTGTTTGGCAACTACTCTGTGAACGCAGCTGTCTCAGAGGACACATGTGCTGCAAAATTCTTTACCATCAACCAAGAGGTCAGAGATGAACTCCCTGAAGGCACACAGAAATTACAAACTGCATTTTAACTGTTCATTTACGAGCTCTGTTCAGAGGCCTGTGCTGTGGTCTGAACACTTGTGTGACCAGGAACCATTCGTGGGTGCATCGTGTTACGCATGCACGGCTGGACAGGGCTCAATATCCTTCCTGGAAAGCTACCTAGTGAATTTACTATGACTTCATTTACAGACAGCGTATACTATCCCCATCCTGGCATTTGCTTTTGTTTGTCACCCTGAAGTGCTTCCCATCTACACTGAACTGAGCAAGTAAGACGCACACGTTATTGGATTCTCACATTCTTCAGATACAGAATGCAATCCCACAGCTAAAAGGAAAGAAGACTTTTAACTGAAACTTAAAGACGCATGACTTCAACGTGGACAGTATGTCGCCCCCTACCTAAAATGAGTTTGACACCCCTGCTCTATAACATGTCTTGTCTTGCTGCGGCGTGAATTACCGTAAATATTCTAATGTTTAGTCGTCAAGTCTGATATGTAGAGTGAATATTTAACATTTAGATCTATATTTAACATTTAGATTTACATTTAACATTTATATATACCATTTATATTTAACATTTAGATATAACATTTAACATTTAGATTTACATTTAACATTTAGATATACCATTTAACATTTAGATTTAACATTTACCATTTACATTTAGATTTAACATTTAGATTTACATTTAACATTTAGATTTAACATTTAGATTTAGATTTATATTTATATTTACATTTAGATTTAACATTTAACATTTATATTATTTAACAACTTTGTGTTACTGACAAACATTATCCTTGGAAAAGTTATTGCATGAATTTACATGAATTTCTAAATGTTTGAAAAAGTGACATATGAATATTGTCGTGCTTTTTTGCTCATATGATAATGCTAAATGTAGTAGAACTGCGCAGGATTTTAGAACGTGCAACATTTTACAAACGGCGGCCATACTGGTACAAACATCTGCCTCCTTGTTTCCCTTCAGCCCAACCAAGAGAAGAATGCAGAGTATTGGCAACATTTCCATCCTGGGCATGTTTGTTATGTACTCCTTCACCGCCACATTTGGCTATCTGACCTTCTATGGTAAGAGTAACGTCTCTGCATGATGTAGTTGTGATTAATGATATGGGCCCTCAAATGTCTGTGCGTGTGTGTGCAGAGAACACTGAAGCAGAGCTCCTCCATACCTACAGTAAGGTGGACCCTCTGGACACTCTCATCCTATGTGTCCGTGTGGCCGTCCTGGTGGCCGTCGCTCTGACTGTACCGGTGGTCTTATTTCCTGTAAGAACACGTCTGGCCTTCATGCACACAACCAGCAGAAAAGCCTGCGCTTTTTGTTCTAAAGTACATAGAACAGTAAAGAATTCTCACTTCTCAAACATCTAAAGGTCAGTCTCCAAGGAAGGCCTAGTAAGAACACTTTGAGTGGATTTAGGTCACATGGGTCATTCAGTCTAAATTACTGAATGAGCCATAAGTACAGGCAGTACAAGAACATGTGTGTATCCACCTCTATCTACCTTCTGTTAATGTTTCACATCAAAACACTACCCGGAAAGGGAGTGTAACCCTTAAGGTGCGGGAGGGCTTTTAATGGTTTACTGGTGACTGCTCTCTTTGTAACTGGGACAATAATGGAACTGAGCCATCGGTATTAGTTTCACCTGAGCTTCTAAACAAGTTAGAATTAGGTCAAATGCATTTAAGGAATCCTATATAAACATTGGAAATGACAATAGCTGAATTACAAGATTTAAAGATCAATATTGGTTAAGTTGTTTGAATTATGTTTGTGTTTATTTATTTTCTTATTTTCTTGGTAAATGCGATTCACTTTGTACACCAACATTCCTAAATGCCCCAAACAGACCTAGATTCTACGACAACTTTTAAGTCATCATATTTTGATTCTGATGAATCATTGTGCAGATATGAAATGACACACTGACTTTATCGGCCCCCACGTCTGTGTTTCTGTCAGATCCGTCGGGCCCTTCTGCAGCTGCTGTTTCCAGGGAGACCCTTCCACTGGCTACGTCACATCGCCATCGCCATGATCCTGCTCTTTGTGGTCAACCTGCTGGTTATCCTCGTCCCCAACATCCGAGACATCTTTGGCATTACTGGTGGGATGTTACACTTGGAAGCATTAACATTGCCTGAAAAAAAGGACATTTATAAAGAGACATTTCCCACTCAAATTAGACTTTTTTCCCCCATTAAATCTATACTATGTAGCTTTTTAAATATTGTGCATTATCATTTTGCGTAGTTGCTTGTTCAGGTAAGTGCACTTTAAGATACTACAGTTGGTTCATGAAGAAGCCTCATGAGTTCTGAGTTAAAGTGAGTCTTTATAACTTACTGAATGGAAGTAGAGGTAAGGTGCAGAAAGTGAGAGAAATTAATCAGTAATCAGTTGAACGGCAATTGGTATCTAAAATTTGCGAGTTAACATTAGCCTCCATTAGTTAGACTGTTGCAGTGAATTTCCCGAGGGTATTAACTTGGTATATTATATATTATCACTATTATTAAAAGCGGGCACGGAGTGTGGAGTCACTCTTTGGGTTTAATACAGTCAACAGGATTCTGCGAGATGAATTTTGCTTTACAATGAGATTATTTCTGGTGGGTCCTCTGTGTCCAGGGGCAACCACTGCTCCCAGTCTGATATTCATCCTTCCTGGACTGTTCTACATTCGCATCATCCCCATTGACCAGGAGCCATTGAACTCGAGACCAAAGATTCAGGTAGGTGTAAGTTACTCTCTGACCCAACAGCAGTTAATGCTGATTCTACTCGTGACGTGTCTTCTTTGGGTTTTCAGGCTGCGTGTTTCACAGCCCTGGGTTTCATATTCATGATCATGAGCGTGACATTCATCGGGCTCGACTGGATGAGCGGAGAAAAGCGAAATATCGGCGGCCACTGAAGCGTCCCTGCAGCCCCCCAGCAGCCCACTGCTGCACCCCTCCTCCAGCAGCAGGTAGAAGCAAGCTTCCATCTGCCGCTGGCAGCCCGGGGATATTGTTGGACGGTTTTGATCAACCATAATGACAACCATTCCTCCACAGGGATGAGAGGAGCCCCGTCTTGACCCGTGACCCACCCAGGTCAACATATGCACCATCCGCCACAGGTGGTGTTCTTCGATCTACACAACGTGGGTGTCTGTCCTAACGGCGACTAGATGTGGTGTATATTCATCAACCAGGGTCCATAGGGAACATGTGTTCAGTAGATAACATTTATTTGCTTGATAAAAATACAATTTATTTTAAAATAGGTCCCATCATTTTGTTGTTATAAACAAATATTGATTTGTATAAAGTATTGTGTACTTTGATTCTGCACAGCAATATTTGGTCAAATTATTTTGGTCATCAGCCAAAGCCAGACATAATGTGAATGCAACTGCAAACTAATTCATTTTGGAATTTATTCTGGATAGCATATGTGGGTATTATTCAATAAACAATCAACAAAAGAGACAATATGTTTGTTTTGAACTGTATGAAGCTTTTTAAAGTGTCTACTGTGTGGTGGTAATCACTAATTAATATTACTAAAAGCCATTTTAAAGATTTGTATATAAATGAAAAACAAATTTTATTTAACATGCACACAAATTGTTATTTCATCTTCAGAAGTCTACCTCTGCTCAATGTATCAGGGAACAACATGTTAAACTATGTTGGGACTTTTTTTCTTTCCGTCTAACGCTCAAAATGATCCGATGCAACTTCTGATAGAACGCTCTGAAAAGAGATAATCCCACATCAAAAGAGGGAATCCAGTACAGTTGTTGTTTCTAGCATCTCCTATTGCCTGCTCCTCACTGGCGTTGAACGCCATGAACAGAGTGTGAAGCCCCTGTTCTGAACACTAGAGCTGCTATCAGGAGGGGACGGGACTTTCCTCCGACATATTAGGCTGATCAGTTGGCATTCAAAAACATATTCTTGTTTCTATTAATTCAATTCATTTTATTTTTTATAGACCAAAATCGCAAATGACAAATTTGCCTCAGAGGGCTTTACAGTCTGTACACACACGACATCCTCTGTCCCGAAACCTTCACATCGGAAAACCTCTTCCCGGGATGGAGAGACTACAATGGATGCCATGTGTACAGAATGAACAATGTAAAATATATATAGTACATTAAATTCCTATGACAGAAATGATTCAAATAATTGTGAGTAGCAAGCCAGGCGCACAGCAGGACCACTGCAGGGACAACCACCATCAGATAACGGCAACGTGCACGTGGCAGCAGACACTCGCCGACTAGATACGGCGTGTGGAGCGGACCAACCTGGACTACGTAGTTATTGTCCTCAGGGACTTTAACAAAGGAAATCTCACCCAAGAACGTCCTAAGTACAGACAGTTTATTAAATGCCCACCAGAGAGGAGAACACGCTGGATCACTGTTACACGACAGTAAGCAGGGCTCATCACGCCGTCTCTGGTGCTGCACCGGGACACTCAGTTGGTGCGTGACAGTAGACAGTGTAACAAAAGACAACAAGACAGCAGTGCACAAGTGGTAAAATAAAATGAAATGCTAATGCTATGGGTTAGTAGAATACGGCTATGGGTTAGTATAACATAAGAGAATAAAGTTAAAGCTAAAAATTAAAAATATTTAAAAAGTTAAAAAATATTAAAAAATAAAGTGCCAAAGTGATGAGTGACGACAAAGTGACGAGTGAAAAATTACAGTTAAAGTGACGTGTGCAGTGTGAAGGGGAGTGACCGGTGGAGTGTCAGAGTCAGTCAGTGGGGGACCGGCTCTGTTGATGAGCCCGACTGCCGACGGGAAGAAACTGTTGGTGTGGCGGGAGGTCGTAGTCCTGATGGACCTCAGCCTCCTGCCAGATGGAAGGGGCACAAACAGGTTTTGTCGGGGTGGGAGGGGTCGGCTACCATCTTTTTAGCTGCTTCAGAGACCTGGAAGCGAACAAGTCCTGCAGGGACGGCAGGTTGCAGCCGATCACCCTCTCTGCAGAGCGGAGGACACGCTGCAGCCTGCCCTCGTCCTTGGCTGTGGCTGCAGCGTACCAGACGGTGATGGAGGAGCAGAGGATGGACTCCATGATGGCCGTGTAGAAGTGGACCATCGTCGTCTTTGGCAGGAAGAACAACCTCTGCTGAGCCTTCTTGGTGATGGAGCTGATTTTCAGCTCCCACTTGAGGTCCTGGGTGATGATGGAGCCCAGGAAATGGAAGGAATCCACAATAGTGACGGGGGAGTCACACAGGGTGATGGGGGAGGGTGGGGCTCTGTTCCTCCAGAAATCCACAACCATCTCCACTGTCTTTAGAGCGTTGAGCTCCAGGTTGTTCTGGCTACACCACGACACCAGATGGTCAGACTCCCACCTGTAGGCGGACTCGTCCCCACCAGAGATCAGTCCAATGAGGGTGGTGTCATCCGCAAACTTCAGGAGCTTGACGGACTGGTGGCTGGAGGTGCAGCTGTTGGTGTACAGGGAGAAGAGCAGAGGGGAAAGAACGCAGCCTTGGGGGGAACCGGTGCTGATGGTCCGAGAGGCTGAGACATGTTTCTCCAGCTTCACCTGCTGCTTCCTGTCAGACAGGAAGTCTGTGATCCACTTGCAGGCGGAGTCGGGCGGTGCAGCTGGGAGAGTTTGTCCTGCAGCAGAGACGGGATGATGGTGTTGAAGGCAGAGCTGAAGTCCACAAACAGGATCCTGGCGTAGGTTCCTGGGGAGTCCAGATGCTGGAGGATGTAGTGGAGGGCCATGTTGACAGCATCGTCCACAGACCTGTTGGCTCTGTAGGCGAACTGCAGGGGGTCCAGGAGGGGGTCGGTGAGGGACTTTAGGTGGGTCAGGACTAGCCGTTCCAAAGACTTCATGACTACAGAGGTCAGGGCGACGGGCCTGTAGTCATTGAGTCCTGTGATCCTGGGCTTCTTGGGGACAGGGATGATGGTGGAGGCCTTGAAGCAGGCTGGTACGTGGCATGTCTCCAGGGAGGTGATCTTGATGAGCTTCTGACGCTCGTTTAGGTGGCCCGCCTTCCGGATATATCTCCCCCTCCACCACTCTCACATAATTGATTTGCAACAGATTTCTCAAGGATCTTAGAGAGGAAGGGACAATTAGAGATAGGTCTGTAGTTTACCAACAGTACCACAATAAGCACGTGAACCAACATCGCAGCCACAGAGCTTCTATCTCCCAATATTCATGTTGGGTTTTAACCAGCGCGGCTAGCTCGTCCGTTTTATTTGCCAACGACCTCACGTTGCCCATTAAAATCACAGGCCCGGATGGCTTGTGTTTCCACCTTCTTGCCTTCAGCTTGGCTCCAGCTCTGCAACCCCGACGTCTTCTCCGAAGCTCTTCGGGGATCTCATGCTTCACTCCGGGCAGCAGTAGAGGCCCGCTCAGCGATCAGCTGAACGCTGTGGAACCTTTGAGAAGAAGGGCTAGAGCAGCAGAAGACCACCCCGGGTGCCCCTCCGGTCAGCTAACAGGCTCATCACAATGAGACAATAGAAGATTGGAAAAACGTTACCTGGTCGGATGAGTCTCAATTTCAGCTGAACATCCAGATAATCAGAATATGGAGTAAACTACACGAGAGCACGGATCCATCCGGCTTGTATCAACGCTTCAGGCTGCTGCTGGTGTAATGGTGTGGGGGGTATTTTCTTGGCACACTTTGGGCCCCTAAGTACCAGTTGAGCATTGTTGAAATGCTGCAGTCTACCAGAGTATTGCTGGTGACCATGTCCATCACTTGTGACCACAGTGGGATGTGCTGCAACAGGAGATTCTGCGTGATGCTATCATGTCAATATGGACCAACATCTGTGAGGAATGTTTCAACATCTTGTTGAAAGTATGCCAAGAAGAATCAAGGCAGTTCTGATTGAGGCCAAGACTTTAACCATCAAGGCATATTTGGCAGCCATTGAAGCCGACGTATTAGTTTTGACAGATACAGTGGGTCACCACCATTGGTTCCAATTGATTGGTAGGCCATGTAAACTCTGTGGAGGCATCTTCCTACTGTACGAAACACTTTCTCCTGTGAACCATTGGGTTAACTGGAGTTAAGAACAACATCCTTTTGCTTGCAATGTAAGTGGGCTCTGTGCGTGTTGGGCCTTGTGCCACATGATGATTTTATAGATTGGATATCCCGGCACATTCAGTCCCATGTGGGTTCCTTTCAGAGCGTAGCTCCTCACATGTGAAGCGAAGAGTCGATTGACCAGGAGTCACTCCTTTCCCCATTGAAAAGAACACGACCCCGGGTCCTCTGTTTAACAGAAGCGTCTCACCAGAACAGCCCCCTGGCTCTTGAACTGAGGACGCAGTGAACTGGCACTAGGCATTACCAGTGGCACGGTCTTGTTTTTGGCATATGTGCGGGGTACTGAAGGATAGGCAGTTTATGAATAGCACATAGTGGTAAAAATAAAAAATAAACAGGTGTGTGACACTTGGAGCGGCTTAACAATGTTGCTAGACTGGACCTACTGTTATTGACCCACTCATCACGACCAGCGTCTTCTTACGCCTGACTAGAGCTGCTCTTCAAGTTTGTAAGGCATCTTTATTCAAGCTGGTACCATATATACAACAATACTTAGTTGATGAGACTGGACAACATTAATAATGGACTACAATCAAATGCCATTCACTCAACAGCTTCAGTTCATATAGAATAGAATCATGACAACAAATTGTTTGCTTGTGTATGAAAATGGGATTAAGTCTCATATTAAAAATTCCTGAATAAAGATTTTTCAGTCTTGTCAAGATATCTTCTGAAAACATTCCTTACACTGATATGAACGAGTGGGCGTGAGAACAGCGCCCCCTGCTGTCCACTGAAGGCTGTTATTTGGGCGTCCAGCACAGTGCATCGACTCTCAGAGAGCACATCTGTCCGTTTATACAGCTTGTGCATCGGAATGCCGGGTTACTGCTGTGGTTCCATAGGAGCCCGCCTTAAAGAAAAGCACGTCTCCCATGGCAACAGAGGGCAGTGTTAATGAACAACGGTGTCTTCAGTGTGAAAACCGGAGTGCTGTTTTCAGTCCCAGTCGGCTCCAGGGATCCAGGTTTCTAGCACAGGTTGTGCCTCGGCAGGCGGAGCGACCGCGGCGTCCTTCAGCCTTCTCGGACTTTGGCAGCGAGGGCGGAGTTCTCCTGGCGAATGGCCTTGTAGTCGTCCAGAATCCGCTCCAGGTTAGCCACAGTTTTACTACCGTTTTCAGTCTCAATCTGTGGACAATTCAAGACAAAAGATGCCATTGACAAATACTTCCATGTACAGGAAAATGCAGCTGCATTTAAACAATACTTCTGTGGAAATACAACTGGTCCCGTACACAGAAACCAAGCCAATCAAGTGGTTACGAATAGAACATGGACAGTTTTAAATCAGTTGAATGTCCGATGATTCGGAAGAATCAAAAGTGTTCCGAAAAATGTAGAAAGATTTTTCTCAATTTCCCCCAGTGAATGTGTTTATCTCACGTCTACGTAATGAAGTCGGATTCTCTTTTACTGTTGATTTCCATCAAACGTCCGTATACGGTTTATGAGGATAATAATGTTGATCTATTGTTGTTGTATTATTGTTGTGTTTAGCTATATTTAGGAAACCTGACATGAAACACGACAGTAGGAAAGATCTCTTCTTTTTTTGTGCCTCAGCTGTTTAAAGAGATTAAAAGGGTTAAGTTCTATTAGCAAGGAGATAATGGTGTGGAACGGCCCAAACAGGACCCCCTGCTCCGAGAGCCTGGCTGGTCATTGCTGAAAATATATGCATTATGGAAAAAAATACTTCCAGTAGTCCTACGCAACATCGTACAGCTCCTTGTGTACTGGACAAACAGATGAAAGTGATGTTGATGTGTTCTGATAGAGGAAGTGGAAATCCTACCTGCTCTTCTAGATCCCGAATCTCTCTCAAGATTGTACCGGTGTCTTCGATGGTTTGGATCAACTGATTACAGTTCTATCATAAAAGAGAGAGATCACATGTAACATGTTCTCTGATCGCAGCAGATGGGAAGCGGAGAAACAGGATCACGTACTTCGTGCAGCGCAGCCAGGTACTTGTATGATTTGCGGACGGATTCATCTTTTTTGGCATCCTTCAAATAATGAAAAAATGAATGAATGAAATAGTCCTCAGGATTTAAGAGTGCATATAGTCTGTTCTTTACGAAATTAACTTCATTTAACTCCATGAACATGAAGCCCTTCATGCAAAACATCCTCTGCTACCTTGAAGACCAGCTCATCAGTGACCGCAAAGGTTCTGTCCAGCTTTCCGGTCAGGCTGTTGATCTCTTTCTGGAGCTCCTTCGTGTCCGACAAAATCTGCAAGGACGGCGAGAACAGTGATGAGGGGAGTCGACAGCGGATCCACAGCTCGTGCTTAAGGCCAAGACATCAATCCATTTTGTCATGAATACTTCTAAAACCATTTTCTGAATGAGGGAAGATATCAACCAAATACCCTTAAAGCTAAATGTACGTATGAGATATTTACAGCTCTGTACCTTGGTGATTTCCTCCTTCTGCTTCTGGATGTTGTTGACGATCTCGAGGATCCTCTGCGTGTACGCGGAGCGGGACGCGTCCTGAGGAAGATTCTCCAACTCCGTTACCTAAGTCAGAAAAGAGGGGACACCACACCAACAGTCAAACACACGTTCGGCACACTGAGCAGTGCTGAAACACACCTGATCATGCTGCCCAGCTACACGCCCGTGTAAAGATGTAAGGAAATACACCTGTGCTAAGAAGATGAACTAAAAACTTTCAAAAGAACGTGAATTCAGTTGATTACCAGTTGTTTGTAGATTTCTTCCTTCCTTTTGGCCTCCTCTGTAGACACACGGATCTTATCATGCAGAGACTTCATTTCAGACAGCTTCCTGGACGACTCCAGCTGAGGAAAATGGAGACCAGTGATCAGAAACACGAGTGTTTCCGCTGGAGCCGATGAAGATGCCGCTTACATCTTGGTTGCTGCAGATCTCTTTGAGTCTGCGGTGCTCGTCGATGAGTGGAGCGCGGTGCTTCTCCCACTGGGAGGCCAGGTTCACCACTCGATTGGCGCTGGCCTCCACCAGCGCCTGGAGGAACAAACAAGCACACACACGTTTCCACTGCGTCCTGCTGGCTTTGATAAGCGGCCTCCAGCCGGCGGCCGTCTCACCTGAAGCTTCAGTAGGTTGTTGTCTGCGTCTGGCAGCAAGTCGATCGTTTTCTTCTTCAGCTGCATCTTCTCCTCGTTTTCAGAGTTACCGAGCTCTCTCTGCTTCAGCTCGTCCAACACCTGGAGATAAAAACAGTCACATGGGAGAGGCAATACCCAAATGCATCAGTGCAAAGTCCTCTCGCTTACAGAAACACTAGCCCAAAGTCTAAAACACACACTTCCCTCCTGCTTGTTGTGCAATTTATCAGATTATTTTGTTTTTGAGCTGCACTTTCTCTGCCACAATGGAACCAGATGGCTCGCAACCGTTCAAAGTGCTCAAAGTGCCCAAAAAAAGATATGAAAAACTCAACAGCAACGTCTTTGTTCTTTTCTTACTCAAGAGAATCCAGATTTTATTATTTATTCCTCCGTTTCATGTAGGAACTGTTCTCTGTAATCACAATTTCTACATAAAGCAGCTCGACAACAGGTCGACCAGCTGTGGTTTGTATTTGGTGCACCTGGTTGTCTACGTCGTTGCTTGTCTGCGTGTGCTACCTGTGCATTAGTGACCCTCATGTGCTTCATGTCTGCGGCTAGCTCTTCAAATTCACTGCAGAGGTGCTGGAACTGCTGCTGGAGGGAAAGCTGCTCCTCCTGCTGACGGAGCTGGACATCACTCTCAGACTGGTGGCCAGCAGGGACGGAGGGGCCGGTCACTGCTGCAGCCGGCTGCTGGACAGACAAACGGCAGTGGAAAGGATGAAGAACATGCTGTATGAAAACGGACGGCACAGGTTTTTCACTTCTACTTCTTTACGCGACATTGCATTAAGCATATTCTGTGTTTCCTCACCTGTGTGAAGGTGAATTTCTGTGTGTGGGTGAAGTTGCTGCCCTTGGCCAGGATGTGGTCGGAGGGGGTGGAGCCTCTGAAGGCCTGCAGTAGGTCCGACAGGTCCGAGGTGGAGCGAGGACCAAAGTCCCCTTCAGCAGAGGGCAGCGCAGCAGAATGCAGCTGCTCCTCGACCCGTTTACGCAGCCGGATCAGTTTCCTGGAGCGATACTCCTGTTCCACGACCAGACAAACGCATCAAACAGGCACTACAGCTTCTATCTTATATATATATATATATATATATCTTATAACGGGTTCACGTCTACGACCTCTACAGTGTTTTCACTACCAGATACCAAAGCACACAATGTGTGGTCACGTTAATAATAGTGCAATATTGACAAGACCATTTCATTTTTCATTTAATAATACAGTTGATATCGAGATACAGTGGAGGAAAGAAGATTGATCTTTACAGGTTTCCCACTGTCTAATTGTAAGCAGCACAGCGGAAACGCACAAAGCTCGTACCTGAGGTGTGAGACGAGACAGAAGTCCCTGACTGTTCCACTCGTTGTCCCACTCCTGAGCAGCACTCAGCTCGGCCGCGTGCTGCTCCAGTATGTACGCCACCACAGAGGCATGATGGGAAGGCTGGGCGGTCACAGGGGGAAGGATTTCTCGCTGGTAGTCCTGTACCTCTGAAATGACACAGACAGACACACAAACTGAAGAAGTGAACAGCAACATGTGTGAGGCATTGTCAGCTAAAGGCCGCCGCGTGTTTCTGCGTCTTTACGCGTCGACGCGCTGGTTTCGCTTCCTGGTTGTAAAGTCCTGCGTGTGTTGCAGAGCGATTCACCTCCAGAACAACAGGTGGAGTCACGTGTTCTGTTAAAGACGACCTGGAGAGTCACGTCTGTGTGTGGAAGTCGCTGGTGGCTTTATTTATGTATCATAGACTTTATTGCCCCGTGCATCCACACTGCTGCTTCTCATCAAGGACATATACGCATAAACTAGGCTTTAGTCTTCAACGCTGTGCTCTCTCCCTGCATTCACGAAACAATGCACTCATGTCAGCTCACATTCCTTCATTCTTCATTTAAACCACTGACGAGTATGAAACTAATACTAACTAACATATTATCATTATAGGAGTTCATTAAAGCTGCAATAATAGATTTTGTCCATCTGCAAATATTTAATTTGCCAACAGTGAAGGGAAAGACAAATAATGCTGGTACAGTAGCAACCTGTCAATCAACCTATCCTCTAGCATAGCCCCCCTAAGGCATACCCTGCTTCATAGTTGGACTGTAAATAGCTGTTTTTAACATACAGGGATACATTTGAAGAGCTGCATGTTTTGGCGCCTCCACGTGGCTTCAGTGAAATCTCTGCAGTAGGAGACCCACCTCTCAGCGGATCCTTTCCTGGGCCTTTAGAGCAGTGTGGCAAACTGAGAGGTTGGGCATGGAAGCAGTGCAGAGCCACGGGACTCTGAAGAGGGAAGAAGGTCAAGAGCTGGTCAGAAAGCAACAGACTCTCTCTTACGGTTACGTGTTATATTAAACAAGCTAATAACATGGATCCCTGGGAATGTCCCGTCCTAGACGCTTCCTACTGATTATATGCACATAAGTAAATGCAAGTTTCACTTTGGTCTTGTATAGCATTAATACCAATATAAAAATGAGCTTTAGAAGAAATCATGCATTAGAGCTCTCTGTGGTTTGCAAATATTCATTATTATATTCATAGTAAATGTTTTAATCATACATTTTAGAGTGAGGAAGTTGTTTAGCATAATAAATATGCCAAGCTGTATATGTGCTTTGAGAAATGCCTACCTGTGTTTCAGCGTGCAGGGGCAGCCGGCAGTTGGGAGGCAGCCAGGGAACGGCCAGCTGAGCTTTAATGGCAGCAGCGACGGCTCTCTGAAGGACCACCGATTTACCTGCAGAAAGACGCTCTGGATGGAAACATTCCTGATCGGGCCCACATTCGTACAGCGGAAACAACATTTCCTAATTTCAATGTGATCGTTACACTTTACCTTCATGGTACAATGGTGTCAACATTTAGACCCATCCACCAGGTTTTGTTAACCCCCCCACAAAGGGTACAAAAGCAGCTTACTTGTTTAGCTGCCATCTTCGTTTGGGTGGAGGGGGTCAAACTCTACTTTAGGATCATGACTCACACTCAAGTTCAACAACCATTGAGCGAATACTTGATTCTGTTATATATTCAGGATGCAAAGCAGGAGTATTCATCTGTGTGTAACAACCCAAGCACTGTACTTATGGAAGATTGTTGTACCTGTCGGCTGGTCTGAGGCCTCTGCCCTCTCTCTGGGCAGCTTCTCCACCAGGAACATGAGCAGGGACCGGATCTCTGGCTCATTGCTGTATAGAAAAGTCTGGTAGCCAATCTCTCCTTTATAACCAATGTCCTGCAACCCAATAGTTTGACATACAAGGAACTGCTGAGGAAATACAGGCAGTGATTTGGTGATTTCATGGAGCTGCTACTTATAAGGACACATCTGGACTTTGCCCACAACTATCCATACTTCCAAATAAGTAACCTTAAGAGTCCTGGAAAGTGGAAACCAATAAAACAAATCGTACATTTTCTGGCCGTACGTAGTCTGTCACTATAACAGCCCGAGCTTCTGGTTAAAACGGATTAAAGGAGCCAAAGAAAGACGTTATTGTTGGAGCCATAATCCTGTTTGTCTGTTTAAATCGACCTTAGAGGGAACGCTGGGTGGATTCACAGGGGCATCTATGACATTGAGCACAAGATGTGAGAGTGCTTAGTGAAGCTGAACGGACTGAGCCTGATGAGACTTCTCTCACCGTGTTGGTATCATGTTATGTTACATGTATAGTGATGGCTGTGAATGGATCAACAAATCAAAAATAGATACAGCGCATTGGAGAAGGAATTGCTTGGTAGCCTAGAAACTAGGGGTGTAACGATTCGTTTTAACAACGATTCGATTTGATTCATGGACGATCTGGGTTCATTTAGAACGATTCGATTCCATTCAGTGATTTGAAATCGATTCAGTAACTTTACTGGACAGTGCAGGCAAAGTTTCTGAGATCCCTGTTTCTTGTAAGGAAATCAGGTTTAAATTAATTATGGATATTATAAACAAGATAATGGCAAATGTATTAACCTTTTATTTGAATCAAGTGCCATTTTCAATGTAAACATGACACAATAATTACACAATGTTTGGATCAATTCATAGACACCACATTGTAGGGTCGCACGTCTTTACAGATAAACTTGTTACTGTGATGTTGAGTTTGGTGCTGGAGGCCTGAGGCGTCTGCAGAGCTGAGTTACCTGCTGCTGCTGCAGCGGTGACGCTGCTAGAGGTCCTGACTGTCGGCGTTGTTTAATCCCGCGGCGCCTTAGTGGACGGCCGGAAAGATTTGTTGTGTTTCCGTGGTTTTTTATTTAGCTTCAACATATTCTACAAACAGCGACCGACTTATTTAGAACACCTCCGTGTTTGCAAAAGCCAAAATGTTTCCACGCGCTGGATCGATAAGTTGGTTTGTAAATGTCTCGCTCGCAGTCGTCTCCTCCACGCTGTGTGTTGTTGTTGTTCAGAGTTTATCACGGCTCCCGCTGCGAACTGATGACGTCACAGACAGGAAGACTGAATCCAGTAACGTTTAACGTGTCTAAAGTGCTAACAAACAAACAAACAAACACACATTCATACCGTTTTTGTACTTAAATCCAATGTGCAGTTTCCAAGTATCGATACAATCGATTAATTACCATTTCAATCGATTTGTAATCGATATATGTCGCCCTGAATGCCGATTTGCGGAGGACAGATAGAGTTGGATCGCAGGAATATAAGTCGATTAATCGATTCAGTGAATGAATCGTTACACCCCTACTAGAAACGCATCCAAAAAGGTTCCCCTGTTCGCCCCTTAGTGGCTTAGACCACACTGGATGGAGTTACAACCATTACAGTTTTTATTGAACATATGTTTAAAAAAAAAACCTAAGCTCTAATCATCAAGTGGAGCTTAGATCCAATAATCTAAGCTCCACTTCATTACTTTTTACCAACCACATTTCAAAGTCTTCCTCTGTAGATGTAGTTTGCTCAGCTGTCACTTACAACCAACTTTAGTTCATCTCGAGTGAAATTAGATGTGGCTGAAAGCTCAAGAACAACCCAGTAAGTGGACTTTGAGGTCGGAAACCAACAGATTCTCGTCTTAAGTGGCAGTCTGTGGCAGTCTTTCCCACTCAGTGTGTTTACATGATGGCATAATTGGAATCTTTGCTTAGTGGGACTATGATATCTTTCGGGGGGAGGTGCTATTATCCCAATATACATGGCAGTGAATAAATCCAATCATTGGCCGAAAGCATCAGATACGATAGGTGGCGCTGGTTTCATTACAACTAGTTGTGATACAGCCATTTCCGCTTGACCGCTACCAACAACAACAACAACATCAACATTAGGAGAAAGATGGCGAGCGGAGAGCGAGGTGAAGCTACGTCCCACTACTGTCTGTGCATGATGCTAATAGGAGCACAGCGAATGCGAATGGCGCTATTGGCTGATTTGACAACGGAGAGAAAAGTCCAGTTCCTCATCCGACTCACCGTCACATGCCGCAATAGTCGAACTACCAACCGGATCGGATGGAGTTATCCAGCGGTGTTAGTCGGATCGTAGTCAGACCGCACAGTCGGACAAAGGTGTTTACATGCAACGGATCATCATTTCAGTCCGACTGAGCCAGTTATTGGAATCCATGTAACCACGCTGAGTGTTATTGCTCCGTAGACATCATGAAGGACATCATGTCTGTCCACATGCAAAGAACTGTGTGTGTACACTATGGGGGGCAACAGTCTAACCACACAATGTACATTAAACCTCCAGCTGAGCTCAGCGTATGGGAGCATCCTTCTGTTCTGGTTCACACTGTCACCAAAGGGTCTGATGGCGTGTGGCCCACTGGGGTCGGAGGTGTCTCACCTGACAGGCCTGCGCCAGGCTCGTGCCCACCCTGAAGCGGGCAGACATGCCCGGAGGGAGGGATGTGGGCAGCGGGCTGCCCAGGCCCGGATCGATCACCCGGATGCATCGGGCCACCGCCTCCACGATGAGCTCGCCGGTGAGGTGTTTGACGCTGGCCGTGTCCTCGCTCACCTCCCTGCGGGTCGCACATTGCGCGGGTTCAACCTTTGCCTCGAACAACTGGCGTCATGTGATGGACGTGACGTTTCATGGACGCGCATTGCTAACTGACACACGCATTAATAGGTCAATTCAACCACTCGCGTTGTACACGAGAGACGTTAATACGAGCTTGCTGGTACTTACGTGCCGACTTGTTTGAGGGCGTGAATCAGAATTTTGTCAACTTCCTCCATCGCTGAAGTTTCTCTGTGGGTGTCAACGTTAGCTAACGGACAGGACTCTGACGGAACATCTGGTGCCAGCGAGGCTACGTGTTAACACCGAGTTAGCCAATAGCCGTGAAAGCAGGCTACAAAACTAGCATTTCATCTTCTGTTAGCTAATTCAGGAACGAGCTAAGAGTTACTTCTTAATGACCGAGGCTGCCCCCCGACTTCACTCACACGACCCACGACGCGCCTCCGCCGCGGCAGCGTCGCTGCACACAAGCGTTTGGTAAAATGGCCATTTCAGCGTTTCATAGAAAAGGACCGTGACCGAAGCAGAGCCGTCTGTCTGCTGGAAACTAATCTGACATTTGAGTGGCTTCTTCAGAGGGGAAATGAAGTAATAAGGGAACCGAGCCGTGGTGCGCTGGGAAGTAGAGTTGTATCTTCATGTATTCTCAGGCAGAACAAGTGAAAACCGAGCCATCTAGAACCACACTTCCCACCATGCACCGGGAGCGGCTATCTCGTGACCGGAAGACGCTGGAAGGCTTCCGGGTGGAGTGGATGGGATTGCGACCAAATGGGATTCATTCACAGCAATTGACACGAAGTAAACAAAATCACATTAGTTGTATATTCTGTAATCACTTTTTGTCCTGTTACTTCCCCATTTTTTATATTTAAAACTAGGTTAATGTAAACGCTTTATGAAATTTTTTCCTTCTTCTTCTTCTTCTTCTTCTTCTTATAATTATTATTATTTCCTGCTGTGTTGTTTGTCTTGTTGTCCATTGTCTCATTGTCTTAATGTACAATGTTATCCAAGTAAGTGTTCCTGATTCCTGATTCTGTCAAACTCTGCGTAGTACTGTGTGAAGCACAGGGGGTCCATCCTCTGAAGTCAATTAGTATTTAAATCTAGCAGTGGTGGGGGTAGAAATAAGCATTCCCTAATGGCAATTGGTCGTGGCGAACGCTCTGCTGCCCACAAATGTCTCACGTCTCTGCCAATTGTTGTCTACGGCAGAGGTCTTCAACAGGGGGTCTGCGACCCTCAGAGTGTCCGTGGAGGTACTGCACAAATTTAAATGTCTTCAGAATCAGAATTGTATTTATCATTTATTCATTAAATATAACATGAATCAGATCGCGTTTATGCTCACGTCTAAAGAGCGCAAAGCTCCAAACTCCGGTTTGGTCCACCATCTGCTTGGTCCAAGCAGGGTCCCTGCTCCATCTCGCCATCAGTTTGGGGGTCCTTGGCCTGAAAAACGCTGAAGACCCCTGGTCTACGGAGTTTGACTTCTCAGCCGCTACCTCGGAGATTTTAGATTTCAGAACTTTCCTCAAGGCTTCCAACCACCCACCGTTCAAATAGAGAGAGGCTTCATGCTTCACCTTTTACACATTTATTTCTATTTCTCTTTTAATATATATATATATATATATATATATATATATATATATATATATATATATATATATATATATATGTATGGATTTTTTGAAAGCAGTACTACAGATGTAAACACTTCTTTCAGCATGGATGTGGTGGTGAGGTGGGGGCGGGATCAACGCATGTCCAGCAGGTGGCGGTAGTGCAGCTGTGAACCGTCCGTCAAATCAAAGAAGAAGAAGATCACGAAACACAAGCGACACGGCTGGTGCCACCGCTGCCCATCATGTCGGTGTAGAAGGAAAACAAAACCCGCGACAGCCTCCAGAATGGCCGGGGGAGAGGAGGAGAGAGGGGTGGTCCGTGTCAAAGTCAAGGTAGGGGATGATGGTTTAACCAACAGCCCGGTAACGTCCGGTAGCTGAAGACAGACCGTCTGGTCCGAGGCTTCCAGCGCGCAGCAAGACGTGTTGTTTATCGACAGCGGTTGTTGTCACCATCATCATTCATCCCATTCGTCGCTTTATTTGCCCCCTAATTTCACATCAGCGGCTAATTATAACTGACACTGGTACCTTCAAAGCCCGAATAGAACACAGTATCCAGAACGAGCCTTACGCTAGACCGATAGCAGCTGACGTCACCTGTCTGCTCAGCAAACGCGTGCGTGCGTGCACTGCGTGACGTCACATGCCTGAAGAAAAAGCCTTTTGTGCCTTCTATTTCACTGAACTTTTACCTGCTTGATTGCTTTATTTATATATATATATATATATATATATAACGTGTAGAAAGGAGATTTTCCTTCAATGAGTGGCTCATTGATCCTGAGACCGACGAGGTCACATGTGGACCGGTTGTAAAGCCTTTGGACAATATAAAACATCCTTTTGTTATCATGTTTATTTCAACCACCAAACCCATTCCTGCAGTAAAGAGCCAGCATGTTTTCATTGTGTAGGGCACATTAAGAATGGCTCAATATTGCTGCATGCTGTTGTCCTTCTTCTAACTGCCAACATAGTCTATTTTGTTTACACCCCCAACATGTTTTCCCACAGTATCCTGATTATTTGCGATATTGTATTTCTCAGAAATGTGATGGCGTGCTTCCTGTGGAATTCCGCTCCTTTGCTGTTGATCCCCAGATCACATCACTGGAGGTTCTGCAGCACATCCTCATCAGAGCCTTCGATCTGAACGGGTAAAAACCATCCCCTCGCTCACCTGTGGCACAGACACGTTACGTGTGCGTCATTTGCCTGTTTTTTGTCTTTCAAACCAGGAGGCGTAATTTCGGCATCAGCTACTTGTCTCGAGATCGGAGCGAAGCTGAAATGTTTCAGTCGCTGCTGTCCGACGGGGATTTGGATGTGGCATTTGTCAGTGCTGCCAAACCACATCTGCAGCTCAAGATGGACATAAAACCTTCAGAAGACAGTAAGAACCCCGCTGGTCCTTGAGGCAAGCGTGAAGTGAAATATGCTAAGCCAAATAAATAAATCCAAAGTTTATCCGACGGTGATGTTATACTCACTGCCTCCCAACGGCTCGCCAAGTGTAAAACGGAGAGCTGCTGGAGACCACAAATATGGAAATGAGTGCATTTATGCACTTTAGTTTCCCTTGTGTCAAAGTTTGTGTTTTTGGTTAGATGCCTGGAATAAGAGACAGTGAGATCCTCCTTGTGGCGCATCACTTCTGTGATTTTAGTTGAGACGCCTGAGTGTTTCTCATTCATTTAAGTTGGATTTTGCAACAAAAACCAGCAAAACCAAAGGTATCATCAGACGTGGATTTTAATTTTATAACTTTTAAATGAATAGGAATTTAAATGATAGTGAAATCCATATGTTATTTTCATTATTTTATCTGATTATGGTAAATTACTATAAAAGTATCAGGTCTGTGGTTCACACAAGCTGAAGAGGTTTTAACGTTTTGCTCCACAGAATAAATGAGGTCAGTAAAAACCTGTGGTTTGATTGGCTGAAGCTTCGCCCGTGGTAGTAGATGGATGTTTGATTGGTAGCGTTTGAGTTGTAGAAGATGGAGGTATCCCTGAAATAAATGAATGGCGTCTGGTGTTTGTTCTTTAACTGCAGGTCCTGTCATGGAGGATTGGGACATCATAAGCCCCAAAGAGGTGATTGGCTCCGAGCAGCTCCTCGCAGAGAGGACCCGGTCTTTGGCGAATGCAGCTCTTCCATTCACCCAGTCGCTGCTTTCTCAGGTCCCGTCACCTTCTTCTTCATAGCTTCCACAGTCAGTTGGATCTTCTACCCTCTGTTGGTGCCGGTCTTAGCTGACTGGCCTGTTCCACTTATTCAGGTGGGCCGCACCCTGTCCCGATTCCAGCAAGCCTTCAGCTGGTCTTATGGCGAAGAGATCAAGCCTTTCAAGCCCCCTCTGAGCGACGCAGAGTTCCACCATTACCTGAACGGCCAGGGGCAGCTGACGCGCCCTGAGGAACTCCGACTGCGCATCTACCACGGGGGCGTTGAGCCTTCACTGCGCAAGGTACCTGTGTTCTTAATCAGCCCACAGATATCGATCTCACACAAACACGGCTGACTACGTTGAATTGATTGCGATTTCTAGTCTGCGTGTCAATTCTTTGTTCTTACTGGATTCTAGCTGTGATTACTGGCATAGAACGTCAGTAAGAAGAGAAGCAGCATGTGCTGTAAGCAGAAAGCACATTTTCAGTAGACTTGGCCTGTTATTAATATTGTTTGTCAGAAATGCCGATATTCCTTGCAATTATTGACATGGCTTTTCCTGCACACGCAAAGCTCTACACGCATCCTTTGATAGACTACGTGATGTCCTGGTGTTGATGAGTAGAGCATCGGGTTAACCGCTGCAGTTGCTGATGTGGTGTTAGGTGGTTTGGCGGTACCTCCTCAACGTCTACCCCGACGGACTGAGTGGACAAGAACGAATGGACTACATGAAGAAGAAGACGAGGGAGTACGACCAGCTGAAGGGCGAGTGGACGGGCCGGGTCAACCACGACGACCTGGAATTCATCCGTGGCAACGTCCTGAAGGACGTCCTGAGGACAGACCGGGCTCATCCTTACTATGCCGGCTCGGAAGACAGTCCACATTTGACGGCCCTCACGGACCTGCTCACCACCTTTGCCATCACACATCCCCAGGTTTGTAGACATGTTTGACAGTTTGTGAAGCCCCTTGTTAAAATGTCCATATGTTTCCATGATGCAGATGTTTGCAAAGAGCAGCCTCGCCAGGGGGGGGAGATTTGCTTACAGCGCAGAGAAATAAGATAGTAACAATAATAACACGATACATGTGAAAATGAAGTAGTCAGCATTACTTCAAAGGCCAATTGGAAGAAATCTAAAGAAAGAACCAACTTTGATTGGATTATTTCTAACCACTCTGTGCAAAACGCCACGGGCCGAGGAAAGATGGCTAGGAGAGTTCATGAGGAGTTAGGAAAAGACAAGGTGGCGTTTAGGGAGTCTGGCTCCACTTTACTGAGCTATGTGGTTCTGATGGACAGAAGATGCATGTTGGTGACGGCAGTCTGCCCCACAAAGCATTATGAGGGCTGTAGTTCATTCATGGAGATTTGCTACATATTGAAAGCCAGTGCACATTTAGGGAAAACAATGGTCTGATTCTGGCCTCCCACGATCACAGGAACCGCTACGCATTAGCATTAATGCTGCATTTACACTTCATGCAACGCTCTTCAAAACACGGCAGGTCACTCATTGGTTCGCGAGAATCCACACCAACACATGACGGGACGTCCTGCCCTACCTTGCCACTCCGCTGACTTGAGGGCGCTCCTCGATGAAATCAACCCACTGCTTATGTGTCACAACAATAAACTAGTTCAGTTCAATTGGATTGTAAATCACAAATTGGCATTCGGGGCTTTACAATCTGTTCATGTAGCATCCGCTGTCCCAGGACCCTCACACCGGTTCCACTCCTAGCTGTCCGTGTACTGCAGTGGCAAACAAGCCAAGAAAAGAACCGGGTACTGATGGGGAGTCGAGGGGAACCATTCCACGTGGTGCAAATTCTGCAAAAAGTGCACCTACAATTTAATTGTTTCACATTATCGTATCAAAAACACTCCCATGACTATGAAGAGTTTGTCATCAACAGTCAATGGCATCATTTAAGCTGAAAGACACGATGACCGTGTCCTCAAATACCCGAAGAAATAGTTTATCTGTAAATAGATGTGTGAGAGTTGACTTGTACCTGTATGTTTGCACCTCGGGGTGCGCTGGTCCTCGTGGTCTAACTGTCTGCACATTCTCAAGTAGGGGAATGTGACATGTGATCGTGTCAATGTGTTGCTTTTCAGATCTCCTACTGTCAAGGCATGAGTGACATTGCCTCTCCTATACTTGCTGTCATGGACAACGAGGCGCATGCCTTCATTTGCTTCTGTGGAATCATGAAACGCCTGGAGGGGAACTTCCGGCCCGACGGGCAACTCATGTCTGTCAAGTTCCAGCATCTGAAGCTGCTGCTGCAGTACTCTGACCCCGAGTTCTACTCCTACCTGGTGTCCCGGGGAGCCGACGACCTCTTCTTTTGTTACCGCTGGCTGCTGCTGGAGCTCAAGCGGGAGTTTGCGTTCGACGATGCTCTGAGGATGCTCGAGGTAACTTGGAGCTCTTTGCCCCCCGACCCTCCTGAAACCGAAGTGGAGCTCCAGGGGCCGCCGGTGGAACCCGACGGCCCCCCGTCCGGCGCAGACGAGGACGAGGCGGGGGAGAAAGGCCCCGGGGGGGAGGCGGAAGAGAAGGAGAAGCAGCGTAAGCGACACATGCTGAGGCCTTCAAGAGAAGGACAAGATAATGCCGACAGCGCTGTCCTCGCAGGAACAGACCCGACAAATGTAGGCGCTGCAAACGGGGGCGAGAGGCCACAATGTGCCAATCCTCCGGTTGAGAGGAAAACCAGTTTTGGGGAGTTTAAATACTACACTGCCCGGAGTGAAGACAGTTTTCATGCGGAGGACGCGGAGCGGCCACATGGTCTCAAGTCCGTAAGAAGCGTCCCGCGGCGCCAGTCCACCGCTGACAGCGAGGAGGACACGGGAGAAAGAACGCCTCTCATTAACAACTGTACCAATGGCTTCTCCCCGACGCCGTCGCCTCCTCTCACCTCCGGTGGCCTGCCCATCCGGAAGGCTGGTCCCTCTGCCTACCCCACGTCCCTGGCTTCACCCTCCAGCTGGCCCGGTGCCTCTCCAGACTCTCCTTCAAGGTCCACGTCCCGGGCAACCACCACTGGGAGTGTGGACCTGCTGAGGACCGTCCCGAGGGCGATGACCTCCTCGGCCCAGACGCTGGGCAGCACGGGGATTAACTCGCCCACGACCCCCACAGTGAAGACAGCCGCTGCGTCTCCGACCCACAACCGGTGCCTGCTCTCTTCACCCATCTCGTCCTTCGGGAGACGCCCTTCGCTGTCTGGCAGCCGGTCGTCCCCCAGCACCGCCGCCAACACTCCCGGTTCTCTGAAAGCCGAGACCAGCAGCATCAAGCCGTGCGCCCTGCCGCCTCCGCAAGAGTTCGGCAAAGGCAATCCCTTCATGCTGTTCCTGTGCCTGTCCATCCTGCTGGAGCACCGGGACCACATCATCAAGAACAGCTTGGACTACAACGAGCTGGCCATGCACTTTGACCGCCTGGTGCGGCGCCACAACCTGAGCAGGGTGCTGCAGCGGGCCAAGGCGCTGTTTGCAGACTACTTGCAGAGCGAGGTGTGGGACTCGGAGGAGGGGGATGAGGTCAGCTCGGACTCCCCGACCTCCGCTGCCGGTGGTCCACACTCCCCGTCGTCGACCGCCTCTGCGCGGCCCGTGTACAGCCCCTCGGCGTCGCCCCCGCCATTGTCTCCCAACTCCACGTACAACCTGGCCACCACCGTAGCCTCCCCGACAGCTCAAGTCTCCCATTCTCCCACGTCCTGATTGCACCACGCTCCCCGTCCCGTTGGAGGTGTGGACAGTTTTATAGAGCGACATCCGCATTGACTTGTGTTGTTCGTGGTCTTCTCATTCCGTATACGCTTTAATACATATTTATATTTCCTTTAATCCCTGAAGGCGCTGTGATGCATGGAATGTTGGACCCGGTGGTTCTGCTGTCAGGCTTCTTCTAACCGTTGTTGTCTTTTTTTATGGGCTTGTTTACAAGCTCCTGTTCCGTCCAATAAGCCACACACATGTCTTAAGTCAAGTTCTGTGGGTTCTAACCCGAGTTCTTAGCAGCCGGGCAGAAGGTCATGCTAATGACAACACTTGGAGACGAGACCAGCACGCATGCTGTACTTCCCTGGCCGCCTTGACCCAGTCCGTCACCGTGAACCTTAAAGACCGAACGAAAGCTGCGTTGACACAACGCGGAGGGCGCTGAGGTCACATTGCTCCAATGAGACGTGTCCAGACGTCTCTGCTGTGCACCTTTCAGCTGTTTGACTGTCTGAACCCTCAACGGGGGAGATGATGCCCCAGTGTTTCCCCAGGTTTACAACCTTGGGCTGGGGGGGGGGCACTGATGTAATGGGAGGGGAAACGCTGCTCACTGACCACATTAAGGAAAACACCAAATATTTAAAGGGCAACTCCTTTGGTGTTGGATGAATCCACTTCATAGACCGAGAGGCCGATTCCCACAGACGGGCTGTCTGGGGTGTAAAGGTGCTCCATGTTCTATCCCAGGACCCGTTAGGACCCCTCAGTTCTCCCAGTTCGGCCATGGACACTCGCTCCTCATTTCAATGTGGGCTGGACCAGTTTACCATGCAGGGAAGATTGCATTATGGGAAATGGTGTATTTAGTAGGGTCTCTTGGTCTCCTAATGTCGCCTAAGCTTGGGTGCAATAGTGGATGACAAATTGAACACACCTTCCCGGAGGCGGTCGGGGAACCGGGCGTCTGCTCTACTGCATCAGGACGCGTGATGCCCAGGAATGAGGGTGGAAGCGGAACGCCGTTGCCATGGCGATAAACATACCCTCCTTCGTACTGTTTGTGTTGTGCTGTAGATGAGCTGATGTGTGTTCTTTACCCTGTCATGTGTTTTATGAGCTTAATCCCATTTCTGCTGTGGCCAAAACCAAACCGTCTGTGGTTAATGTTGCTTCCATGACGACATTTAAGAGACAGCTTTCCATGATGGTTATTTTATGTTACCAAGTGCACCACGCACATGCAAACTACAACAGTAGTTAAGGAAGTACTGTGCAGTATTTCTTGCTCTGTTGGCTCAATATTCAGAGATGTATCAAATTAGCACTTTGGTTCTTGCTGTTTCCCAAAGACTGTCTGTGTGCCGTTTGCCTGAGACATGACGACACACTTCTCCTAATGGGGCAGAGCTGCTGGTAGCGCTTACCGACGCTCTCTATTAGTATAATTACTATCTTTACCATCCTCTTTTTGTGCGGTAGACTTTATAAAGAGGAATACGATGTGATGCCACTTGGCAGAAAAAAAAGGTGCGACATATTGGCAGAGAAGTGCCTCACTTGTTTAACGCCTTGGTTTCTGTTTCCGTTGGTGCTCTTCACATCTGTCTACATAGCCTGTCAGCGGGCAGATGTTCCTGCTCAATGATTGGCCGTCAGACATTGGCTTGGATGGTGTCCTGCGTCCTCCGACGGAGTGAACTGGATTGTTTCAGTGACTGCGTGCATGGTGTTCACTGCAAAGGAAGATTATTATTTATATATATATATATATATATATATATATAAAATATACATGAAATGATTTTGTCCTAGGAAACTAGGTATCTCTATTTTTTATGAATTTGGCCTTTTAAAACCTTTTTTGTGCTTTCAAACTTGAAAATAAAACTGGCCACACATGTATCTCTAATTTATTGCACCCAAAGCAGACGTCCGTCTTTGCTCCTATCCGGTATGATCTAGTTGTACGCTGTGGTGGACACCATGCAGGCAAAGGGTCCATCTGGGAGCCGTCCTCACACAACTTGTAACACAAGAAAGTCACCAGTCAGCAACAGTGTTACTTTTTGTTTCCTTTCAAGGTCCGAAAATGTTGACAAAGCTCGGCCTTATTTTTTTTGCACTATGAAAAGTTAAATGAAGGTAGCAATGTTAAACATGAATTACGTGTTCTGAAGGAATCGTGAGCTGAGATGTGCCCCTTTGTAACTGTGCACCAGAACAAAGTGGTGAAATGTACCTAATGTCATCAAGTTGGTTTATTTGCTTTCACAGCATTGTTTACCAGCAGGACTTTGGTCCTGGTTTTGAGTGGCCTGTGTTGGACTTGCTCAGTCTGCAATGCTGAAGGGTCAACAAGTGTGATGACGCACCTCTAATGTGGAAACCCCTCTTCAACAAGTCAGCAGAGTATCTAAAGTAATTCTCCTGACTCTGGAAACATCTTTAGTATTATTATTATTATTGTGGTTATTTTGCTTCCATTTGGCCTCCTTTTGTATATCAGTATTTAAGAATCACAAGAACTGCAGCTGGGTCACAGTTTTTCGGCGGGGGTGTACGGACGGGCGCCGTCGGTCCGCTGGTGGGACGTGCTGGCCCGTGTGCTGGGGGGCATGTCGCGGTGGGGGGACACGGAGCTGGACTAGGAGCTAGCAACATATGCATTTACAATAAGACACATTTGTTTATATCATTAAATATGTGTGCACAAAGTTAAACCTTTTAATTCTATAACACACAACCATGTTACGGATTGTATATTGGACACAAATAAATGATAATGCAACCGATTGGGTGGGGATGATTGTGCTTTCTAACTGACTCATCGACTCGAGATGTGTTTAAATATTCATTTCACGTTTTCAGTTTCAATATGAAACAAAATGTCATTAACATTTGTGAATGTACACCAAAAGAGTTGAGATGATTTTGAACTGGAACAGGAAATCATCGATACTACTCGTGTTCAGTTGGTCTGTCCTCTCAGGACCTCGTGGACTCTTCGGTACTCGTTTTAGTGCTTCACTCGGTTTTGACATTTCCCAAATCATACTTTAAGCAGCAACGTTCATCACATCCCACTAAACTAAAAACGGTCAAGGGATACAAACACAGAGTAAACTTTGGAGACCATGAATATCGATGTATCCTCAGACCTTTGTGGCAATTTGCTCTCGCTCAGCACCGAGGCCACAAAGCGGACGGCAGCAACACTATGTCCATTTATTTAGTACAACCTGTTGACTCTGTTTGACCACATGTCGATGGCTGATCACGTCTGCGGCTCCATGACCGCCCGCCACCTCATGGCGGCAGTAATGCTCCCTTCCGTTTGGGGGAAACGAAGAAGAAGAGGCGTCGCGCGTCTATTTCCGGTTCCGGGTCACTGCTATCCTTCACGAGCAGGTAAAATGTTGACCCGACTGTCGCGGTTCGGGCCGGCTCTCCCGCGGTTACTCTCAAACGCGCCGGCCCGTTTTGTTTCCCAGTCAAAGCCGTCCGGTGCCGCCGGTTCGACCGCCGTGACCGAGCTGCTTCCGGCCGCGCGGGACGCGGGACACGGCGAGGTCAGCCCGTACGTCAAGGTGAGCGCGTCCCTCCGCACGCAGGCTTCGTAAAGCAGCGCCGACCGGAGGGGGTTGAGCGGATATGTCACGTACATGACACATAAGACACACACATACATGACACATAAGACACACACATACATGACACATAAGACACATACATGACAACCAGGCCGCCAACTAAACCCGCGGGTACCGGCCGCTCGCAGGTCCGATGCGCTCCGCATCAAATGAAACCATTTGTCAATAAATGTACTCCTACTCGTGTCATGTTGAATATATAAACATGCCATTTAGAAGCAACGTGTGTTCAATCACAGGTTTGTTTCAACACGCATTATGGAAATGTATTGGATACTAATATAAACAAACAATGTACTTCAGGCTTTTCATAATTCAGGCTCCATCATGTGGCTCAAAGGCAAACTAGAGATGGAATTAAATAAACTACATTCCTGCGCTTTTACCTGGCGGCCCACATACGTGCTCCTGCAAACCGTCTGGTAATGGCGTCTGAAGCTGATGCCTCTCCTTCAATGCTCAGAATCCAGACTACCACGGCTTCTCCAGTGACCCCGTGGTGGATGAGTGGAACATGAGGGTGGGCTTCTTCTTTGGCATATCGGTGGCTCTCGTTATTGGAGGGACCTTTATCCACTATTTACCAGACCACGGGTAAGACGCTTTCTTATTAATATTGTATTGCTGCTTATTCATTCACGCTTTCAGGTTTTCGTGGCGGCCTTTCGCCACAAGTGGAATGTGAGGTTTCTTGTTATTAACGTCCAGTATTTCTGGTTCCTTCTCTTTGGACCAGCATGCGCCAGTGGGCCAGAAGGGAGGCGGAGCGTGTGATCCTGCAGAGAGAGAAGGAAGGTCTCCCTCTCATGAGCGAGAATTATTACGACCCAAACAAGATCATTCTGACCTCCGCGGGAGAGGAATAGGATGTCCGACACCCAGTCGCTCTATTTCATGATTAATGTATTTGACTGACAGAATAAATGATGTACTTGTTGAACTGAGTCATTATTATGTATGGACTGACTTCTTTAAACAGCACCTTGTCTCTGATTGATAAACTACTACAGAAATCCAGTCCAAGTAGTGGTTAAAATAATAATAATGAATTTGTCATTATGACAAGTGCAATTTTCACAGAAGCCGAAGATAGTCAGCTGACCCGTCTGTCTTTATGAAATGTAATATTTAAGCCACTAAGAACCCCTGTAATTCGTCCAATAGCAGACACCGTATGAACCCTGCTCCAGCACAATGAAACCGATGAAGAGGAGCTGCTGTTCTTCGTCATGCACTAACACTGGCTGATTAGAAGATTGACATGTAAAGAATAAATGATACTGAGCATATAGTATATAGTCTTTAATTACACCACCTTATCATTTCAAGTCACGAGCCTTAGGAAGACCGTTACTTTATTCATTTATTACCAAAATATGTCAGACATACAAGGAATTTGACTTGGCGGTTGCAACATCGGACTGTAAGACAATGGACAACAACACCGATAAGACAACAACATAAGACTTATTTGCTGATGGGATTTTGGGGTTTCAATGTCTATATATATATATATATATATATATATATATATATATATATATATATAAACACCTTTACTTAGAGTTTACCGACAGCTCTTCTGCGTCAATCTGTTGTATTTATATTTTTAAAATGTATATTTCATATTGAAATTTTGTAATTTACCATAATTACCTCCATAACTAAATAGGTTAACGCACAAGGGATCTTTTGAATATGAAAAGATTCACCGATGTGACATATGTCAATAACTCTTTTTTGGAGACACGCCACAATACCGAGTGCTCATTATTCTGTGAGCACGTGAATGCAGCAGAAGGACGTAACGGGAACGCGCATGCGCAGAAATCGGCAGTCAAATCGGCGAGCTGGCGCCAAACGCAGTGTGTCGCGCACGTACGGGGGGAAGCAGAGCGGCTCCTCGCTCCGGAACCGGCTGCTAACCGCTCGACGCCGTCTTCTGGACGCTGGGAAATGTGTGACGGCCTCGACAAGTCCGCACAAAGCGCGTCCTTTGTAGCGCGTCCGTGAACGCAGCAGCTGATCCAGTAGCGACGCTCAAGATGCCTTCACTGACTCTCAAAGGGGTGACGGTGAATTTCCCCTTCACCCCGTATGACTGTCAGAAGGACTACATGGGCAAAGTGATTGAGTGTCTGCAGAAGGTAATGTTGACTTTCCTTTCACCTGGTTACAGTTGCCCTGCTTAAAGACGCCATTGTTGCTCCTCGCGCGTTCCACGCTGCCACCTTCTCCAATACACACAGGGCAACTTTAGAAACAGTGTTTACTGCCATAACATCATCATCATCATCATCATAAACCCGGAGCACAACAAGCCAGCAGCTGTGAGGTTGATCTCAAAGTGGCAGTATGTGATTTGTGACAACGTCCCAGTTTGGCAGGTGATCATCTCCAGAGATGAGACCTTCATGTGTGTGTGTGTTTCAGAAGGAAAATGGGGTCCTGGAGAGCCCCACGGGCACTGGTAAAACTCTGTGCCTGTTGTGTGCCACGCTGGCCTGGAGAGAGCACTTCAAGGACACCATCTCTGCCCGCAAGATCGCAGAGAAGTTACAAGGGCAGGAGATGTTCTCCAGCACACCCATGTCCTCCTGGGGGACGGCTGCGACGGACGGGGCAACTCCAGGTGCGTTGTCTTTGCGCCACACCGCTCAATGCATTGCAACACCTGTAGATGCCACAATGAGGGCTGTCCATCGCCGACCCGCGGTGCAGCGTTAACCAGGCGGACCAACAATGGCAATAACAATCAGAATAATAATAAATACATGTGGTTCAGCCACAGCATGTACATGCGGAATAGTTTTCACATTGTTCACACCTCCTCACCTCGCCAAGTCCATCGCCGTGTCTTTCTCTCACTCTCCCTTTCTGTGTTTTCTCAACCCACCAGGTGGAAAAATGACAATAAAACATGACCGTGAGAGTAGAAAAGCACAATGCGTATCACCATCCGCTGCCTCACTCTCTATTATCACGACGATTTGGTTCTCTTTATGAAAATATACACAATATATGTTTTTTATGTTTTTTGTGATATTCTTTAGATCTAGAATATCACCTTAATCATGTTCCGTTATTGTTTCCAAGTGTACTATACAGATATTCCCAAGATCATCTACGCGTCCAGGACTCACTCTCAGCTGGCGCAGGTCATCGGTGAGCTGAAGAACACGTCGTACAGGTAAACCAGCGGCCTGTCCCACCGTAGAAGATGCACTTCATGCAAGTCGAGCCTTCTTACCGCACGAGCCTTTTCTCACGCACAACACCGAGTCTACTAATGTCTCCTTGTCTGTGCCGACTCAGTCCCAAGGTGTGTGTGCTGGGATCAAGGGAGCAGCTGTGCATCAACCAGGAAGTGATGCGCCAGGAGAGCAACCACGTCAAGGTGAGCAGACGCTCTCTGGGGCGCGTCCTCGGGCCTGTGTTCGCTCCACTGTCTGAAGGTTGTCCATGGTGTTGAGACGGGGAAGAGCGGCTTCGTTAGGAGAATATTCTGACCTAGAAAGGGGATTGAACCCATTTAGTTCTGCTGGTTTGCATCTATTCCTTGTTGCTGTGACCTTTGTCCAGGTCCATATGTGCAGAGGAAAGGTTTCCACCAGGTCGTGTGTCTACTACAATAACGTTGAAGGTAACGTCGTAAGCCCTCCGTTTGTAAGCTTGTGGACGGACCCTTTTTAACGACACGTTTTACCCTCTTTCTGCTCAGAGCGCACCACCGACCGGGATCTGGTGAACTCCATCCTTGATGTGGAAGACTTGGTCAAATTCGGTAACAAACAGAGGTGGGATTCATGTCCCCTGACAATAACCCATGAGCAAATACACATGGACCACAAGGCCGCCTCAACACGTCAGCACATTATTCCATCGTCTTTGACTCGGTCATAACATAAGCCTTAGCAACCAGCCTAACGACGAGGATGCCATCAGAACTCGCCTCTTAGCCCGAGCTGCTTCTGGATGACGAGGTGTTTCAGAGTTCTTCTTGTGTGGTTGCTTCAGGAAACTTGAGGCCTGAAAGCAGGACTTGGGGTCGTCGAGGTAACGTTAGGGTACCTCTGGGTTTTCTGTCCAGGGGATGGAGCTTCGCTCCTCACTGGGTTGCCATGGGTCAGTTATGTTGCTGCTCTAGCATCAGTTAGCCATCGTCTCCTCTGTGCTGAAGACGGTTGTTTCATACGGGACTGGTAGGGACACTGCGATGACTGTTGACCCTTGTTCTGCAGGGTCTGTCCTTACTACCTGTCCCGGTCCTTGAAGCAGCAAGCAGACGTGATCTTCATGCCTTACAACTACCTGCTGGATCCAAAGGTGGGTCGGGGGGGTCTGGTTGCAAAAAGTCCTGCAGAACAAAAAAAAGGGAGGGATTTATACATTTATTCTTCTCGATTTGTACTCTGACATTTAAAAATAGTAATTAAAATATATATTAATTACTTAATAATAATATATATTTAATGGAGGCCTCAAATAAGCCCAGTTGGCTTTCTGCTTTTTTCTGCACTGACATTATTTATCTTTTTTTTTTTTACATTTTTTAATTGTGCAAATAAAAAAACTTTTCTTGCACAATTCACAAGATAATTCATCATTGACAGAATCAAATTGATATCTCTTAATAGATTGATTATTGTTAACAATTGCTTAGTTCCAACGTGAAACATTTTCTTCCCACTCAACACGGTATCCATAACGTTTCATGTTCACTACATGTCACTGAGACTCCAATGTATGGAGGAACTTCTCAATCTTTATACACACCTTTTTAAAAACGCTGCGTTCAAGTGGGACAGTTTTCAGCTGCAGCTCTTCATCTTCAACGGTATGATGCATCATTCAGAGCTCCTAGCCCCCCCCCAGCCCCCACCTCATTATAACATTATATCAACCACTTAACACAACGGCCCCACATGCACACTTATGGCTGAGAGCACTCGGTTCTCAGGACGGACCAGATCCTCTCCCCTGGGATCCGATGGAAGAGCTCACTTTGGCCCTCGTCCTACCGACAAGTCAGGGGATCGAAGCAGAGGAGTACGGGAAGCAATCTGACGCGGCCCCAGATTGCCAGGGAAGAAATCAATGATCTGGAGGAAGTTAAAGGAACCCAATAACAACAGATCATCAAGCTCTGCGAGGAGAATGACGCTGCCGAAAGATCCGTGGTGTCTTTGGGAAGATGGAGGAGTTTGAGCTGGGGAAACCCAAGTTGTTGAAAACCTGCCAGAGAAGGAGATGCCCCGGGCTCCTCCGATGGCTAAAGGAGGATCAGCAGCTCCTGGAGGACATCTGCCTCCGAATGAAGAACAGGACGCTAGGACGTTTCTTTGGGAGGAGGATGGAAGACGGAGTCACGGAGATGGCAAAGATGAGGAGGAAAATGACTGAGAAGGAGACTGATAATGGATTTTTCCAGCGGGTCATCCGGAAGGATTACGGGCAACAACGCCGACGGGGCGGAGGAGCCCCTCAACTACTCCTCCCGCCGTCACCCCTCAACCAGCCCTGCCTCCTCCAGCTTCTCCCCCATGTCAAGGCGAGAGAACAAAACCCAGACTGCCACATGTCCCGTGAGCAAGACACATGACCCCTAACTGGGATGGGTTGAATGCAGAGAATCATTTCTTTCATTCTTTCTCTCCAGTATCCCACCATCCACCTCCCGTCCCTCATAACCCCGCCCTCTTCTCTTCCCTTTTCTCCCGGTGCTCGGGTTTTAAAAAACGATTCCCTTTTTAGGCTTAATGGGAACACGGACACCTCTACCCACCCCCTCCCCTGGCAAACTTGCCGCTTGTAAGGATTACAGGTGCTTGAAACCAAAAGCACAACTCGGAAACCGCAAGTAAAGTTCTTCACTCATGTTCAGGCAGGGTGAAAACCGGAATATCAGTCCAAAGGGCAAACAAATCCGAAACGGGGGCACGCAAAAATCTTGGGTCGAGTAGTCAGGCAAACGGGGTCGGAACAGCAGATCAGGAACAAACTCCGGATACGCTGGAGAGCTTGGAAGTAACACATACGACACTCTGGCAGAGGGCAGGTGTGGGGACCTAAATAGTGAGGGAATAACGAGAGAATGGGCTGGAGGTGGGAAGTCCATGAGGACCAGGTGAAGGGAGGGAGAGACGATCTCGTGTTGATGACAGGATCTGTACCGAGTTCATTGACAAGCAGGCAGGCAGGACAAAAACTAATAAGACGGAGAATTTGTGACAGAACCTCCCCCCCTCATAGGGACGCTGCTGGACGTCCCACAGGGCTGTTCCGGATTAGCCTGGCGGAAGTCCGTGATCAGGGAGGGATCCAAAATGTTGCGCGCGGGAACCCATTCACGCTCCTCGGGACTATAACCCTCCCAGGAAAAGAGAGGACCCAGTTTGTTAGATTCCAGGATGATGGGTTGCGGTGGGTGACTTTGCTCGTGGTATTAACATGGCAGACTTTGAGAATCAATGACCGGAAGGATGACTGTGTTACAACGGTTACAACATCCAAAGCGATGTGGGACCAAGCAGGACTAGGACGAAGTCCGGACGGAGGTTGGCGAGTGCTCCTATCCTAGGAGCAGACCAGGAAAGCATCGACAAACTCCTTGGCGTCCTCCTCCATGCAAGACCACCAAAAGCGTTGTCTGAGCATTGATCCCGGGATGGCAAGCCAGCCGGGACGAGTGACCCCGCTGGAGAACCTGCGAACCGAGGCTGACTGGACAAGCACTGGGAGCAGCGCGTTTGGCCTTGGAGCGTTTAACCCTGTCCTCCACCTCCCAGGTGACCGCACCAATAAGACCCTCCGGAGGAAGGGTACCTTCAGGATGAGGAGGAGAGCTCTCCTACGGGAGTTGCTGGGACAAGCTGTCGGGTTTGGTGTTCTTGGAGCCTGGTCTTTAGGAGAGCAAGAATTCAAACCAATTTAAAGAAAAGCACCCACCTTGCATGACGGGGGGGTAGTAGTCAGTCCGCTGGTGCGAACGCCACGTGTGTGCATACGCAACATCTTTTTTTAATTTGCAGACTTTATCAGGCGGTTGGGAAGTCATTTCAGGGTGGTGGTGGGTGGACGCGTATATCTAATATAGATCCAACCATCCATACCCAGGATGCTCCTCATAACTGAAGGTCTCGTCATTTTGTGTATGGTTACTGGTAATGTCCTGTTTAACCACGATGGTCCTCATAACCAAGCGTCCGGTCATGTTTGTGTATGTGTGCTAGTAATGTCCTTATAAATAAGGGTGGTCTTCATAATTCCCCCTCAAGACAGAGCCCGCCCCGTCGCCACAGTCCTGTAGAATGTCAGGTCCTCAGATCTCCTGACTTTGTTCCCAATAACACACGGACCAATTTTCAACAAGTAGGGGAAAAATGTCCTGAGTGTGTAGGTGTGCGTGTTGTAGTATTTATTCTACATGACTGCTGACTTGTTCCTTGTACATGACTTGTTCTTCTGCTGTGTTCCACAGAGCCGCAGAGCTCACAACATTGAGCTTAACGGAGCCGTGGTCATCTTTGATGAAGCTCACAATGTGGTAAGACTGGACATAGTTTATTCACTTATTATTCATTCATTTATTTTGCATGGACAATGCACACCAATCAACAGTTGTAGTGTAAGTGAGCCGGGGGCTAAGTTTCAGTTGTAGTGATTGTAGCCTCATGTTGTCACTCACTTTGCAAGCCCTCTTTATGAAGAACATACAGTCCTTTTAACATTCAGATGAAGGCAGGAACGTGAAAACCCTTTAGCTCCATTTCTCACTGTGGATGTGGCTTTAAGTGCAGCTTGTTCTTTGCGTGAACATAAATCACTGTCAGCCTACATTTCAACACCCGGCAAATTGTTATAAACTAAATAATAAAAGTCCCAAAATAGAACCCTGGGGTGCTCCCACGTTAGATCTTAGAGTACATGATGGATGTTTCATCACACCGGGTTCTTCCTTCAAGGTGGATTTCAGCAAAGCCAAAGACTCGGGAAAGGTTCAAATTTGAAAATCATTTTATTAATCCGGACATCGTGATTAACTGTATCAAAAGCTTTCTTGAGGTCAAGAAAAACTGCTTCTACCGCCCTCACTTTAAGCTTCACATCCTCTAAGAGGAAGGAGTTGGCTGTTTGCATCGAAGGATTAGCCCTGTAACCAAACTGCATAGGATGCAGCTGACGTGGAGGTCGTAGGTCTTTAATAAGGGCTGCAACACATTTCTCATCTGTTTGGGGAAAAGAATACGGATTGGGTGAGTGACTGTGCCTTATAGAAAAATATTATGAATTGACAGCTGGACAAATGACCTCATTTTGTGTGAGGCACCCGTTCACTTTAATTTGTTCATTGATTTGCTGTTATCTTTGTTAACTTAAACTGATTATTTTAGAACTACCTCCTGTTTCATCAGTGATCCAATGAAGTTCACCTCAGATGTTTCTGTGGTCTGCAGGAGAAGACTTGTGAAGAGTCCACTTCGTTCGACCTGACTCCTTACGACGTGGCCTCGGCCGTCAGCGCCGTGGACAAGCTGCTGGTGGAGCAGGCTACAGAAGCCTCCGCCTCCGAGGACTTCAACGTGGAGAACCTCAGCTCTGGTCAGAACGCCCACAAGGGGACGAACGTGGGGGCCGGGGTTTATGGCCTTTCAGTCACACCAAACAGAATAAGCGTGCGTGGTATTTAAAGCAATGTATATTTCATGTTCATTTAAGCAGGTCACGTTTTTCTCTTTCAGGTTTGAAAATCGATTTAGAAAGCATTGGTAAGATCAAACGTAAGTATCTTGGCTTCATTTCCACAGTAGGTCGCTCGGTGCTGTGTGGGATTAAAACAAAGGGCCTTGTGTGCTTCGACAGAGATGCTGCTGGATCTGGAGGCTGTCATTGATTCCTACGATGTTCCAAGTGACAAAGGCCTCACGAAAGCCGGCATGTACGTGAGAGGAGATGCGTGTTTGTTCCGTTAGCGTCTGTCTGACCTTCTCTTGTCACTATGCTTCTCCTTTCTCTACACACGGCGTCAGCGGCTTGTTATAGATTATTTGGGAGATGTGATTTCCTATTCCTTGTCTTATATTTTACCCGGTTATGTAGGCGACTAGCGTGTCTCCTCAGAATCTTCCTTTTGACTTCCTTCTGTCTCAGCTTCATCTATGAACTACTAGAGCGCGTCCAACTGACCTACAGCAGCAAGACGGCCGTATATGAAGCTCTGGAGCAGATCATCGGACACCTAACAGGACGTCAGTATGCCTCCATGTCACATGATTCGTCACGTCATGTAGATGTGGTCGTCCTTTGCCTTCATGTCACATACGAGTGCGAATGTAACCGAAGACCCGCCTGCTGGAGGCGTCAGACCCTCCTGCGTGTAACGTGTAACGCGTGTTTCTGATCAGGGCCGGGAATCTTCCTGAACACTAGCGGGCTGCAGAAGCTGGCTGACATCATACAGGTAAAAGCCCCTGTGAGGCCGATGTCGTCATCATGAATGTGTGGGTGCTGTCAGGACTTGGTTAGCCTAGCTTAGCATAAAGATTTGAAGCAGCTGGTCGGGTTTAAAAATAACGCTACCAGCATCTGTGAGGCTCACTTTAATTTCTTTAAGTTCTCACTGTTTGGTCACTGAGGTTCTGGACTGCCACAGTGAGCCGGTCGCCCCCTCAACTAATTCTTCTCTCCTTTTGCTGTAGCTGGTGTTCGTTGGTGACCCTTCAGAGAAGGACAAACGGCAGCAGATGGAGTCCAATACGGCTCATTTTAAGGTGCGTATGGAAATATGAACATGTCCACACACAGATGTTTACGGTGACCACATCTGTCTGTTTGTCTCAGGTTCACATCCACCGAGACAACAGCTATCATAAGAAAGCACAAAGCACTGATGTGTGGGCTTCACATTCATCTTCATCGAAGAAACCAGGTGATGATACACGGTGGTGTGCTGGCTTCCAGTAATCCCACCACGACGTCCCCAACGTCACCCTCAACCCGCCTCCACGAATGACCTGTTGACCTCCTGAGGACACCTGGTTCACTGGACCGCCTGTTTGCTGCTTGCAGGGAACATCCTGAGCTACTGGTGCTTCTCTCCAGGCTTCAGCATGCAGGACCTGAAGAGCCAAGGCGTGCGCTGCATCATCCTGACCAGCGGCACGCTCTCGCCCCTCTCCTCCTTCACCTGCGAGATGAGGATGTGAGTCCTTACGTCTTGTTTAAGCGCCGCAAGTGCAGCGTTGTGTTTCTTTTAGTCCGCAATGCAGCTCAACCACTACGACCGCTGTGAGTTGTAAAGCTTGTTGATCCCGCAGCCCGTTTCCCGTGAGTCTGGAGAACAGCCACGTGATTGAGCGGGACCAGATCTTCGTCGGCATCGTTGAACGAGGCCCAGACGGAGTGCCCTTGAGCTCAGCGTTTGACCGAAGGTTGGTGATCTGTTGGTGACGAGTCTCTACTCGTAGCGTCTGTATGGAGACCAAGAGGCCAGTATTTAGTGTGCAGGTCTACAAAACAACGTGTTCGTCACACCGCACTCGCTTCCGTAGAAAATGGTGTGTAAACCGCTCATCTCTTCCTTTGTGGCAGGTTCCTCCCTGAAAACATGGCGTCTTTAGGCAACACTGTGGGTAAGAGTCAGAGACGCTGTAACGTGGTTTCTCTCAGCAGTAACCGAACGTACTTAATGCTGTTTGAACTCATTCCTGTCAGGATCTTGACACCAGTTGCTCCTTGTGACTTGTCCCCAGCTAACCTAAGCCGTGTGGTTCCTGATGGTCTATTAGTGTTTTTCCCCTCCTTCCCCTTAATGGAGAAAACCCTGGACTTCTGGAGAGTGAGTGGAGAACCAGCAGAGTCCCCCGTCTTATTATCTGGTGTTTTTAGGTGTTGAAATGTTTGTGTTCTCTCACCAGACCAACGGACATGCAGAGCGCATTGAGAGCGTGAAGCCCATGTTCGTTGAGCCGAAAGGAAAGGGCACCTTTAACGAGGTGACTCTCTAGGAACCTGGACCACGGCGACATTGACTTGGAGGGCTTGATAATAACGCGGCATCGTGTCTCTCTGTCTGTTCGTTAGGTGATTGATGGATATTACCAAAAAGTCAATGATCCAACGTCCAAGGGGGGGACCTTCTTTGCCGTGTGCCGAGGCAAGGTGAGTCCCATGAAGCCTTTCACGTGGATCTAGTTATGACGGTTTGAGACGTCCAGAGGAGGTTGCTTGTATTTTGTGGCACCATTTATTTTAGACCCCAAAAACATATGAAAGCAAAGCTGCCCGTTTCAGTTCCCCATCAGTAAGTAAAGAGGTGAGAGGATCCTAAACCATGTGCACTGACCGGAACATTTACTTCTCCTGTCTGTCTCCATCTTTGTGGTAATACACTGACTTTTATGACTTCATCAAGGGTTAACATGTCTGCTCACACAAACTCCCCCCGTTACCCGGGACCAATGTCTTCCTGTGCCAGGCCAGCGAAGGTCTGGACTTTGCGGACACCTTTGGTCGGGGCGTCATCATCACCGGCCTCCCTTTCCCTCCGAAGATGGACCCCCGAGTCATCTTGAAGATGCAGTTCTTGGATGAAATGAGTCGGAGGAAAGCTCCTGGGCTGAAGGTGAGGGGAGCCGCCGCCCGGGCTTACCTGAGAACGCTGGTGTTGTTTCAGGGGCTTAATCACTGCGTGTGCGTGTGTGTGTGTGTGTGTGTGTGCAGTACCTGTCTGGGCAGGAGTGGTACAAGCAGCAGGCCTTCAGAGCGGTGAACCAGGCCATCGGTAGAGTCATCCGTCACAAGGACGACTATGGAGCCATCTTACTGTGCGATCAAAGGTCAGACATGCAGCTGTCACTCAAACCATGACTTCTGTGGGAACATGTTGGAGGTCCCGGTACGTCGACTTGGTTTAAAAACAGTGGCAACGGAAACCACCAACGCAACTAAGCTAACATCTCGCCTAAGACAACCGCCACCCGCCCCGGCTGCCGCAGCGCGCTTTTCCTCTGGACACGTCTTCTCGCCCCGAGCCCGATGCTTGGCCCGATGCCTGGCCCGGTGCCTGGCCCGGTGCCTGGCCCGGTGCCTGGCCCGATGCCTGGCCCGATGCCTGGCCCGATGCCTGGCCCGGTGCCTGGCCCGGTGCCTGGCCCGGTGCCTGGCCCGGTGCCTGGCCCGGTGCCTGGCCCGGTGCCTGGCCCCTTGTTTTATTTCTTTAGGATATATTCCGATTCTAATGTCTAAATATTGTGACGGATAAAACTTTCCACACAAACTTGCCACAACTCAGTGGGTTGTTGTCTTCACTCATTCAGACAGTAAACCCCACTTACATCCCCTTCTTTTTAGCATCCAGGACCAAAACGTACATTTCTGTCTTCAAGCTGCACGTTCCAGGATGACGGTGGAGTTTGGATGAATAACGCAGCCTGTCCCGTAGGTTTAAAGGCGCCGGCGCGAGGGCCCAGCTTCCGTCCTGGGTCCGCCCTTACGTGCGTCTCTACGAAAGCTTTGGGAACGTGATCCGGGACGTGTCCCAGTTCTTCAGGGTGGCGAACAAACTGGTGGGTTCTACTTGTTTCACGCGCTTCGCTGCACTGTAGATGATACATTGATACTTTATTGATCCCTCAGGAGGGAAAGTTTGCTGTCCCAGCAGCATGTACAGGGAAAAGAATCAAAAGATGCACATTATATACAACATAATGAAGTCACTGCGTGTCCTGTTGACCAGTAGCTGTGGACTGAGTGTTGTGCTGACTGACTGTGGCGGTTTGTGCCAGAGGCCTGTGGCGGAGAAGAAGTCTGCAGCCCGGAGCCACGAGGCCGCCTGCTCCCCAGACACCCCGTCCCCCGCCGCCCCCTCCTGCTCCTCCTCCCAACGCACCAACACCCAGAAGGCGAAGCAGCTGGACGCCCACCTCCCGAGCCTGAAGAGGAGGAGACTCCGTGAGTAGAGGGACGGCGCCTCCACAAAGCGCCGGTTGTCCCTCCGCTGATTGGTTGTCTTTGTGATCAGATGAGCACTCCGTGGCCAATGGAATGGCCAGGATCTGCATCGAGTACGAGTCTGAGGCGCAGGAGGGTCCGAGGAGACCGGCCAACCTGCTGGATGCCCTGGAGCAAGGGGCCCACCGGGGGGGAGCGGCCCCCAATGCCGTCGCCGGGGTAGAGCAGGTAGCTCGCTCCCTGTGAGGCTGGGGTCCGTGCTGCCAGTGAGCGTGCAGCCTGTGTGACGCCCGCTGGATCCGGACCCGTGTGGCGTCCAGTCATTTCAAGATGATTGTGCTTATTTGCTGTTGACTTTTTCTTTTGAAGGCAAACCATTTGTCCACGCTGTCTCTTCAATGTGACAAGAGGATGGCTGATGAGCTGCGCGGAGGGAAACGTAAAATCAAGCTGGTGCAGGAACAGGTGCGTGCTACGTCGTCCGTGCTACGTCGTGCGTGCTACGGCGTGCGTGCTACGGCGTGCGTGCTACGGCGTGCGTGCTACGCCGTGCGTGCTACGCCGTGCGTGCTACGCCGTGCGTTCAGACCGCGTTCTAATCGTCCTCATAGACCCGGATGTCTCACTGACATTCAAGGTATCTCAACAACTAAGAATGTTTGATTCTGGGTGGATTCCTACGTAGACCTTAGGCGCTCTCACAACAGATATGCAGTTATCACCATCCTATCCACACATCCTTATTATGTCATGTACGGCACAATCAAAAATAAATTGTGAAAATGGTGTTTTCCTCCGTCCTGGTGGAAGAAGCCGCGTGCATCGGCAGACGTCTCTGGGGACGGTTCCTCCGGCGGCAGGGTCAAGGCTTTCCTGGCAGAGATGAAGAGGTCGCTGAGCCAGTTCAACTTTGAGCGCGTCATCCGGGCTCTGCAGACCTACAAGAAGAGCGACGAGCTGGAGGCTCTGCTGGCTGGGGCCGCGGTCCTCGCCGAGGACGCCAACACTCACCGCCTGCTGCGAGGTCGGTTTCTCTGAAAGGAGCTCACCATTGGGGTGAATAGGTTGCTAAAAGGCTACTCGTGCATGTGTTCAAGTGGTCGTAATACAGCACACAGTCTATTAAGACCTACGCTAAAAGTGATTGCCCCCTGACCCTAATAACTGGCGGTGCCCCCCTCGGCGCCAGTCTCCCACTTCGCCGTGGAGGACGTCTGGTTTGAGCATGAAGCTGATGCAGAATGCGCCCTGCGTGTCACAGGCCTCTACCAGTTCGTCCGCCCGCATCACAAGAAGAGCTTCGATGAGCGGTGCCAGCAGCTGACCGGCCGGGGCTGCGGATACAAACCCGATCACTCGCTGTCTGTGGAGGAGAAGAAGGCCCTGGTGCCGAGGAGCGGTACGAAACCCCCCGTCCAATCGCAACGCTGCTCTGTGTCTCACAATATGATATCAGCCGGGTCCTGGTTTACATCGTCATTTTGTCCCCAGAGGATGTCCACACTGTGGTCATATCACGTGTGCATGTTCCCGCTGGCCGGTGACTTAAATGACGTGCTTATGTAGACGGGTTCTGATCCGCTACACGAGTTCTTAGGGGATTAGTTCTATTATTGGACCTTCTGCAGACAACAAAACAGCACTGAAGGTGTCTGAAGGTGGGGGGGGGCTTCCTGTGGACACAAGGCGTCTAACGGTGTCTCTTCTTCCAGCCGCTGTGGCGGTGAGCTCGTCTGCCTGCAGTCAGCTGGACACACAGCAGCTCAACAGAGGAGGAGCCCACCTGAACCAGCCGAGAGCCCCTGAGGCTGGTAGGACGTCCCGCTGCCTCTGACCGCCAGCCACGCTGTCCGGCCTGCGCCGCACTTTGTATCTTTCTTGAAGTGACTGATGAGACGATCAGAGTTTTTGACAGTTTCTACTTCCAGAGAAAAAACTCTTTTATCGAATGGTTAGAAACAACAGAGACCAAGTTCATCAAGTTCATGATTTACAATGACGCTGAGCAGAAACTGACTCCACATGACTTCACTTTGGTCATTTCAAATACGCTCAAAGTGAGTGAGTGTGATGTTTTCCACGTTATGCTTGTCTGCATTAACAATCTACAACTGTTGCTTTATTACGTTGAAGTAAACATCATGAGCAGCGATGGGCCGGTGGAGAGAAGTTCTTGTCTTCTGTAGTGTCTGAGTGACTATAAAGTCCTCCTGTGGACACAAGGCTTCACTAGCCGGACAGGAGGACAGGAGGACGTCTAACGGTGTCTCTTCTTCCAGCCGCTGTGGCGGTGAGCTCGTTTGCCTGCAGTCAGCTGGACACACAGCAGCTCAACAGAGGAGGAGCCCACCTGAACCAGCCGAGAGCCCCTGAGGCTGGTAGGACGTCCCGCTGCCTCTGACCGCGCCGCACGGCCTCCGGCGCTGTATCCGTCTGCGTCCGTTGAATCACGGAGAACCCTGAAATAAATCCCACTGTCTTGTGTTGCTCAGGTTGCGCGTCGAAGAGGGACGTCCCCGCTGCCTTTCTGGCCGATGTGAAGAAAGCAATCGGAGAAGAGAAATCCACTCTGCTCTTTCAGGCCCTGCAGAGCTACAAGAAGAGCGACAACTACGACGACATGGTGGGCACAGTAGTGAGCGTATTCACGGAGAGAGACGAGGACTTCATCCTTCTGATCAGTGAGTCCTTTCGCCTCACTACAAACGCTCCCACGTGTGAGCGGGGACGTCCCCGCTGGAGGCCGTCGCTTCTCACGCTCGTCCTTCTGCTCACAGGGTTCAGCATGTTTATTCCTGCTCGCCATAAGAAGCGCTACAGAGACATGTTGGATGCTTTACAAGGGCAGTCCGTCTCTGCTGCAGACGTTCCTGCCGTGAGGGAAGACCAGCAGAGACCAGGTGAAGAACCCGACGTATTAGTGCAGAATAGAAAGGCGTCCTCCTCCTGTTGTTGATGTTGTTGTTGTTGTTGTCCTGTTGATGGTTGTTGGAGGTTGAGCACCAACAACCATGTTGAACAGGTATTATTTTACATTCTTCTTCTACTCTGCAGGCTGGTTCAACACCTTAAACATCCTCCAGTTTTACCATTGAATTAGCCAATCAACCAACAATATGCGTGTTTAAAAAAACAGCAACTAATAATTCAACTAAACTGTCTACAAACACAAGTAAAGAAACCCAACTTGAATAATTAAACGGTACTACTCCTGAATACGAACTGTAAATGGGTTGCTCCAACACCGTGGTTACTAGCTGACCCCGTGGCAGTGACCCATCTGACGGTGGCTCGGTGGTTTGATCCCCGGCTCCTCTTCTCCCGTTCTGAAATGGTGTGAATGACGAGCTACGATGTAAGTGAGGGAATCCCTTTTTATCCTCACACAACAGGAACTTGATGTTGAATTGGCCCAAAATCCAAACCCTTCCACCAGCTGCAGACCCATCAGTCAAATGTTCCAGCGCAGCATCGCTGCACGCGTCACTCAGAACATAGAGCGTTCACCTCGATGACGCCTCGAGCTACTCGCCCGCAGAAAAGCCCCGTGACGCTTCTACGAGATCAGAAGCCCTCCACAACCACCGAGGGCAGGTGACGGTTTCCACTTCTGACACCTACAACCCTCCATCCACCATAAGACATTATGTACCGGATCCTACTGGTCTCACCGGCTGCCAAAAGTTGCTCATCAGATTCCCCACAAACACGTCATGGAACACACACGGTGACACACGGGGAAACGAGGCTACCGGAGGTTGAGTCCTCCTACGGTTTACCTGACGAACATCACACCCATCTCTGAATAAGCAGCATTGTTTGTGGTCTACAGCCAGTCCATAGACACACAAATGGCACACGAACTCCGCAGGACGTCAGCATCCGTTATATCTACATTACGTCTGGACTCCAAACTACTGGCTTCCTCCGGGCCGAGCCGTGCTGAAGCTTAATGACAAACCTTTGTCAGGAAGCTGAACGCTATTCTGCACTTTATTCTGTTTATCTGTATTCACTTTACATGTTTTCCCAGCCCCTTTCTATGTTTGACAGATGTCGATGCATTGACAATAAAGCTGACTTAACTTTTAACTTTGACTTTTTCCCCCAGTTTCGCCATCATCGCCTTTCAAGACTCAAAGCAAGATTTCCAGTTTTTTCTCCGGCAGCCAAAGGAAGTAGAATCTGACATGCAGGAACATTGTGTTTGTATTTCAAATAGCTCAAAAATAGTCCTGCTTCCACAACCATGAACTGCCCCGTCCTGCTGTGAGGCAGTAATCGTGCATCTGCATCTGCTATATTCAATGAATGTGATAAAAATGTATTATGTTTTAATGTTATGTTTTTATATTTATTCAGCTAATTAAATTCCTGAAAGCAGAGTTGCCTCACTGACTCCATACTGTCCAGGCTGAATTTCCTTTTACATTTAAAATGCTCCCTTTCTCTGTTTCTCCGTCCCCACCAGTGGGTTCCTTTGGCCCGCCTACCAAATGCTCTCATTGGTTGAGACTGACATTCACTGTTAACGCATTCAAACAACAAAAGATGAATGCAAGACATTATCACCATTATCTGGGTTTCAAAGCCTACTTACTGATTGCATAATGTGAAAAAAGTTCACATTACATATAAAAAAATGTTACCTGAATGTTAAATAGAAAATACAACTTAAATATGCCATAAGAACACAATTAACTACTCCTATGGACCCAAATCCAGGCCGACGGTTTTGATCCTTTTGAAAAACAAATGTGAACTTGACAGTTTAAAGACTTGTTCTTGAACATATCATTGTATTCAAATGGATGACTGAAAAGTATTTTTGAGTTGAATATAGTTTTGACTATATCGTTCTATAATTATTTTTTGGAATAAAATCTTTTGTCATTCTTCACTTGTATATATTTTTTGATATTCGCTGCATTATGTTTTTCAGTTGCAATTTTATATTTTCAGATTAAAAACTTATATTTTCATTAGTAGTCTAAGAACTACTCAATGACTTTACATCCAATACTAAATATCGTGTAGAAGACAAAACAGCTTAATTCAAAAAATGATTAGAACTGACTCAAAACTATATTCAACCCAAAAATACTTATTTTGAATACATTACACTTAAACTTTCAGGTTCACATTTGTTTTTCAAATGATCAAAACCTTTGCCTGGATTTGGCTTCATACACATAGACAGAAAATAGAACCGTTTTAATGTACAAATTCTGTAGTTATACAGAGAAATGGCTCATTTCACATTATTTGAGCATTGAAAATCCGACATTTTTATTGTACCAATTAAGAGATTTTTCTACTTCTACTTATTGAGTTTTCTCAATAATTCCCAACAACGAGCGTGCGAGGCGCGTGTGAAGGTCACGTGGTGTCTCTAAGTATCGCGATATTACCGGTCAGTCCTTCCACCATGGCAGGCAGTAGATTGGTGCTAGAAGGAAGAGTTAGTATAAAGACATTTATTTTAGGGCTCAGCGTGATTGTAATCCCATTGATCAGAACGTGGTTTGGACATTTCGACTGGGTCTTTGATTATCTGACGGAAACCTCTGGGAAAATAGTGATTTGTATCCACGTTGCAGTTATTAACGGCCTATTGCTCATCGTATACAAGGGACCGCTGTACAAGGTAAGCGTTGACGTCAGGGAGCAACTTCCTGCCTTTCGCGTCTGAGCTCATTTCAACTCAAGAACACCCGCCGCCCCGTTGAGTAGACGCGTTTTTCCTCCACACCCAGCTAACGTTGACCGCTGTCAGCCGCGAATGCAACTTTAATGTAGCACTGCTCGTGCTAGCTGACGCTAGCTACCACTTTAGCCAGATAAGAGTTCACTAATCATCTTAGCGGAGGAGGAAGCGGACAGCTGCTCCGCGCGCACGCGCACTGATCTCTGCTCACTGAAAACTAAACGTGTTACTTCCCCCGAAGGTTCGGCTGTTGTTCACATGTTGTTCACATGTTGTTCCTTGACGTGACCGCAGTGTGCGTTAACGAAGCCGCTTGACATGACGTGTGGCGGCTGCTTGCAGGTGGCCGTGAGGGCCTGTTTCCTGGGGGTCACTTTCGGCTGTGGCTTAATCATAAGCTTCTCTGAAACGACCTGGACACATTTTGGCTGGTAGGTATTTAGTAGTAAGTCAGTAGTAGTAGTAAGTCAGTAGTAGCCGTAAGTCCCTTAACTTATTTGACTGGAGCTGCTTTAATGACATTGGTACAAAGTCATTTCCAATCCATATTCATGGATTAGTTTGAACATTTAAACCCGTTGACCAGTAAATTAATGAAAGTGAGATAAAATATGAACTCCCAGTGGATTAAAATGTGCTGAAGGAAGTTGTTTTGCCCTGTATGTCTGGTAGCCCAAAGTAAAACCCTGTCCATCCTCAGCTGAACATGTATTATGGCCCCTGTTACTCCATCAGAGGCATCACTTCACATGTTTCATCTCATGTAATTATCATTAATCGATTCTCCTTCTAGAAGGTCCCCAGACTGTAGAAGTATTTATTTTCTGTATATTTGTTCCACTTGAATGACAGTAGATGGGATTTGACTATTATTATGTCCATGGTGAGTCCAGGATATGTACCACGTGTGTCCCTGCAGGTACATGTGCTCCCTGTCCTTCTTCCATTACTCCGAGTACCTGGTGACGGCCGTCATCAACCCGCGCAGCCTGTCGCTGGACTCCTTCCTGCTCAACCACAGCACCGAGTACACGCTGGCGGCCGTCTCCTCGTGGGTGGAGTTCACCATCGAGAAGCTGACCGTTCCAGGTGGGTGGTCTTCAGGCCCGTCGTCACTCACACAGCTCGTTTGGATGTTCTCCACGGAGCGCAAAAGGGTGACGTGTGGATAATCTGGTATATCCCTAGAGAATATTATTTATATAGCGGTCTAAATATTGTATATCAGTGTAAAGGCGTATGCTACGCCTCTGAATGTGTGGGCGGGCTTGTCTAAGGGACTCGATCATCTGGGTGGTTGTTTAGCGGCGCCGGGGGGAGATTATAGTTTACAGAGATTAGTTGGGTTACCTGCTTCTCTTGCACAAGTCCCGCCCCCGAGGATCAACTCAAATGTTGGTGACCTTCATTTATGTGTCAAATGAATATCGCAGCACTAAAATCTATTGCAGGCGATTTCAGAGCGTGTGCGATATGCAGACAATTTGGACCCAAGTACTGTTACATTGCTTAAATTGTACTCAATTACAGGTAAAAGTACTAGTGTTAAAAAAATACTCAAGTAAAAGTACAAAGCACTACTCGGAGTACTGATTACTTTTTAACCGATGGATGTTTTATTGTATTGTCAGTAGCAGACATTGAAATGTATAAAATTCAAATTCAAAGCACATTTCTCAGACGAACAATATAAAAAAATGACAGGCACTTTTGCGGTGGCCGACGCGTGCAAACGACCAAACGAATCAACAGTAAAACGATGCAAGAGAAAAATGCGGCATGCACAAAAACAACCGGAGCCATTGACACACTTTCAGAGCCGTCACGTGTCACGTGTCACGCGTCGAGTGTGACAGTCACTCATTCTGGTCTTTGGTAACGCGTCATGTGACTCCTGTTTCCTCTACGCCGGCTCGGTGCTTTTACTTTTGCGTAATAATCGCGCGACACAACGAATCCATCATGAAATTAGTTGCCTACGCTTTTAATAATCGAATTATTGATTTCATTGAGTCGTTTTGCAGCCCTGCTCCGTAGCGACTTTTGATTTTAAAAGCAGCGAAGTAGATTACATGGTGCAAATTGTACTCCAGTATGAGTAAAATCACACACTTGAAGAAAACACTCATAAAAGTACCCCAAAAATCGACTTCATTACAGTAAGGTGAGTATTTGTAATTGGTTACTTCCGCCCCTGGCGACGTGTCATTGTGTCGCATATTGCGACAGGCCTAATTCCTCCGGTAGAAGTCGTGATTCGTTTGATGGTCTCACTCTGTCCCTCAGAGCTCAAGCAGCTGAACGGGCTGTGCGTCGTGGGTCTGCTGCTGGTGATGTTTGGCGATTGCTTGCGTAAGGCGGCCATGTTGACGGCCGGCTCCAACTTCAACCACATAGTGCAGAACGAGAAGGCCCAGAGCCACGTGCTGGTCACCAGCGGGGTGTACTCCTATTTTAGACACCCCTCCTACGTGGGCTGGTTCTACTGGAGCACGGGGACTCAGGTGAGCTCATTCCGGCTGTGCAGGGTTTCTCTCCCACGCTGAGCTGCTTCCTTTTAACCGTCTGATTTCCTTATGTGGTGTTTCCTGGATTCACCGTCACTGTTTGGGTTTACAGGTCCTCCCGTCAAGTCAATGCAGTTGTTCTTGCAGAATAATATAACATGAAAGCCACTGAGATAGAAAAGCCGCCCAATGCATCCACACGTTGGTAAAGGGAACAGGGACCTTTTTTCTAAATCATTTTATCCTCAAAAGCACTAATTATTCTTGCAGAATAACTATTTCAGAAGTAGGATATGATGTACGCACGGCGTTCAGGTACTCCTTTGCATGAGGAGGAGACTGAGGTGGCTTGGTGCCGTTCTGAAGAGGGAAGCGGCCTCTTGGCGTTGCTCTACAGATGGTTTGACACAAACATGTTTGTTGGTCCACTGATGAGACTCTTGTGTGTTGCAGATCATGCTGTGTAACCCTGTGTGCATACTGGGCTACACGTTAGCCAGCTGGCGCTTCTTCCGGGAGCGCATCGAGGAGGAGGAACTCTCCCTCATCCATTTCTTTGCAGAGGACTATGTGGAGTACAAGAAGAAGGTTCCTACCGGACTGCCCTTCATCTCAGGCATCCGTGTCAACTAGTCCCAGCAGCTGGATGCAGGACCCAGCAGACTCGAAGCACCGAGGCAGGTCGGACCTGGCGGCCCTCCAGAGGGAAACCCCGCAGCCGGTTTAGAGCCTTTAGCTCACGGACAAAGATGGCGACGGGCAGCTGGCCTGCTGTTATCCACCAGCTTCCAGACCACACGACCTCCACGTAGTCCAACAACACCCGCTGCGTCTGTTTGTGTTTGCATGCTTTCACCGGGCTTCACGTCTCCACGGATTATCTGTTGTCTGTTACTTGTCATCACTATTATTAGGCAGTGGCCCCGACTCGGCTAAGGGACACCTGCAAGGCAGAGTGTCGACCGTATGAGCATCTATAACAGGGTAGGCCGTTGTTTCACTAGAATATCGTGGCCGTGCGTCTACATGTGCACACGCATGGTTTGGGAGGCGGGTGGTCCGTGGAGGGCAGACCTCCACCTCGTAGTCCGTCGCTGCTGAAGTCCCGTCACAATAGTTCACTTCAAAACCAGAGCAGCTCGACAACTAGTGAAGCAGCAGTTGAACATACGTTTCCAAATATTGTGTATCTTAATTATGTGTACTGTTAAGGTGGGAAAGCCAGTGAGATAGAATAGACTATGTATCTGCATCCACACGGTGGTAAAGGGAACAGGGACCTTTTTTATAAATCATTTTATCCTCAAAAGCACTATTTAAGAATAGAGTGAATAAGTTAAAGGAAAGCGTTTTATTAGATGTTCACGAGGAATCCCCATCATCTGAGGCCAGTTACGTCCTGATGAATATACAATTCTTCAATATGCATTTGACTGTCCGCTGGTTTGTGAACGTTCTGGATCCAGAATGTGTTTGATTTGACTAGAAGACGTCGGGCTCACGTCCCGATGGGGAAGGAAGGCCGTGTTAACTACTTTTTCTTTGTTTCTTGTTGTTAGTATATGAATTGTTTCTTTTGGGCTTTGTTTTGTGTCCCTGTGCCGAACAGTATTAATTACAACCATTGTTGACGTGTCATGATCCCTTTGTGTTAGAAAGCAACCAGTTGAGTGAGATGCATATTGAGCTTGAGGGTCTCGCTCTCTGAATATCGTCACACTGAGCTCATTCTTTTTCTGAGGAGGTTGGTAAAAAAAATAAAATAAAGTCAAAGAGTTTAAGGAACAAAGATGGTCTGTATGTAAAATGATGAAATCAAGTTGTTTGACCAGCAGTGGGGCAGAAGTGTGGAATGACATTTAACATGAATCAATAAATCATCCTATTCAAAGGCCGAGTTCTTGGATCAACTGGACTTCTAGGACTGTTTAATCAGAGGAATAGGATTCTTCCCACAGACAAATAAATGGTTGGATCTTTATAACAAAGTACATGAGTTGGTTATAAATACTTTTCCTCATCTCGATCTTCTTGAAAAAAAAAATATATATACATATATATTTTATATATATATATATTTTATATATATATATATATATATATATATATAATGAATCCAAGCAGATCAAGCTGCAAATATGTTGTGCTTGAAAGGATATTTACTTACTGTTTATAATGTTGCTAACAGTATTCTAAAAGCAATACGGTTCTCGAGGCACAACCTTATCGTCAATAACGTTACAGTTCAAGTGTTTTTGGCCTGACTCAGTCTCAATCACTCCTATACAATTTAACTGAATGCATATTACATACATATTCAGGGCAGATAGTAATGATAGTAGTATATTCAAGTAGTTCAGTAGTAGTAGTAGTATATTCAAAAAGAAAAAGTTGTAGTTTTAGAGTAATGATGAAACGCTATCGGAGGACAGAAGGAGAAGCTCAGTGTTACTCAGAGTAAAAAGAAGCACTGACTTAGTTCTAAAAGAACATGCATGAACATGAATATTTAACTCCTGCCAACTGTTTTTTATACTTATTTGGAAGTAGTTTATTGGAATAATACAGAATATGCATATCTGTAAACGTGTGTGCATACAAAGTAGCTCTATAGATGTGTCGTTTAGTAGAAACTAGATTAAAAAAGGTAAAATTAGAAAATGCAGTGACTAATCGATCCCAGAGGCATCGACTAAATCCATAGTTCTGCGTTTGATTGCTACATTTTACGCATGCGCAGACTCGTTCTTCCTTTCTGCTAGCTTCTTCGCCATGGCGCCTATTGTAAGTAAAGACGCGTGTAATCAAATCCACCAGAATGATGTATTCCCGTTGTTAAAGTCGGCGGAAACGAGCATTATGAGAAGGCACCTTGGTTCTGTTGCTGAAATAGAACCAACACGGTCCAGATGCGGGGTTTGACGTGTTTTCCGCGGCACGCAGGGAGCTGTTCTGTGGCCTGTAGCAGCGGCTCAGCTAGCGCTAGCCGCTAGCCGTTAGCCGGCGGGTTGACGTTAGCGCACCACGTTGTGAACTAGCCAGCTTGTCCGGGTGACCACGGCCGCCGTTTGGTCCAGACGGTGTCCCGGATGCCGCGGTTGTAGCGGCTGACATGTGACGTATGGTGGTGTAGTAGCTGCGACTCCGGACCGGTGCCGAGGAAGCGGTGCGCGGCACCAACCTCACCGGCCTCGATCGTGAACCAACGCCCCCGCAGCGCGACACTAACGACCGATACGTCGGCTATCGGTCGTGATTACGAAACTGTTGTATATGTGGACTTAGACACGTGGTGTCTGCGCGGTGAGCCGCCAGTTAACGCGCTGTGTTGTGTCCGCAGAAGAAGCAGTACGCCGGTAAAGGTGGAAAGAAGAAGAAGCAGGTGCTGAAATTCACACTGGACTGCACCCACCCCGTCGAAGATGGCATCATGGACGCTGCCAACTTCGTAAGTCCACCACGCGTCTGTCTACTGTACTAAGACTAACACGTGATCCTCGCAGCTGGTGTTGCTGGGTTCGAGCTAAGTGAGACCTCACCTGATGTTTCCAGGAGCAGTTTCTGCAGGAGCGCATCAAGGTCAACGGGAAAGCCGGCAACCTGGGAAACGGCGTGGTCTCCATCGAGAGGAGCAAGAGCAAGATCACCGTGTCCTCCGAGGTGCCCTTCTCCAAAAGGTCAGTCCCAGCCCGTAGACCGCTTGCAAGTCAACAACGGGACACATACTGGTTGCTGTGCTTCCATCAGAGGATCGGCGGTTCGATTCCCGCCTCCGCCAGTGTTCATGTCAATTTGTACTTAACGTTGGTTACTGATGGGCGGATGTCAGTGTGTACGTAGCTCCAGTCATCAGAGAAGAAGAAGGTTCAGAACCACAATCTATGAAAACCCACAAGACGAGAAAGCACAAATACTCAGTGAAAGAAACAGTGATTTAATGTGACTAATAGTGTGAGACGCAGTAGGTGTCAGCGGGGCCGAGGCAGGAAGAGGCTCCACATGTAACCATGATTCATGGAAACCTGTGAGGAGACGAAGCATAACGACTCCAGGGAAGAAGCTGAATTAGTGATGTGCATTCATGAGGTGTGACGATAAATAAGACGCTGCCTCACCAGCAAGTGCCTTGTAGGTGAGTACCTTCTATTCTTGATTTAACAGGGAGCCAGTGCAGAGAAGTTAATACACTAAAGGAAAAAACTTCCTTAAGCAGCTTGGTCGGAATCGGATCCAAGAGACAAGTAGAAGATTTAGACTTTGAAAATAAGTCAGTCAGTTGATGAAGGTTGATGGAAGAGAAGTCGTCCAAACAGGCATCAGGGCCCACTGCTGCATCCAAGGTTCCCACATCGGAGGACAGGTCGGCGCTGGTTGAAGGCAGGAGACCATCAATCTTCTCTTTGATCATTGAAGTCGTTCCTGGGGAAGTTTGGGGTCCCCTGCTGGGGGTGTTGATAAGAAGCAGCGTGTGGAGGGAGCTAGGACCCAGGGGGCTGTACGAGGGAGGTTTACCAACGTCACATGACTTTTACAAACCCATCCATCCATCTTCAAAGCGCTTCTCCTGCACGCGGGGCGGAGGCGGGGTACCGGCATGCGCTCGCCCTGCGGCGTGAATTTCTCACGTACCGTTCATGTGTCTTCAGACGTAACTGCTGCTACATGGAAACACAAGACACGGGAGGAACAAGGACCGAGCAGGGCCCTGGTCCTCCCACGTGGCTAACGGAGTTAGCCGGATAGCTTTCAGGATGAGACGACGTAGATTACATTACGTGTCATTTGGCTGAAGCTTTTATCCAAAGCGACGTAGATCAGGCGTTTCAGTTCCCCGAAGCGGGTTTGTCTAAATCACCACAGCAGCTCATGGAAAAGCTTGAACTTGCTCCGGCGCAGGTTCATCTGAGCTGCTGCATGAGTTCATCACTCCCGTGGGAAAAAGGGCCGCTCACTTCCTCATTGATGAAGGATCGACATCAGTTAGATTAACGTTTTATAGGGAGAAACTTCCCCGAGATCACAAGGACCCGCGATGACGTCACGATGACGTCCTGCCTCATCGACGCTGAATAGCGGTCAAAAATGCTCAAAAAGGACGTTTTGATATTTGCTGAAGACAAGAATCATTTATTTAAGATTTTCCCGTTACGTTACGTGATGAACACATGTAATAAACTGCTAGTTGTACACGGTCATCTACATACATATGATACAAAAGCTGATACAGTACATGGATCCTATGCATTCGTATCAACCAGATCCTTTGGGCTTGTTTCCATCTACATACTCTGATCATTATTCTCATTGATGATGATCATCATGAAGCCTCCTGCCAGCAGACACATTTAAAGAGATATAATCTGATTGATTAGAGTGACGAGGCCCTTAAATGAGCCGTCACATTTTACCAACACGCATAACGTTAACTTGTGGTACTTTGTGGGGCTTGTAGCCTCGCAGGGCGGCGCTGTCCGTCTTTAACAGGATTATATGATTGACAACTTTGCCTCATGTGTCTTCACGGTCTGTACACATGTGACGTCCTCTGTCCAGAAACCGGCACATCGACAGGAAAAACTCCACAAACAATGAAAACGTATTTGATGAGAATAAAGGGAAGAAACCTTTAGAGACACAGGGGACGGACAGAATGAACAACGTAAAATATAATACGTTAAATTCATCCGACGGGCTACACCCTGGATTGGTCGCCAGCCAATATGTGATATTTTATATTATAACGTTTGTCGATAAATATGTAAGTATCCACGTTTAAAATAACACGTTAAAAAATTAACTTACCTGAAGCCACCCTGAATCAAATAAAATCGTCGGTGTACAATGCATGATGGGATATGCTGGGCTCAGATGTGTCCCCCAAATCGCCGACGGAACGGGACAGCCGAGTCGCAGCCGAGTCGCATGTGGACACGGGCGATGAGCAGCCACTGGATTGGGACACGGCCTGTGTTCATGTTCACCTGGCATGCGCCGTGTTTGATGAGATCAGATCACAATGGCAGCTGCATGGAGACGTTACTGAATGTGGAGCTTGTGGTCAGATGTCAGTCCAGGTACTGGTGGTCAGTGGGGAGCATCTAGCAGGTCCGTTTCGGTCTGTCGGTTCTGGGTTACTCAACAAGCATGCCATGAAGGACTCATTCCAAACTTTCAGACATGGTTTTCTACTCACGCAGTGCAGGTATTAAGTATGCGCTTCCTAAACCGCTGACACGGAGCCGCATGTAGCATCAGTGTGCATGAAGCCTCGTGACGGCACTTCATGGCTGTGATGAACCTCAACATCTTTGTTGCTGACCGATCCACAGAGACCACGTTCCTCGGTGAGGCCCAGAGGAGCTGGAGCTCCACTAAAGCCCTCAAACAGCTGGATGTCATGTTTAGCTCATCTGGAATACAAATACTAGCATTGTGGAGGCACACGTCCACTTGGTCGGGGGGAACAAACGTGTCTCCACGTCTGTGTAATTAAATCGATTCATTCTATGGACTAAATGACAGCTGCATCAGTGTAGAGTCACGGGACTGATTTAGCATCATTACTCAACCTGCAACGTCTTTTCTAGATACCTGAAGTACCTGACCAAGAAGTACCTGAAGAAGAACAACCTCCGTGACTGGCTGCGCGTCGTGGCCAACACCAAGGAGAGCTACGAGCTGCGCTACTTCCAGATCAACCAGGATGAGGAGGAGGAGGAAGACGAAGATTAATCTGACAGATCAGACTTTGTACAATAAATAAATGTTGTTTACAGTACGCAGCGTCTGGCTTCCTTCTGGTCAGTGTAGACATGGTGGCTTCAGCTAAAGTCAACATGATCAATCAAGTTAGTCACTAACTGAATTCCCTGCTGGTCTGGGTTTTTATTAGTCCGGGTTGGACCTTTAGTTTCCTTGTACAGGACGACCCCGTGTCCACCTAGCAGAGTGGCACATTGTGACAAAGGCGAGAAGACAAAAATCAATTCACATGAATCTTTATTTAACCATTTCAATGAAAAAAAAAAAAAAAGGTAACCCAGAGAAATTTCACCGTTAAAAAGAAAGCAGTACAGGGAGGAAAACGCCTCTGCTGTTTTTAAAACAAGCACATGCCTTGAAAGCTTTGAGACAGTGCATTTATCCGCCGGGAGGTTCAGACCTGCTTGTGAAACTGAGCGTCGGAATAGTTAGTAAGACGAGATGTAGCAGACCCGGTGGTCTTGGAAGGACAGGTGAGCATTCTGGATGCAAACACTGAAGATAAAAGGAATGTAACCGGCGAGTGGAGTGCAGCCACATCCTGATGCTCAAACGCTTCCATATCCTCAACACACACATAGAAAAAGGCACAGATATGGAGCATTGGTCATCGAAAACCCCTCAGTAGGAAAAGACTGAGGGTCCTGTCATAGCACCCGTAAATGTGACAACAATATCATTTTATATACTGCAACAGAAAAACAACAGAACGAGACACGAACGTTTGGCTGCGTTACAAACTGGAGCAGAGGTTCTGGGAGCAAACTGTTGCAGGTTCACTCCAGGTGGGAAAGGAAGGATTCTGGAGCGCTCCAGAGAGCCCGTCTTCACTCCCATGTTCTCTGATTAAACTGTCCAAATTGATGGAGCCTGTTTGCTGGTGGTTGAGATGTGTGGACTGCTGAGCGCCTCCCCTGAACTCAACATCCCACTGGGACTAAACAGGCCAGATGTGTTCCTGATGAGCGTCGCAGGTCTCCGCTCCGGAGGCCCCATCAGATTGTTCGGGGGTTGTACTCGGGCAGCTTTTTCAGCCGCTCCTGTTCCTGCTCCGTCTCCTGTCTGGCAATCACCAGGGAGTGACAGTAGCCCATCACCACCTGCAGAGAGAAGGGTCACTCACTTTGCCCACAAGCACCTTGAAACAAAGCAGAGCGAATATGTCCACGTGTGTGACAGCCGGCCCGTGTTTCCATGCAGAAAACTGTAGGATTAAAGGAAGTAGATGGTGGTCACAGTATACGGGGGCAGAATGTGTCAGTCAGTCATTAACCTGCTCAACGTAGACGCCATCCAAGGTCTTGACCTCCTGAGCAGTGGTGGAGGATTTGGGTTTGTTGTCTCCATATCCCTGAAGGTCAAATAACAAATTAGCATGCGCCCCCTCAGCCCCTCAGCGCGTCCTGGGACCAGGCCTCAGCGCTTACCAGCTCTCCGAATGTGGGCGAGGGGCCCCAGCTGATCGTACTCTCATCTGCAGCTACGATGATGCTGCTCTTCCTGTTGGATAAACGCAGAGTGATGAACAAAATACGGCACATGACTGCAGAGGAGCTGATGCACCGACGGCACTCACCCGCACGCCAGACTGCGGACCTTCCATCCACACAGATCCTGCACGGCTTTGGGGTACATGGTCGAGTCTCTGGAAGTGTTTGTAACCCCCCAGAAGAATAGCCCCCCTGCAACGAAAACAAACTGTTCACACACCTGAAGAGGGTGAAATGCGTGAACAGTGGAGCGAAGCCCCTTGAGATCTTCTCACCCATCTCGCTGATGGCGAAGGAACACTGGTAGCCCGTACAGATCTGACTGGCGCCGCGTCCCGGGAAGTCAAACAGTTTGACCAGTCGAGGAACCATCTCGTCCTTCTGCTCCGAGTGACCCAGACGCCCGTAACCCCCAAAACCCCAGCTGAACACTCGCTTCTGAGAGTCCAGCACCAGCTGAAAGCCACAAACGAGTTTTAGTGCTCCGTGCAGGACAACGGACCCTCACAATAGGATTGGCTTCAGGTCAAAGCGCTCAGTGGAGCTTCTCACCGTGTGGTTGGACCCACAAGCCACATCACGGACCACCACGTTGGGGACGGGCATGATCTGACCATCCTTGGACTTCTCAATGAAGATGGCGACACGGCGAGCGATGAGCTCACAATCAAACTCGATGCGCTGTGCACGAGCTATGAACTTGCCATCGCTGTTGTGACCTGCAGGGACGAGAGATGAAGAATAAAGCACCATGTCAAATAACACACACACGGGATGTGAGTGCACGTACCCAGCTGTCCGTACTCCGGGCAGCCGAAGGAGTACAGGTTCCCTTTGCAGTCCACCACCATGCTGAACTCAGCCCCACAGGCCACCTTCACCAGGGGTTGGCCGTTGTAGGAAATCTAGAGGGACGAGAGAGGAAGAGGACGATGAAGAAGGTCTATGAAGCATCAGAGAGCTCAGTGAATTACTACAGCCAACGGTTCTGTTCACTCAATGATCTCTTTAAATTCACAATAACTTGCTTTCTCTGATCCGTTCACGGGCTGTACTGGTTTGTGTGGATACCATCTGGACTGACGGGTAAGAAGCAGTGGCCAATGTCAGTAAAATAGATTTTTTTAAATAATTAAATCATACATTTTGAAATTAATTAACCTCGATTAATGAAGATTGTTACAAAATGTAATTTTTTATGTTTATTTTCCTCCCAAAGACTAAATCCTACAAGTAATGAGTCGTCACTACACAACGCGTGTATTTTAGACACTGTTGTACATTTAGCAGGACGTTTTAAACCACAGCATCTGATGTTACCCTCTGCAGAGGACCACCACTGTGTCCCAAGACGGAAGTAGCATAGCAGCTAGCTTAGCATAGTGTCTTTATTTCCCACTAACCCCCCTTCTGTTTGACACGTGGATGAATTCCTCCGCACAGATCTCCGCTGTGTTAGTTGCATTAATCTCGGCCAGATTAATCGCATAGATTAATGCGTTCATGTTGACAGCAATAAAAAAACTAAAAAAACATCCAGACTTTGCGGGTTGGAGGGGAAACACCGGGTGTTCGTGAACGAGGGATGAGAAGTGTTACCTGAACTCAAGCGTTTATGAGTAGGGTGGGAAAAGTAACAAGATGAATGTTTGGGGTATTTACATTTTGTTTGATCGTAAGCAAACATTTATAATACTAAATTATATTTTGGGGAACTTTATTCTTTTGTTGAACAACATGTATTTCCTATGATGGACCCCCCCCCCCCAAAAAAATCCCCTCCAAAACAAAAATGAATTAAGCCTCTTGAGCCTCTGATTTCAGTGTTTACACTACGTGGGCTGAGGGAAGATGTATTTGGTTTACAATAACTAGCTGCAGCCTTTGCAAAGAAACACAGCATGTGCTGTATGAACGTGGTTCAGCTTACCAAGCAATCAACACGCGAGGTGATGAAAGACTCAGAAACGTTCCCAAGGAGCTGCATCCAGGTCTTCTTCTCAACTAAGTTACCCGTTATATGATTTAGCAGAAAACAATAAAAAGAATCCAAACTTCCTGAGCTGAACTTCCAATGGAGAGGTTCTGGTAATGTTCCTCCCCTTTGCATCCCTATTTATAGGACACCGGTTCAGTATCAGATATAAATATTGCAAGAATATCCTGAAAATACAAAACATCACATTACCATCTGTCACACTCTGATCTGTTGATGAAGAGCGTGTTATAAATAAAATGTATTATTAATAATTTTACAAAGCCGTAATAATAATGGCACCAATACTCAGGTACGACAAAGAGTAGCTGCAGAATAATAAAAAACAGCTGTAGCTACTGGGAAAGAGTGGCAGCTCCACAGCTAATGATCACTGGAGGCTCACTCATTCTCAGTTTGACTATTGTGTGGAGGAAGTGGAATAGTGAGCTCTATGACATCATCAGCCTTGAAATATCTAATGTTTTACCTACATTCTGCTCGTCCCGGGTCTTTGTCGTTACTCATGACCTGCACTTTCCCGTAAGTAGTTAAATCTACACAGTGGATGGTTCCTGAGCTGCTGTCTTTATGCCCACCAAGCCTTTTAGTTAAGGTGCGCTCACACAACCACGAATGAGAGCGTTTCTTTAAAACTACATGAATGATTTCAAACGTATCTTAAATGAACCACATGAACATATAGTAGAACACATTTCCATGACCTTTCCAGGCCTGGAAATGACCGTAGGACCCCTGTGTGTAGTGCTTATGAGTCCCATCAATTCCAGACTATTAGCCACTACTTTCCCCCCCGCAAACTGTGGAATGGATTTCCTGAGCGTGTCTCATAACTGTCTCATTGAGCCGCGCCTCCGTTCAGGAATCCATTCCACAGTTTGCAGCCAGCTAGCAGACTAGCAGGCTAGCAGGCTAGCAGGATAGCAGGATAGCGCTGAGGCTAGACTGTTTAGCACGGCAGCCAATATCGCGGATGAAAAAAGGAATTGTCTAACTGCAGAGAGCAGAAATGCTCATATTCCTCAAGAAGAACCTGCCGATGTCAGATTTGTTGAACACTAACATCACTTCCTCAGAGTCAACTTTGAGACATTCAAGTTTTGTTTTCTTTTAAAGAATAGTTAGACTCTGGTGTTTAGTTTATTCCAGGTCATCTTAAGTGCTGTTCTGATGCACACTGTTTTAAAACTTATTGTGTGTGTGTGAGAGAGTAAGTGTGATTGCGTGTGTGAGTGAGTGTGTGAGTGAGACTGTTTCAAGTGTGTAAGATGTTTACAGTTATTTTATTGCACTTTTCTTCAGATATTTGACATGTTGTTCATGATACAAGTCAGTTTACTTGATTTGTGCTGTTATTTTTGTGAATGAGTGAGTGAGACTGTGTTAAGTGTGTGTGTGTAAGATGTTCACACTTGCACTTTTCATATTTCTAAATTTTTGAGACTCAAGTATTTGACATTTATGAAATTAAATAAATATTGACATGACAATCAATCTGAAACCCTCACAGATTTTTTCTGTTAACAGGATTTCCTGTTTTTCAAACACAGCTCTGGTATCGGAATATTATCTGTATCGGCCGATATCCAAATTTAGGTATCGGGATCGGAAGTGAAAAAATATGGATCGGTGCATCCCTAGATCACACATCTGTACGTTGTGCCAGGTGTGGCGGTGATGGCTTACCGGTGCTGGGCTGAGGACTGCGTCCGTCTGGTTACCGTGGCCGAGCTGGCCCAGCTTGTTCTCACCAAAAGAGTATGCGGTGCCATCCTCTGAGGAGGAACACTGATGTCAGCAAACACAGCAGCACGTTCAGGCTGCCGGCCGGCGCCGCACACAGCAATTACAGATACTGCCATAACTCTTTCTGGGTCCAAATGGCCGATTTATGTACTGCAGAACTAGAAGCCAAGAGCACGCTTGGTTTTTCCCCAAGCAAAGACAACCAGAGATGATCTGAGATCAGCTGGTGTAATAACAAGAAGCCCCTACCTGTGAGCGCTAGGGTGTGATTGCGTCCACAGGCTGCAGCAACTATCACATGATCTGCAAGCGCCTCAATCAACTTGGGGGCCTCCAGACGCTTGGTGTCTCCGTGACCCAGCTGGCCTTTGTCGTTACGACCTGCGGAAGCCAGAAACCAAGAGATCAGTGATCGCTAACTGCAAACCCCACCACGCAGATCCCCAGCCAGCAGAACGATGAACACTTACCCCAGCTCCACAGCTTGCCCTCCGTGGTCATGAGGAGACTGTGTGCAGCACAGGGCCCAGCCACCACAAAGCTGACCTGGACATCACTCAGACAGCCGTAGCGGTGAGGACCCCACAGGTTCTGGCCCAGGTTGCGGAAAGCCGCTGGAAAGACAGAAAACCAGGTGATATCCACATACAAGTTCCTCCTGTTTCCTCTGCATGAGGAAAGAACACAACAAGAACCCCTAGAATGTGAAGCCTCCTCACACTCACTGCTCAATTAGATTAAGCACTCAGCAGCGCTGTGAGGAGTAGGTTGTTGTGAGATGTGTTGGTCAAACCAAGCTGGGTCAATCCGTTAGAAAAGAACAACATAATCAAAGATACAGTTGGTTTGTTTTTAATGGAGGAGGTTTTGAATCTAGACACTGCAGCTTCACTTCCACAAAAAGTGCTAAAAATATCCAAGCGAACCTTTTCATACCAGCGTGCAATACAAAAGGACTTGAATGGGTGTTTGGTAGACGCAGTCTTTGTCTGTGCAGCTGCTCCTGCTGACACCCCCAAACCCCCCTTCAGCCTCAACAAAACACATGTATCAGTGCGGAGCAGGGTAGAGGGGCAAGGATGGAACGAGACGGAGCTGCCCCGGGCATCAGGGGGCTGCTGCAGGGGGGCGGCTCAGCGCATGCATACATACATAAGAATAGACATTACTGTCACTATCAATTAATGGGATCTAGTTTCATTCTCTACTGCAGACACACTGGGGGAACCCGATTAATCTGTTATTGATCGTGTCAGCTGTACGCCACGGTTCAGGAGCAAAGCGCCACGCAAACAGACCCTCACAACTTCTACAGAAAGTAATACGCTAGTATTCACCACCCTGCATCACAGCGCCGTGAGCACCTGCAAGGACTGTTGAGTCTAACAAGATGCTCATAGAGACGCCGATGGATAAACACGTCTCTGGGAGTCAAGGACGAGGTCACCCAGGACTAAAAGGCTGACCTGGATCATTCAAACAGCATGTCCTCCACGTTCACCAAATAACACAAGTCCTGTTTGCTAAATCTATAAAATCAGTGGGAATGCTACTTGTGATACAAGCTGGAACTATTTATTGACAAACAGCAGTTTGTCCATCCTCCCAGTATAGTTGCCAAATACACTCAGTAAGCCACGGTCTCCGTACAGGGACAACGTGCCAATGAGACAAACAAAAAGTCCACATCAGTAGTTCCAGCAAGTAATCCCGTGTGAACTCACAGGACGATCTGTCAAGGACGGCTGCACCTAATTTATTCAACTTTCAAAGTTATGAGCTCTCGCTTAATGCTTAAGGCTTTTCTCTGCCAATGACTTCTTTTGTATTTAGAAATGTACATTTAAAAAATACTTTTATTAGTACAGGTATTACGCATTGGTATTGTGAAGAACTTGTGGATTTGATAAAAACTATTTCTACCTTGACTTTTGGGCACCTCCTTTCTTCCAATCAGATCCCAGTTGGTCGCTCCAAAGATGAGCAGCTGGCCTTTAACCTTTGAGCACTCAAGTTTCTATAGAAAGGACACAATAAGGTACATTGCATGGGACATTGTGAGCAGACACATTGCAGCCCGTCAAAGGTCTGCATAAGATCCAGTTTATCATCCTGATTACAGGGCATTTCAGTTATTTCGCCCACTTAAACCAAATCACTGGTGTATTTGTTAATCAATATCACGTGAGTGACTCATATATATGTCATAGAACAGCAGCATTGATACTCATGCAGGATCAAACCCACTATTTTCTCCTTGACGTCATCGGCCACAGTGACGGGCTGCAGGCCGGACTTGGCGGCGGGCTTTCCGGGTTTCTTGTTGTTCTCCTGCTCGAAGTCGAACTCGTCGTCGCTGCTGAAGTCCCTCTCTTTCCGCTTGCCGCTGGCCCGCTTCTTCTTCACGCCGCCGTTCCCCGAGACATCGGTCACCTTCTTGCGCGGCATCGTTACTTATCCGGAGCTGCTGGTGGGAGAGAAACTAACGATGAGAAGTTCATTCAGACTGAACTCCGTACGAACTGTATTATACTGGCAGAAGCAGAGATTAGGAGGCAGAATAGTTGCACGACGCCGTGACAATGAACCCGTCTGATGCCGTGACGCCTCCGCGCAGGATACAAGCGGCTATTTGAAATACGACACGAACTATTGTAACGTAAACTCGCGAGGAAGTTGTGAACAAATGGCTGGTATTTCATATAATTCGCCTTTTTTTTGTTCCATTGACTTGACGGGCTTTGGGAGAAGCGCCGAGGCTGTGCTGCGTAGCGCGGGTTGCGGTGCCGTGTGTCTTTAAATGGACCGACGCGCAACTAACGTGAAGTTTACCGGGACGCTAGCTACGCGACCCCGGTAGCCACGCGCTCCCCCGCCGCCAGGTACCGGCCACTGGGAAACGACAGGCGGCCTTTTACCCCAGAGTCCATTCGTTAACAGCAGCCGGTGGCAACTAGCGGCACGAACCAAAAGACAACCGCAGACGGGAGCACGTCGCGTTGCCGGTGTCCGCTTGCTAGCTAGCGGTAGCCGCTAACGTTAGCTTCGGTGCGATAGGCTAACCCGCTAGCTAACCACTGACGTTCTTTGTTCGCATAGTGGTTGGGTAACAAGCTAGTCGACGTGCTAACGTAGAACAGTTCAGTTAGTCAGCCGCGACACAAACAAGGCAGGCGCATTTGGTGCGTTATTGAAAACAGTAGAACCAAAGGAAGCAAAAGTTTAAATAACTTCTTTAAAATTTGCAGATTAGCGGAGTGACTTGTTCATTAAGCTAACGTTACCTCGCTACTGTAAGCTAGCAGGCACTAAATAAAGACATGGAAACTAACGTCACATGAAAGGATGCTACGACACAAACTTTTCCAATTTCTCCTTGAATGGACGCGTTTTAAGTTCAGCGTGCCCGCATCTGCGTGGTTTCGAATACACGTTCTTAGTAATTTCATCAAGCTAAGACAAAAAAATGTACCGGTGATTTCCTGATTCAGCAGCTCTCTGCCCGTCTCCGGTTTGATTGATTTGAACAAAAGAAGCTGCAGTCTGCTTTCACACCACGTGGTTTGCGTTAAGTATTCATACAGGAAACCGAGCGCTCACCAAATTCATACAGCTGGACGCAGAAGCCGCGAGGCCGCGACGCGCCGCGCGCGCGCGCGACGGACGCGACGGTCGCGTTTCGTCCAAAGTTGTGTCTCCATCGAATAGAAGTTCTCTATGGAAATTAAAATCTGGCAAAAAACAAATTGCCTAAAGTTGGCAGCGCGGACGAATGACAGATGGTGAACACGTTTATGACCACGCACCCAGAATCCAACAGCAGGCATAATAAATACTATTTGGCTTTATGTTTTAGGATTTCAGTTTTAGCTCAACATCTTCTGACTTTTTAGATTAATTTTTTCATAACGGGCCCTTAAACAGATTATATTCGGATCGTGCTTTAACCTGCTCTTCCAAACAAGTTACATCTATGTTGCATGTTTTCACAATGTCCAGGCAGAGAATCTTTAAAATTCTGTAGTCTACATTTCATGTAATTGCTACATTTATTATTAACAACTAAACTTGCATTCAATATGAGAATGCATCTAAAAGTCCTGAGACATTCAAAACAAAATGTTAAAGCATCCAAACTACAGGTTCCATGTGTTTATCTCTCCTCACGGCCCCGACCAGCCACCGAGCGCTTTACCACGTGTCTGTCCAGAGGCTTGTGATGTGAAAACGTTGAAGAAGCTGCAAAAGGGTATTTTGTTTTCTGGCAAAAGTTCCATAATAACATTCTGTATGATTCGGTCCACCGGTGACGTCAGTCCCCAATGACCTGGTGGTGCACGACCTGAGGAAGAGGAGCCGCCTGGTCATCAGCTCGGGAGAGGACGTGAGGAAGGTGGACTCCTAATAGTGCCTCCTGCTCCCATCCATTACCGTAGGGACGATAATGACACCACTGAAGACCTAGAAGGCCTTAATGGATGTCCTGAATTGCCCTCAAAATGTCTGTGTTTGTGCAAATGTTTTTATAATATGATTTAAACAAATATCACAATACAAACAGCACCATTCATTTACACGCTGTAGGCCTCAACAATGCTTTGCATGAAATTTAAGGTCAATGAATGAAGGAATTTTATTGATAGAATGGATATGTGCTTTTTTAATTCAGCAACAAAAACATTTAAGCACAAGTTTTTAAAATTAAACAAATTATACATGTATATCAACATATACAGTTATAGAAGGTGGAGGGTAGGTAGGTGGACACCTTCAGGGAGAGAGAGTTTCATGGCCAAACAATATGCAGGAAGTCACTATAACGCTGGGTAATAGTGGGGAGCTGCACACCACAGCTGATCGCCCTCTGCAGGTTCATAGACCCGACGGCACTGGGCTTCTAGTTAGCTCTCACACACACACACTTTATCAATACTTCACATATACAAATATGTATACAATATATACACATTCAAATAACTCAAATACATACCACAGAAAGAAATCACCACTAATCCCAAAAAGTTAATCCGGTAACTGTGCCAGTTACGGGTGGAGGTCGGAGCCGGGCAGCAGGTCGGGTTTCAGCCCATTGCTGCTCCTCCGCCGGCTGGGCAGGGGGCTCTCCTCCCCTCCCTGGAACCCCCCGATCATGGAGCCCAGGGCACCGCGGCGGCCCCCGTAAGGCTCTACCTGAGCTGCCACGCTCAGGCCAGGCTGGTCGGTCCGGGGGGTCACCGCCGAGGAGGGAAGGGAGACTGGGGGGGTGGCGCTCCCACTGAGGCTCTGCACCGTCACCGACGACTGGCACAAGGGCACGTATGTAAGGTCAATGCATGACATACACACACACACACACACCACATCCGGGAGGCATTCACAGCGCTTCACTTCACGCAAACAAATACCTCAAAAACCAATAATGACAAAGTGAAAACAGTTTTTTTGCAAGGTTTTGGAAATCTATTAAAAATAAAGAACAAAAATATAACACAAGTATTCACATCCCGTTTCCACTGATCATCCTTGAGATGTTTCTACAACTTGATTGGAGTCCACCTGCTATATTCAGTTGATATGACATGATTTAGAAAGGCCCCCCCGTCTATATCAGGTCCCACAGTCTGCACAAGGCAAGCACCCAACCAGGTTAGTCTGTTTACAGTGTGCAGAACTTTACAAACCCAAACAGACGAAGGGAACCGCTTCTTCCCCAGAGCTGAAGCCTCTATCACCAACAATGACAGTAAAACACCTTTTATCCACGACTTGGCACGTCAGAGCACAAACCAAGACATAAAGTCCAAGGAATTGTCTTTAGACCTCCGAGACAGAGTCATAACGAGCCGCAAATCTGAACAGAACAGAAACATTTCTACAGCACTCGAGGTCAAAATGAGCACAGTGGCCTCCATCATCCAGAAATGGAAGAAGTTTGGAAACACCAGGACTCTTCGAGTCGGCCGCCCAGCCAGACTGAGCGATCGGGAGAAAAGGGCCTTATTCAGGGAGGTGACCAAGAACCTAGCAGAAGGACAACCATCTCTTTCTCCCTCCACAAATCAGGCCTTTGTGGTAGAGAGCCACTACTTGGTAAAAAGCACATGACATCCCACCTGGAGTTTGTCAAAAGGCACCTGAAGGACTCTGAGACGATGATAAACTAAATTCTCTGGTCTGATGAAACAAAGATTCATCTCTTTGGCCCGAATGCCAAGCGTCATGTCTGGAGGAAACCAGGCACTGCTCATCACCAGGCCAATACCATCCCTACAGTGAAGCGTGGTGGTGGCAGCATCATGCTGGGAGATGTTCTTCAACAGGAGGAACTGGGACACTAGTCAGGATTAAGGTAACCGAGACATCCTGGTTGAAAACCTGCTCCAGTGCGCTCTGGACCTCAGACTGGGGCGACGGTTCATCTCCTAGGACTACGATCCAAAAGCACACAGCCAAGACAACAGAGGACAACTCTGTGAATGTCCTTGAGTGGCCTGGCCACTTGAACCTGACTGAAAAATAATGAGTCAGCAGCGGGTCACCCCAGGGGAGAGCGTGCTGTGCGTTAACTGGCCGAAACGCTCGATGATCCTGTGGACCACTACTGAGGTGTCGCCGAAGTTTTCTTAATAGGCTTCAACTAAAGCTCAAAAATGCAAATTTTAGAGGGTATTCACCTGTAAAAAAACTACAATCTTGCGATTTGTAACGCTCGAACGTCACACTAGGGTTAGATTTCAGGCCTCTCAGGTTCACGACGGGTTGCTAACTAGGACCTATGGACTACGACAACTCTGTGGCAATTTTGAACTACCGGTACAGGTTTGGGGTACGATTACTCAGTGGCAGCAGTTTAACTACAGGTGCTTTGCACTACCTCGGGTCGGAGGCCTACTGGGCTGGGAGCCTCGATTGACCCGCGCCATGCCGCGAACCTCTACACCGAACTGCAAAGCCGTTGGGTGACGGGAGGTTTCCGTGATCTCCTCAAAAGAAGTGGAAAGTCGCAGAAAGGCTATGAAATTGGACACAGTTGGAGGAGCAATCAACCGACCGAGGCGACATGGCAAAGAGCTGAGAGAGGAGTGAGAGGAAAGGGACAACAAAGACTTCCATCTCTGGTCTCTGAACCTCGGGGGATGAATAACAGGAACTGCTCGACGCTGCCAGGGGAAGGGAAGCGGCTGGAGAGAACGTTGGACTAGGGTGGGCTTCCTCGACGCCAATGACCAGGACAGATAAGTCCCCCCAGAAACACCTCACAACCCCCAGGAAAAAAAGTGCCCAGAAACAGGTGGACACGCTTGTGGTGTCCGACTCAAGAGGACCGGAGGCTGTAACTGCTGCCAAAGGTGCTTCAGCAAAGCGTTGAGCAAAGGCTGAGAACTTACTTTTTAATTACTTTCAAAACATTGATACGTTTTTCCACTTTGTCATTATGGGGTGTTGTGTGTAGAATTTTGGAGGAAAGAAATAACTAACATAAGAAGATGTGAGGAAAAGTGAAGCGCTGTGAATGCTTTCTAGATGCCCTCTACATGAATACATTATATATACATATAATATATATATATATATATATATATATATATATATATATATATATATATATGTAATGTATATATATGTATACAATTACACAAATCTATAGACAACATGTATTCATATTAATTCAAGTTCATTGAGACTGGCACTGGGTGGAGATGTCAAACCGCATCTCGCCACAATACAATGAGTCACCTTAGAGGTTTGATTTAGTGGCTGCAATGATGATTGATCCACAACAATGATTGATATTGATTGGATCAATCGATCGATCAATGTATATATATCAATCGATCATATATATAATCAATCGATTATGTATATACAGTATATAATCAATTGATTGATATATATAATCAATCAATTGATTATTTATATATATATACAAATCGATTGATTACATATATTAATCGGTCGATTGATTACATATGGATCGATCAATCTATATATTGATTGATTGATCACTTACTTACTCTCTTAAAGCTCAAATACAACTCTAAGTAACAGTTTTGGTTTCAGTATTTGATATAATATCCGGGGCCGGATTGTTTTTGGATGTGGCCGGAGCTTCAGGACCCGGGATCCCTGCTCTGCAGGGTTTGAGTGGAGGTCAATGGTTGTCTCTGTACAGTGTGTTTTTACCGTTTCAGAGGTGTTTTCTTCTTCTACCCCACACTGATATTACTGGCTCCATTACTGTGTTTAGTGTCTGGATCCAGGATCTAATTGGAATTCATTTCTTTTGATGCCATAAAAAAACTCTTTCCTTGGGTTCAAATAGGAACATTATTGCATCATGAAAACTGTTTGGCACATAGTTAGTTTTCTAGTCTAACGGAAGGAATCCGTGTGATGCTAATCTCATACATTATCCAGTTTGATCACATCCAGCCTTCTGACACTTTCAATCAAAGTCAGATCAGTACGTTCAGAAACGGTTTTCCAGGGATCAGTTCCATCTGCAGTGAACCCTGTTCACCGGTCAGAAACCAGTAGCTACAGTAACACTAATGTGTCAAGGACACAGAAACGCAGTTGTTTAGAATTGCATATATAGATTAACGTTAGAAAAGGTAAAGTGAACCAAAATGAAATATCTTTTTTTATAACAGGGAATAACAAAAACCGGTTGTGGATCTCGTGGAACGCTCAACCTGTTTAACTCACGTTGTCCACAGAGACGTCGCTGCCGGCCAAGATCTTCTTCTTTCTGGCCTTGTTGGGGTTCCAGTGGCAAACCAGGCTGTCGTTCTGCACACTGTAGTTCTTATGGCCCACCAGCCAGTATGTGTTCATTTTGCCTTTACCCTGACAGGAGAACAGGACACAGGATGTCTGACAACGGATCTTATGTGATGTAACCAGTGGACTGACGGTTTGTAGTAATGTGTGAGCTGATCCTTTGATTCGGGAAACTCGACATGCACAACTCGGTGATCTTCCGTTCACGGAGCGACACTGGGGATCGGTTGAGGTCTTTTTGATTGAATGTTTTTCGACTAGATTCATATCAATCTTCCAAAAGATTTTAGAAAATGACTTCTCACTGCATGAGGTTAAAATGAATCGCAGACGTTTACCTTAACCTCAATCTCTCCCCGGAGCTGCAGCTCGTAGGCGTCGTCTTTGATCAGAGCCAAAAAGGTTTCTGAGCTGGTGTGGATTTTCTGTGCTGACACACAAAAAGTGATACACGTTAAATACAGCAGAATATAGTAAAAATATATAGTATAGTAAAAAAAAAAAACACACACACACATTTCTAAGCACTGTCACTGTTCTCCAAGTTAAGTTTTACAGCTTTCAAGAATACACGTGCAACAAAGGGTCAATAAATATTTAAATGTTTGTATAAAGTGCAATGCTCAAATGCCCAAGGATCTGTTTTAATTATTATAAGGCAGATGCTGCCGCTTGGAGACATCAACGCTGGCAGCGGTAAAAATGAATCCTGCTAATACAGTCACACACCTCCACTTAGTTTGGGCTACAATTGTGCGTGTGTTTGTGTATTGTGTGTCCGGGTGGACATACGCATGCTGGTTGACTCCATTCTAGAGGCTGTGTTGACAGTATCTCCAAACAGACAGTATCTCGGCATCTTGTAGCCCACTATTCCTGCCACACATGGACCTTGAGGGTTCGGAGACAAAGAGTGAGTAGCTCAGACATCGCTATACTGGGACCAGCAGGTCGGGGGGGCATACATCTTTACTGGTTCATTTCTATGGCTGTGCTTCACTCACATCCCACAATGCTACAGGGCTTCAACAACGTACTGGACAATAACACATCTCAACTGATCATGATGTCGGATTAAAAGTTACATTTGTCCAACGGCGTTCTTTTAAATCAAGAACATCATCAACAAATATTGCTAAAAATGCAGAAATGAGAAACGCTAAAATGAATTTAATTCCTAACAATACAGAAAGGAGAAAGGCTGAATTTAATTTGAAAGAATTACTGAAAATACAGAAATGAGAACTGAAATTAAATTGTTGAAAATAAAATGGCAGAAGCTGAAATTCTTTTTTAAATGCTGAAGATACAGAAATGGGAAAAGCTGAAATAAATTTCCGAAAATACAGAAATGGCAGAAAATACAGGAATGGTAAAAATGAGAAAAGCTGAAATGATTTTTTTTGGTAATACAGAAACGAGAAAATACTGTCTTGAAAAATGTTGAGGCTAAAATCCTTATGCAGTTTAATATGCTAGTTATAATGTATAAGTAACGGCTTGACAACCAGTAGATATTTGTTGGACAGAAATGGACAGCACTGTGCAGGAGAAGCAGTTCAAAACACGTACGGAAGAAGATTAGCACCACAATAGCTGGACGCCTAAAAGCATTCCAGGAAAGGGTTTCCTGACCTTCATTCTCACATCGCAGTTGTTATTGCCCATCTAACCGGATGTGTGTCACTACCAACCCTTTAAACTTTAGAGAACTTCAGCAGAGCTTCAACAGCAATGCTTTAGAACAACGTTCTCAACGTGACGGTGTCACCAAATCGTACGTAACCCTCTTATTGCTGAGAAAGTTTCTTTGCAAGCAATTCTTTTCAAGGATGGTAGACTTTAGCAAAAGGACCAGATTTTGTTCCAACACTGATATGAGAGTGGCACTTGCTAAGGTGAAACCGCACATTTATCAACTTGTATCTGAAAGGCAACAGAAAAAGTTACATTGATTTGCAGTAAATATCTATTGAGTTAAGTTTTTTTGTGAAATCCATGTTTTGTTAGATTTGTTCTTTGGACACTGATTTTGTTTGCAACTGATGCATGTCATTGTGTGCACTAATACAATATATACTATTTGAAGAAATTTCATTTAGTCATTTTGTCCAATTGGGGTTGGGGTGAATGTCCTGATGAAGCTTGCAGGGTTCAGTAGCTCCAATAAGGTTAAGGACCACTGCTTTATGGTAACTCAAATGACAGAAGCTCTTAAACACCTGCAGCAGTGGCGTGCCAGGAGAAAAACCCCCGCCGACACAGAGTGTGGGATTACTGCCTAATAAACAAAATCAGCAACCTTGGTGTATATCGTCTCCCTGAAGCTCAAAGACCCCCCCACTGGTAACCAGACACTTTACCTTAGCGTGATGCTTGTAAGGTATCTCACACACGCGGAATTAGCTAACTACTGAAGTGGTGATTGGCTACAAAAGTACAGTAAAATCCTGCTGCTGGCTGCCGGCCCGCTGACACACTGCTATGGGACGGCATCCCATTCTTCAGAAGGCATTTGTGGTAAGTCACCAACGTGGTTGTGTTGGTCACTTTAGCATGAACAACACGTTCAAGCCCATCCCACAAGGGTTCAATGAGTGCCTGTAGTCTGATAAACCGCACTCTGTGGGGCCGAACATTGTCATCTTGGAAGATGGGGTTTGCCCTCAGAATTTGGAGATACGGGATTGCCATTCGCTGCAGAATCTCATATGAATATCTCTGCAATGAGAGTGACTCCATTGCCGTAAGCGGAATCTCGGACTCATGGCTGAACCAAACGTTCCTCCACATGTTCAGGTTGCAGTGTCCGACAGCAGGCGGGTCTGACGGTGAAGGGTCGTCGTGGCCGGCCTTCAGGCAAGTCTTTCATGGGCGCAATCTTTCTTTCTCAGAGGGAAGTATTGGACGGCACCCACAGAGACACTCGACTTCCTGCACCAATGATCCTCAGTACGTACCTGACCGGCTGCATCTTGCAGAACGCTTCTCTCACCTGTGTGGATACCGGCTCGGAGCTGCAGCCTGTGGTCGGGCATGTGGGGGATGGAGACCTGCCGGACGGCTGCAACCAGATCCAGCGCCATCTTGGCGATCTCATCGGCGTGTCTATCCCCGTTCCTCTCAGGCAGACCGCTCACAACCATGTATGCATCCCCAATCGTCTCCACCTGACTCGAGTTTGGCCAAAACAAGTTAAGGACGGAGAAATCAGGGTGTTTTGGGTTTGATAATGACATGACCCATGAAACAAGAACAAACTGCATTTTGAACTCTACATGACTAATGTGCAGTAGAACGCTGACTTTTCAGGTTAAGCTTTTCCTGAGACAACATGGTATTTTCTTTGTAATTCCCCTTTAACTCCAACTCACACGATGAATATTACCCAATATTACACAGTGGGGAGAACAAGTATTTGATATTGCAGGTTTCCCACGTCTGTAATTGTATCATAGGTACTCTTCAACTGTGAGTGATGGAATCTAAAACAAATCCAGAAAAACACATTGCATGATTTAAAAAAATGTCATGCAATAAACCGCAAAATATAAGTATTTCATCATCTATAAACCAGAAAGAATTCTGGCTCTCACAGACCTGTTAGTTTGTCTTTAGGAAGCGCTCCTGTTTTCCACTCATTACCTGTATTAACTGCACCTCCAACCTCTCCACAAAGACCAGAGAGCTGTGTAAGGACATCGGGGATGGAATTGCACAAGGCTGGGATGGACAATCGGCAAGCAGCTTGGTGAGAAGGCAACAACTGCGCAATTATTGACCCGCCAACCTTGCGCTTCCCAGCGCACCCTCTCTACTGAGTAATCAGTCCAGAACTACATGGCAGGACCTGGTCAATGACATAAAGCGAGCTGGGACCACAGACTCAAAGAAAACCATTAGTACCACACTACCTAGTCAATGTGGTACTAGCGCACACAAAGTCCCCCTGCTCAAGCCAGCGCATGTCCAGGCCCGTCTGAAGTTTGCCAATGACCATCTGGATGATCCAGAGGAGGTATGGGAGAAGGTCATGTGGTCTGATGAGACAAAAATTGAGCGTTTTGGTCTAAACTCCACTTGCGGTGTTTGGAGGAAGAAGGATGAGTACAACCCCAAGAACACCATCCAAACCGTGAAGCATGGAGGTAGAAACATACTTCTTTGGGGATGCTTTTCTGCAAAGGGGACAGGCCGACTGCACTGTATTGAGGGGAGGACAGATGGGGCCATGGACTCTCAGTGACAGCATTGAAGATGAGTCGTGGCTTTGTCTTCCTGCATGACAACGACCCGAAACACAGGGCAACTAAGGAGTGGCTGCGTAAGAAGCATCTCAAAGTCCTGGAGCCAGTCTCCAGACCTGAACCCAATAGAAAATCTTTGGAGGGAGCTGAAAGTCCGTGTTGGATCTGGAGAAGGTCTGTATGGAGGAGTGGGCTGGAGCAGTGTGTGCAAACCTGGTCAAGAACTACAGGAAACGTATGATGTCTGCAATTGCAAACAAAGGCTTCTGTACCAAATATTACGTTTGGCTTTTCTGATCAAACACGTATGTCATGCAATAAACTGCAAAATATATTTACAATGTGATTTTCTGGATTTGTTTTAGATTTCGTCATCAAATGCCCAACGAGGTACCAGTGGTGTCCTCAGCCTGCCAGCAGATGTCCCTACCAATCTGTAAAATAATTATAAATCCCAGTCATATTATTAGGTTTAGATAGAGGACACATGGTCGTATGCAATGTTTAATCTGTAAAAAGTTCCAAGTATATTTGTCCTGAAGATTAAATATGTTTCTAAGTTCCCCAAAGGATTTTACTTAACTCTCTTTGGTCAAGTCAAAAAGAACATGACATGAATGGCTCTTAATTGCTTATACATGTTCTATAATATGATGAGCGTTAAAGTTATTCCAGCTTTAAGCTTATATTTAAATGCCTGCGTGGTCATGCTTCTTCACCGCTCAATGAATGGCCGCTGTCGCGTTGCTATGCGCAAGACCTCTATGGACAATCAGTCTTCACCGTTCAAGGAGCAAAACTATGGGACTGTCTCGCAACACGTTTGTAATGTTTTTAATAGAGGTATCATGTTGTGGTTATAAGAGAAGCAACATTGCTCTCACACCTAACAATCCTGGAAATAGATACATACACACAGTACAAGTGTATCGATGTATTTGTGAATGTATCTTCTTGTTCTGTTTTATTATGTTATGTTTTTCCTGTAAAAAAAGGTACATTGTTCACCTTTATCAGGAGAGACGTCGCTTTGGTTTATGGTGTTGTACTGTATATTTGCTCTGGAAGGGACCATTCAAACTGCCCTGTGTATCCAATCACTGAGGAAAAAACCTCAGACAAGAAAATACCTTCTGATTTCAAATCAATTCCTTCTATACAATTGTTTAGTTCTGCCGTTTGGGGGCCTTGTTGAAATCAAGGAAATGAGCATCTGAGAAAGGGTCTGTCCCTTATTCAGACGGCCCGTCAGTGGCGGGAAAATTAAAGTGATGATGGAAGATGATGAGACTGCCGGCCGCATGGCCCCGAGTGATTCCTCTCTGTCGGCACCAATCACCTCTCTCAAGCAGGAGGAGATGTGGAAGTTGATCCAAAGTAGGCACTCACTTTTAGTGCACATCTGCTACCAAGTCCCCAAAGTCCCCGTCCCATGACCTAGCTTCAGCTTCAGCTCTATGTCATTTTGCATATCAACCATCTCCATGTCCTCTCCACCTGGCAAAGCAAATGCCTTCTGGAATATGGCTGCAACCTCCTCTTCATATTGATACAGACAGGAATGGGTTTGAGTGGAATAGAAAGGACACCTCTGCTGTCTCGCTTTCTGCTCTCAAATGACTTTATTCAGTCTGAAGTAGCTTTTGTGTCGTCTGTTGATTGTGCACACCATTCTCTCACGTTCCATGGCCTGATTGCGATCGACAGGTTGGCGTCCACTGATCTACCCCAAAGTGTCGTGGCAACGGTCCAGATCGTGCTTGAGAGGCTGGTGTGCCTCCAGATGGCAGATATTTAAGCAACCTACACAAATGGTGAACCAAGGTTTTCAACTAAGGAACATCGACATGCCTGAGGCCAACACATATCTCTGTCTTATTGGTTATTCAGCTCTATCGGGTAGCTCTATTTACTTGTCATGTGGGCTTTGATCCCTGCATATACCTCATAGCTTTCCCCCTGGCGTCTGCCATAGAGACACAGGGGAGGTTGCATTCCATGTGTCCTTTGCATGTTCTCTGTCCTCAGCATTTCTCAGATTCCTCACTGGATTGTGGGGGCGATCACCATGGCCCCCAACAACGGCCTTCCATTGGCTCACAAAGTGAGCGTGCCTTTCACCGGGGCACGGTAACATCAGGGGCTTGATCTAAAGGGGTGTCTGATCGTCATCACCGCGCTCGCATGCCTGGTTTGGAAATGACAGCCGGTGTTGTGCCTCAATCAGTTCTTTTGGGCCAGAATATATATGGCGTGTGTTGTGAGTACATCAGAAATGAAAAGTTAACATCTGGTTGAACAGCTGTGCTGGGTAAAGAGTGGCTGTGAAACAGAGGGATGACCGTTGGAGTGAGGCAAGCAAGGAGTGAAACTACTGAGCTTCACCCTTTTCCTCTCTGGTTTACAGCAGATCGAAGCGTGTGCTCTCCAATCAGCGTATTTTCCTAACTTTCTCTGCATGTCTGTGACATTTCACTGTTACCTTGTAGACATCGTAGGAGTCTATGCGCGTGTCAAAGCACATGTAGAGGTTGTTCAGCATCTCCACCACTTGAAGAGGAGCACAGGATGCAGAGATAGAGGTGAAGCCCACAATGTCTGAGAAAAAAATGGTCACCTGGAACAAAACGGAAGGAGGTGACTTCAGCAGTATTGGTTACAGTTTATTCTCACATAGCGATCCTACAATAAATCCTACCTCTGTGAAGGCTATAATGTAACATTGTTTCTGTTATTCCACCATATCAATGAGGGTAGGCTAATAAATACAAATGTATTTTTGTATAACTAAAAAATTCAGCATTTATTCTCTTTTGGGGAAAATTATTTATTTATGTAAAAGAACCAAAACAATGTAAACATGCTAGAAAGAATCATCCATTTTATACCCTATGCAAAAGCAGACATTTATCAGCTTCATATAGTTCTGTATATTATATATATGTATGTATATATATATATATATATATATATATATATATAGCCACCTGATTCAAGAAAACATTGTAAAGGGTTTTCCAAATGAGGTTGCGAGCCACTAAATGAATGTTAAAGTATAAGCTGGTTCGTTGAATCGATGGTCCCATTTGGCAGTAGCCCCCCTGCACGCACACACACACACACACACACACACACACACACACACACACACATCTTCAGTGCTTTTGGTACAGCTGCTTCCATGAGCCTCTTCAATAAGCTTGACGCAATTTTCACCCAAATAACTTGTTTTATCTCCTGATGAATATGGAACAGGGCAATTATAGGTAATTACGCCAACAATAGCAACAAAGGCAGCTAACACACGTATTCATCCATCGTGTGCTCGCAGAGGTAGCAGCTCTTCGCTGCAGCATCGGGAGAAGCTTATTGGCTTATTCGTCTTCATAAGATTTTTCCGTTTCTACCTTTAATGTGAGCATGTGTATTACAGTTGTTTAATAATGATAAATTATCAGCAGCCGTTTTTAACAAACAATTCAACACAGCAACAGTTACATGAACACTTTAACACCTTTGGGCCACCAACTCCTTGTTGTTCATGGAAAGAAAGAAGGAGGGAGCACGGGGAAATCTCTTTCTCCAGATTAAAGTACCAAGTCAGAGCTGTAGAGTGACCGGTTAAGGAAAAGTCCCCAAGTCAAGTCCAAACCAGCAAGTCCAGAGTCGGGTTTATCAAAGTCAACACAAACCACAGTCAAAGTCCATCTACAGGTCCACACCAACAAGTGGCAGAGACAGAGCGTGTGTATGCAGAGAAGCTGGAGACGGTCGGAGACGGTCAACGTGGGGGAGAAGCTGAGGACAGATGGAGTTGTGCTTTTGGAGAACACAACATCTTCAACACAACAGGGTTTTTCTTTTGGGGGGGGGGATTTAGCCTGTGCCAATGTGAGGGTGTGAGGCTAATTTGTAATTGGTGATTTTGTGCCAATAGGAAGTCCACTAGCAGTATTCCACCCTCACCGACTTTAGAACAACAATTAAAACTAGACATTAAAAACGAACAATGAGACATGATTCTTCCAATGCATAACCAATTTGTCTTCTCACATGAATTGTTTCATTAGTAAATAGTTAGTGCAACAAGTGAAGTTTCCAAAAGATCTGCTTTATTTCCAGGGAGCAATCAGTGAGTAGCTTATTGGTCCATTCAGGTGTGGGTTTCAGTACAGCCGTGTAGTTTATAACCTGAGCCATACATAATAATAAAAATGATTTTGCTTTTTGCGATTTCACCGACCTTTTCGTAGCTCTCTGCCTCGACATGTTTGTGCTGGCGGAGCTGCCTGGCGACCGACTTGGGTAGCATCTGGTGCAGCAGGTCCTCGGCCAACTGCCTTTGGCGCTTCAGGTCCTCCGTCTTCTCCTTCAAGCTCTTGGCGTAGTTCTGTATCCACTCGGTCATCTGCTTGAACGAGATCATCACTACCGGGTAGATGAGGCAGGCTATGGACAGCAGGCAGACCCTCATGCTGAGGCCCGAAGACACGGCACGAGACGCCAACCTGAGAGCTGGCACCGCCCGATCAAACAAGCACTGCTGAGTGTGTGTCAGAGCCTGAATTCCAGCGTGGGACCCAGACAGGAGCTCTGTCCTTGCTCCTGAGACCCGCCAAAGACTTGTGTTGAAAATATAAGAATGTTTTGGAGTCTGGCTTAAGTTTAGCTTACGGTCTATGTTCTCCACCCAGCAGTCATTCAGTTGTTCCGTCATAACTCTGGCAAAGCCGAGGTAGCTTAGTACATAAGTCCACTTGTACTGGAAGTCAGGGCGAGTTGCCACGTGGGGGAAGTCCATCAACTGGTGGTTGAGCTCTTGGAATTGTATCAGTAGTCTTGCAGACAGTACATCTTTCCAGTTCACATTCTGGTTGACTTTGGTTAAAGTATCTTCTACGGTACCCCAGATGTCTAGAAGTCTTCCGATGGCCAGGGAGTAAGCAGAGGTACCATTTTCCCTTGTGTCATTTGTATCCATAGAAGTATTCAGAAATCCTTGAACGCTCCACCTCAACTCTTGGCAAAATCCAGCCAACTCGACACTACAGGGGATCCCGTGGCCATCGCTATTACCTGCCATTTCATCAGAGAGGTGAGCAAATACTGGAAACAGAATCTCTGAGATACTGGCCTCTAACGTCTCATTGCTCAAGTCTTTGGTAATTAAATGTCTCATCTTTTGAAGCTTACTGACGAGTTGCAGGATGGCTATCGTCCTACACGAAGTAAGCTCGTCGTAAGCAGCCTCTGTCGTGTGCAGCAGGTCAAAGTTGAAGCTGAGGTCTATGGACACAGAGCCAAGCAGGGTCCAGGAAAGAGAGGACGCAGGCTGTCAAAATCCGCCGAACAGAGCGACTACTGCCAGACATGCAAAATATGGAGCACCTGGAAAAGCAGGAATATAACGTATGAATTACCGAAGGAGGATTCGGGATTCAAGGATTTTAAAATACACTAAATGTACAGTGTCATCACAACATGTATGAAGACAAAACTGCTGTCTCACCTTCACATCTGGAGAATTACTGCATGGTGGAAGATATTTGTTGCATTGTTGGTTCTTACAAAAAACAAAATGTCAAATGCTTTCATGGAAAATATGTTTTGGGTTCTATGGGTTCTTTAATATGCTAAAAGTCAGCTCGATCCTCCATTTAAGTTGCAACCGAGAAAACCCTATGGACACGGCCCAGCTTGTGCTTAACGGGAGCCGTTCCCAGACCAACGGATGGACAATGGTCACCTCTCTGTTTACCAAAGGAGGCCGGTTTCCCTGAGATACCATGAAAAGCAGCTGCACTTCTTTAAAAGAAAGGAAAATAAATTGTCAGTGATGAATTAAATGAATACTTTCTAAAGAAACGCGATGATGATGTTTTAGTCATCTTTTTCTTTAATCACTTGTTTAGAAGAGCCGTAAATATTAATCAATTCATCAGCCGACAGATGATGGATTTAATGCAGTAGTACGTACTTTACCTTGATGATAAGATACAGGTGTCAATTGTGCTTTAGATTCCCAAATATGAGGGCTTTTCTGCTTTGGGTATTTTTTACTCATGTCTTACCTTTATGTGACATTTTAGAAATTTCTAATAAAAAAAGAATCAGTTGCTGCCCTTAATGATACATTTATTTAATCTGAAATGCAAGACATCTTGAGGACTGTAATATATTGTTAATTTTAAAAAGACTATTCCCGTGTATAATTGGGACAGCAGCATCTCTGAATGGGACCTCGGAGGAGACGGAAACCAGCTCCACTGCATCTCGTCCCAGCAGACCTCCACCAGCAGCACCACCTGGAACCAGCGAGACCAAACTTTTGGGGACAGCTTAGTGAGTCTCACCTGCACAGCTGAGAGTCGCTGTCCGCGTCGTGCTGCACCCACGGGGCGACCCTCCTCTTCGTTACGAACCTCGTCTTCAGGGAGGCCGAGGACCGCGTCCCAGAGGCGAGACACTCCTTTGTCATCAAGTCCAGCGGCGAGGTGCGACTGGAGGTCTGCTGTCTGTGGACAGGACGCGGGACGCGCGGGACGCGCGCATCGCAGGGACCGAGATGCCGAGTGGTCCCGTTAGTGGATGTCAGCGGAGGCACCGGCGTCTTTTCAACGTCCGGTTGCACACTTCAAAATAAACGTTTTAGAGAGAATCATACGGGCAGTGAAGTCATCAGCATGGCTGTAAATGTCCCACATACTGACTGGCCATTTTAAATAGTGTAGGAATGAATCGAATTTAATGTAATAAATAAATGTTGACTCTATTTTACCATTTTTACAAATGAATAAACACAGACCATAAACACGGTGAATAGACGGGAATAGGGAATTATTTATGGACTTCATGATGTATAGTTACATGTCGTCGTCAGTTACATGTTTACACAAGCTAACTTTTTAATTTCTGTTTAAGGGGCAGTGAACACTATTTGACAGTATTCTCCAAAATATAATTTAGTATTGCTCCTCATTTCTAGTTGGAAGCTCAGTTTGAACTTTTTTAGTTACCATGTAGCCTCTTACTAGTCTGATGTTAAAAGCATCTCCGATGATTCTGACCTGGAACTTCTTCAGAGGGAATGAACCGGCCGCTCTCCCTTAACAGCGTTCGTGTGCTCAGGTCATCTGTCCGTGCTTTAATTGTGAAGGCCGCGGCCGGAAGCCTCCCTCGCGGACCACGGACGCACGCTGCAGGGGGAGAGGTGCGCGCGGGCTGCTCGAGAGGAGAAGCTGCAACTTAGTGAGCCGTGAACCAGGTGCCGACCCCGGGACGGCTCTCGTGAGTACCCGCGGCCCGTGGAGCTGCTCCGGCGTCCGGCGCGTGGCTCGAGGCGGGAAGCGGCGGTCGCGGAGCGGCTGAGGAGCCGAATGAGTGCGCTGCCGGATCCGGTAAACAAAGAGTTTTTCTCCCTCTGTCCTCCCCAGAGTTACCGAGCGGGACGCCGCAGAGCGGCTCCCGGCTGCAGAAGTAAGCCAAATACTCTGAAACTTTCCTCCTTTCTGAAAGGACGCGTGCGCTTCCGTTCGATTGGTGAATTCACTCATTTGACCAGAGTACAAGAAACACCGGGACTGCGTTCATTCAGCGTTCAGCTAACGGCGACAACTTGCCCAGTTCGTGTGCAGCAGCCACTCAATTCGCACTCTTGAGCTTCATATTGAACCGACCGAGAACACGTACAACATGCTTAGTGTCCCACACAGGAGAACACGTACAACATGCTTAGTGTCCCTCACAGGAGAACACGTACAACATGCTTAGTGTCCCTCACAGGAGAACACTTACAACATGCTTAGTGTCCCACACAGGACAACACGTACAACATGCTTAGTGTCCCTCACAGGACAAGACGTACAACATGCTTAGTGTCCCACACAGGAGAACATGTACAACATGCTTAGTGTCCCTCACAGGACAAGACGTACAACATGCTTAGTGTCCCTCACAGGAGAACACTTACAACATGCTTAGTGTCCCACACAGGAGAACACGTACAACATGCTTAGTGTCCCTCACAGGAGAACACTTACAACATGCTTAGTGTCCCACACAGGAGAACACTTACAACATGCTTAGTGTCCCACACAGAACAATACGTACAACATGCTTAGTGTCCCACACAGGAGAACACTTACAACATGCTTAGTGTCCCTCACAGAAGAACACGTACAACATGCTTAGTGTCCCTCACAGGAGAACACTTACAACATGCTTAGTGTCCCACACAGGAGAACACTTACAACATGCTTAGTGTCCCACACAGGAGAACACTTACAACATGCTTAGTGTCCCTCACAGGAGAACACGTACAACATGCTTAGTGTCCCTCACAGGAGAACACGTACAACATGCTTAGTGTCCCACACAGGACAACACGTGCAACATGCTTAGTGTCCCACACAGGACAACACGTGCAACATGCTTAGTGTCCCACACAGGACAACACGTGCAACATGCTTAGTGTCCCACACAGGACAACACGTGCAACATGCTTAGTGTCCCACACAGGAGAACACGTGCAACATGCTTAGTGTCCCACACAGGAGAACACGTGCAACATGCTTAGTGTCCTACACAGGACAACACGTGCAACATGCTTAGTGTCCCACACAGGACAACACGTGCAACATGCTTAGTGTCCCTCACAGGACAACACGTACAACATGCTTAGTGTCCCACACAGGAGAACACGTACAACATGCTTAGTGTCCCACACAGGAGAACACGTACAACATGCTTAGTGTCCCACACAGGAGAACACGTGCAACATGCTTAGTGTCCCACACAGGAGAACACGTGCAACATGCTTAGTGTCCTACACAGGAGAACACGTGCAACATGCTTAGTGTCCCACACAGGAGAACACGTGCAACATGCTTAGTGTCCCACACAGGAGAACACGTGCAACATGCTTAGTGTCCCTCACAGGAGAACACGTACAACATGCTTAGTGTCCCACACAGGACAACACGTGCAACATGCTTAGTGTCCCACACAGGACAACACTTACAACATGCTTAGTGTCCCTCACAGGAGAACACGTACAACATGCTTAGTGTCCCTCACAGGAGAACACGTACAACATGCTTAGTGTCCCACACAGGACAACACGTACAACATGCTTAGTGTCCCACACAGGACAACACGTACAACATGCTTAGTGTCCCACACAGGAGAACACGTACAACATGCTTAGTGTCCCACACAGGAGAACACGTGCAACATGCTTAGTGTCCCACACAGGAGAACACGTGCAACATGCTTAGTGTCCCACACAGGAGAACACGTGCAACATGCTTAGTGTCCCACACAGGAGAACACGTGCAACATGCTTAGTGTCCCACACAGGAGAACACGCTGAACCGCATATTCTCATGTGCAGTGCAAGAAGACAACTAGTTGCAAAATCCGTAAAACATGACATTTAACCAGTCGTATCAAATCAAATCAAATGTTTAAAAATGCTTTTTAAGGAGTCCAAATAACACCTGCTGTGTATGAAGAAAACGGGTAGAAACACTGCTATGGTAACATGAAACACGTGTTGACGTTGCATTCTTTGTGTGTCCATCAGCTAGTGGGGGCGGCCGGTGCTCCAGTCATGACCTCTGGGAACGGGAACACTAACAGCAGCCGACACGATGGAGAGAGCAAACCGGCCCAGGCCCCAGTGGAGTCCCACATCCTCACCCATCTGATAGAGGGCTTCGTGATCCAGGAGGGGGCGGAGCCTTTCCCCGTGAGTCCTCGCGCAACGTCACGCATGCACACACACAATGTGGTCTGTGGTCTGACCACACTGGTGCAGGTGTGAGTCCAGCGACCGCTCAGGTCTCCTGTATTTGGTTACTGGAGTTATTACAAATAAGAACGTCTTTGTATTTGTTTCCTGTAAAACCATGAAGAGAAGCCAAAAGGATTTGATAATGGCTCCATCATTTAGAGACACTCCTTTTAGTCGCTGACTTGGATTCATGGTCCTTTTATTTCTCAATGCTCGAATAGGACGATGTATTGTTGAAGCGGTTTTCAAACCTTTTTAAGCACGTTCCCGTCTTTAGCCTGTCGGTCTGCCTGTCTAACATGACACATGAATGCCAGCAGCCAGCAATGAGAACGCCAAACATGGGCCGGTAACTACAGTTATTAGATTGATGGATGGAGTGCATTGAACGTCTATCGACTGTTTCTGGGAGCTCAGTACCAAGACTGAATATAGAGTTTGTGTGTCACGCTCCTCTTGGTGGAATAAACTCTGGAGACACAAGGACACCCATTCATCAAGGACTCCTTGGAGTGCCTTCAGCTCCGTGTTTCCTTCCTTCCTGGTGCAACAGCCTCAGCTGCTATAATGAACTCTGTTCGTCTGTGCAGGTGGAACGTCCATCTTTTTCCATCGATATCCTCAGGAGACCCACGGCGGACTCCAAGATGGAGGGCCTCCCAGCAAAGGGTAAATCTGTAGATATGAAGTTCTCTCTGCGTGTTTCATGTATGTGGTTCAGACCTCCTGATCCCGCCTCTGTCACAACGCTGCCTTCAGGGAGCCAAGATAAAGACTCGTGTGAAATTGTCGACATTGTAATCTGCATACCTGGTTCAAAGAACGGGGCCCTTATCAGATGCTGAGCTGCTCGAGTAAGGAGCCCGTGTGCATGACTGGAGCCAGTGAAAGACGAGGGCGAAGGTCTGCACACTGAGAGCTAGACAACACTTGAATTATGGTAGAACGAGAGCGTGAGAGAGGAGCTCGGTGTGTCCTAAGAAGTCCCCCGGCAGTCTAAGCCTATAGCAGCTTAACTAAGGGCTGGTCCGGACTAACCTGAGCCAGCCCTAACTATAGGCACAATCAAAGAGGAAAGTTTTAAGTTTTACTTTGAAAGAGCTGACCGAATCTGCCCCCCGGACTGAAAGTGGAACCTGGTTCCACAAAAGAGGAGCTTGATAACTGAAGGCTCTGGCCCCCAGCCTACTTTTTAAAACCATAGGAACAACAAGTAACCAGCATCTATGGAGCGCAGTTGCCTTGTAGGGCAATAAGGTATTACAAGCTCTTGAAGATACGACGGTGCCTCACCAGCAAGTGCCTTGTAGGTGAGGAGAAGTACCTTAAAATCTATTCTTGATTTAACAGGGAGCCAGTGCAGAGAAGTTAATACAGGAGTAATATGATCCCTTTTCTTAGTTCTTGTTAATACACGTGCTGCAGCATTCTGAATCAACTGGAGAGGCTTAAGAGATTTATAAGAGCAGCCTGATAACAAAGAATTACAGTAGTCCAGTCTGGAAGTGACAAACGCATGAACTAATTTTTCTGCATCACTTTGAGACAGGAAGTTCCTGATTTTTGTTTGTTACGTAAATGAAAATAGTCAGTCCTTGAAGTCTTCTTTATATGCGAGTTGAAGGTCATATCCTGGTCGAAGAGAACTCCCAGATTCCTGACGGTGCTGCTGGGTACCAGAGCAATTCCATCCATAAAAACTGTATCACGTGACAGCTGGCTTCGAAGGCGCTCTGGGCCTATCAGGATAACTTCTGTTTTTTCTGAGTTTAGCATCAGGAAGTTGCCGGTCTCCCAAGTTTTGGTGTCTCCAAGACATTCTTGAAGTCTAACTAGCTGGTCCGTCTCTTCTGGCTTGATCGACAGATACAGTTGAGTATTGTCTGCATAACAATGGAAGTTTATGCGGTGTTTCCTGATAATATCGCCCAAAGGTGGCATATAGAGGGTAAATAAAATCGGTCCAAGTACAGAACCTTGTGGGACCAACATTGGTCGAGGATTCACCGTTTACAAGCACAAACTGGGATCGGTCCGATAAGTAGGATTTAAACCAGCTGAGTGCAGTTCCTTTGATACCAATTAAATGTTCTAGTCTCTGCAATAGGATATAATTGTGTATGGTATCAAATGTGGCACTGAGGTCCAGCAAGACAAGAAAAGAGATGAGTCCTTGGTCCGATGCAAGTAGATCATTCGTAATTTTCACCAGTGCTGTTTCTGTACTATGATGCACTTGAAATCCTGACTGGAAATCCTCGAACAAAGCATTGTTTTGTAGAAAGTCACATAATTGATTTGCCGCGGATTTCTCAAGGATCTTAGAGAGGAAGGGAAGATTAGAGATAGGTCTGTAGTTAGCCAACACCTCTGGAGCAAGAGTCGGTTTTTTAAGAAGAGGTTTAATTACAGCTACCTTGAAGGACTGTGGTACATGTCCTGTCAACAAAGACAGATCCATAATATCTAATAAGGATGTGCTAACTAAAGGAAAAACTTCCTAAAGCAGTTTGGTCGGAATCGGATCCAAGAGACAGGTAGAAGATTTAGACTTTGAAAATAAAGAAGTCAGTTGATCAAGGTCGATGGAAGAGAAGGCGTCCAAACAGGCATCAGGGCCCACTGCTGCATCCAAGGTTCCTACATCGGAGGACAGGTCGGCACTGGTTGAAGGCAGGAGACCATCAATTTTCTCTTTGATAGTCAGAATCTTCTCATTGAAGAAGTTCATGAAGTCGTTACTAGTGAGGTCCAAAGGAATACACGGCTCGACAGAGCTGTGACTCTCTGTCAGTCGGGCTACAGTGCTGAAGAGAAACCTGGAGTTGTTTTTATTTTTCTCTATTAATGATGAGTAATAAGATGCTCTTGCGTTACGGAGAGCCTTCTTATACGTTTTAAGGCTGTCTTGCCAAACTAGCCTAGATCCTTCTGATTTGGTGGAACGCCATAATCCGCACAGTTTGCTTTAGGTTCCGTGTTTGAGGGTTATACCACGGAGCAGACTTCCTTCTTGTTGCTATTCTTCTTTCCAGAGGAGCAATAGCATCCAGCGCCACTCTCAAAGAGCCTGTAGCAGCATCGACAAAATGATGGATCTGGGACGGACTGAAGTTCTCACAGGAGTCTTCTTGTATCTTGAGGCAGGGCACTGAACTTAGAGCAGAAGGAATGGCTTCTTTAAATAAGGCTACAGCGGTATCCGATAAGCGTCGACTGTAGAAACCTTTGGCAGGAGGAGGTGGTTCTGATAGTAGAAATTCAAAGGTTATCAGACAATGGTCCGACAGGAGAGGGTTCTGTGGAAAAATTGTTAAATGTTCAATCCCAATCCCATACACAAGAACCAAGTCACCACACCAAGAGAGTGTGGTTAAAACAGTGAGTTGGTTTATTTACACACTGACAGAAGACAGAGAAGGACACAGCGGCTCTCTACCTGCTGTTAGACTTACACACTCTCATTCTTCTTGAAATCATGACCACAGATGCATGCTGGGATGTAAATGAGCCAGCAAGCCGAGAGGCCCTCTTCTCCGTGACTGTGCTGCTGTGTGTCTGAGTGTGTCGTGGCTGTTTCCACAGAGCCAAAGGCCCAGAAGGAGCCCATGCTGACCTGTGAGCTGTGTGGGAAGGTGGACTTTGCCTACGTCTTCAAAAGGTCCAAGAGGTTCTGTTCCACAGTGTGCGCCAAACGGTGAGCCAGGGGGTATTTGTGTGATCTGAATGAAAGCGGAACTGGAGAACGAGACGCCCTGAAGTCAACGGGACGGAGAGAGAATGACGTCTCACGCTGGTGGAGATCCTGGGACTAAAAGAAACACACTTGTTCAGGAGCTTTTCAAAGCAGAGGTCAATCTTCCTAAACGTCAGTTTAGTTACACATGACATCAGACATATGCATGAGACATATGTAAAGATACACATGCGCACACCTGGATCATGTCAACGGGGCCCGCCTTCTACGCGGACGGTGGAAGCAGCACCACGAGCACGTAGAGGAAGCGAAAGTCACAGGGAGGATTGTACTGTAGCAGTAGTAGTAGTAGTAGTAGTAGTAGTAGTAGTAGTAGTAGTAGTGTAGTGAAAAGACAGCAGGCCGCTTTCATCGAATGTCCTTGTTGAGCGCGTGCGACCGCTCCGTGTCCCAGTGCCGCATTCATCCAAATCCGTCTTTCCCATCTATGCTTCTGTCAACTACTTTCTCCCACATCTCACAATGTAGTTTCAAAATGTCTGCGACGTTTGAGTTGCTGCTTGGATCCATAGACGGAACTACTTTAACATAATTCTTTATTCGGTCTGTACATAACGAACAGGTTGTGGAAATGAGCAATAACATGAAAACGACCACGTGGCTTCGTATTCTGGCGTTGACCCGGCTCACCGTGTTGGCTCTTGTGTCGCAGCTACAATGTGGGATGCACAAAGAGAATGGGCCTCTTCCCGAACCGCCAGAGCACCTTGGAGAGCGTGAAGAAACACCGAGCGCCGAGTGGACACCTCAGAAACGGCTGTCTGGAGCCTAAGAAGAAGGCGAGTCTTCATTCAAACATGCGTGTTCACGTGTGCGCCGTGTGCTCGCGTGTGCGCCGCGTCCCATCCTGTCCTCGCGGACCGGTCTTTATTTAAAGTGTTGTTGTGACTCCTCCCTCTGCTCAGAAGCCGGCTGCGGCTCCGCCCCCCGGCCACTCGGCCTATCCTGCTCAGGGGGAGTCCAGCCAGTGTTCGGACTTGTCCGGCTACGGAAGACCCCCGTCCCCCCCGTCGGCCTCCCAGCCCCGCGGCTTCCTGCCCGGGGACCCCGGCCAGTGGAACATCCAGGACGTCTACGGGTTCATCTCCGCTCTGCCAGGTGGGCGGGGCCTCAGATCTCGTGGGGTTGTTTGTCGCATCCGGGTGTTGACGGTGAAGAGGGGGGGGGGCACATGCTTCAAAGGGGCCATGTGTACTGTACATGGTCTTTGACGGACGTTTTGGTGATTTCTGAGGACTGTTTCTATCAATCATCATGTCCCTCAATGTGATGTAATGTTGCTCCTGCGAGGACGTCACAGTACACGATCATTTGTGTAGCGTCCACCCTCGTCTTGATGTGTGCGTGTTGGAGGGTGAGTCTGATCCCACAGTAGAAGCGGCCGGCGATGATCAACCTTCAGTCCGTGTGCTGTAAATGTACCTGTGGGGAACCTCTGCCTAGGTTCCTTTCTGTTGGCGTAGCCTTATCCAAGCTGTGTCGATCGTTAAACAATAAAGCAGCAGTTCTGACTTATTTGCGTTAGTTTGAGCGCCGTGGATGAGGCTCGGGGGCCACGCGTGCAGCGCTGCGGGCCGAGCTGACTGGCTGCTTTGTGGCTGCAGGTTGCCTGGAGATCGCCGAGGAGTTCCGCTGTCAGGAGATCGATGGACAGGCCCTGCTGCTGCTCAACGAGGACCATCTCATGGGGGCCATGAACATCAAACTGGGCCCTGCACTCAAGATCTTTGCTCAGATTAGCACACTGAAGGACTCGTAGCACATCTCCACACACACACACACACACACACACACACACACACTAATGTGTTGACGGCCGTGTGGGTGGAAAATAGCACTACTTTCCTCCTGCCGTTACTAAGCAACCAAGACTTGGGCTGAAATGAAGATTTAGAGTAACTTGTTTGGGGACAATTTCTCTGACCGTTTTAACCAGATGTTGGGACGTCCTTCAACAACGATGGTCCAAATGGAGGAAACCAGCCGTGTGGTTGCAAAGAGTCTTCCGCCCAGCAGAGGAGCGCTGAGCCGCCGCCGCCGCCCTCTGACGGCTCGCGCCTGGGTTTTGACTTGCGTTGACGCTTTTGTTGTCTAGGTTGCTCTGATCTGCCACAGAGACCCGTGTTCATCCATAAGCTGCCTCTCCGACTGAGTGTAGAAGTTTGTTTTAATGAGGCACGGAATTAAATTCCAAGTATATTATGAATATAGTAAATAAACAGTTGAAACCAATAAGGAACCCGTCTAGCAGCATCGATGCGTCTGTAGTGACGTTTATTTGCGTTGCGTAGTTTGAGGGTCCTGGATCAGGACTCTAGGATGAGTCCTGACGAAGCGGAGGGAGCATTGAATGTCAGAGCGCTCAGCCTTGATATTCAATCAATTATAACAGTTTAAGAAGCATTTCAAAACTTGATTGACTCAATAAGCCGTTTGTTTCTGGTGTGTGTGTCACTGTGGGAATGTGTAGCGGTTTTAATTGCACACACACCTCAGAAGGAGCACGAGTGCTGACGTGCATCCTTTTCAGACTGAATGTTTTTCATGGAAAATCACATCCTGTTGAGCGACTTTCCTTCGTCCTCATTCAGCCTTCACACAGTAATAAACTATTTCATTGATGAATAATAAGCAAATTCAAAGGCCAATCAAATGTGACTTATTTCCATATGTTGGATACCGATTGATCTGCTTCACGCTCTTTAAATCACTGTGTGTGTCTTTAATGTCTCTAACACTACATGTCATCGTGCGCTGATGACAGGAGACAAACACTAGTGGGACGAACCCATGAAGGACGAACCGCTCCACCTGCATGTGCAGTCCGTGACGTGCGTGATGGACAGCTGCTTTGTGTGTCCTGAAGGCAACGCGGCTGAGGAAGGTTTTCAGCCTTATTCTTTGAGCTGTCACTCATGATGCCCCGCCCCCTTACGGCTCCCACCGGGTGGGATGCGTTCAAAAAAAAAAAGTAAAAGTAAAACTGTTCTCCCCAGCTCACAATCCAAAGGACGACTCAAAGTTTCTGGCTCAATCACTTTTATTTAGTTTCTCTTGCCTTTGTCCATTGATTTGCCAGTTCAGAGTTAGTTTGTAAACCTTTAATGACAAAGAACATAAATTACCTTTCAAAATTAAACATCCCCAAATTAAGTTTTTAGCTGGGTTTACATTTAAATAAACATCTTATCTTATACTCAAATTTAATGAAATATTTTAGCAATCCTGGCAATTAACTTGATGCTGCAATGATTCGCGCTAATCTACTCAGTCACCAATGCTTTAAACACGAATCAGCATTTAAACTAAACGTCTTTGGACCGAACCGTAGAGTAACTTGTCTCTTCCCCGCTGTGCCTGTTTAAAAAGGGAATGAGGACCTCTACACAGGCGCTCCACAGCTAGGGCTTTCTGCTGGTGCACTCTGGGAAGTGTAGTCAAGATCCAGCTCAACAAAACCACGGGTTAAAAATGCAACGTACGTTGCTTTGGATAAAAGCGTCAGCTAAATGGGTTTTAAAAAATATAGAACAGAGTAAAAACTATATTAAACCCCAAAATACTTTTCATCCACTTATTTATTTCGAATACATTGTTTTGTTTTTTTCAATGTTCAAGACCAAAACTTTCAGGTGAAACGTTTGGGCTGGATTTGGTTCTATATGATGATCACATCATTAGCAACATGGGGGCAGTGCAGCGTTTGAAGATACGGGAACATTATCTGCTGAACACTCCAAGATGTTCTTACCCAAAGATATATGGAACAAACTGTCGGACAGGATTCACTGAATTTCACCGATTTATTCCGTCAAACAGAATCAAACACTTATTACAAACCACCAAGTACAACCCAACGTGATTACGGCTTTTTCCTCAGTAGTTCCCACTAAAGTCAAACCCTGAAAAGGCTGAGCAGAGCCTTCCAACACATTGCTTGAGCCTAATTCAAATTTGATACAATATTAATATCATATATAAGAACCCACCCACCTTGTATCTAAATGACATCACCGCTGGCAGGTCGATTACAACCAAAGATTTAATAAAGCACTTTTCCAGCATTTAATGGATGAAGAGCCTGTGGGGTTCAGTGTGCGTTACTTCAGCAGGATCTGAACCTCTAATTCACACCACAAAGACCTCTAGCAGACACCCGTTGCCTTCACGCTACCTGCTTTGATTAAAGCAAACTACATCTTTAAAATAAAAGGACAGAACGCAACGCACAGGGAGCCGGAGGGAGAAAGTATTCTTCTAGTCGTGGTAAAGTTGGCGTCCCCGTTTCTCTCCACAGCCAGAGAATAATCTGTGACTGACAAACATTACGCTACTTGCATGTTCTGCTTCGGAGGATCATGGAGAAATAGACACCACCAGGACTTCACGTCTCCCCACTAAGATACCGAAGGACCCGTTTTCAAGTGAGGACCTTTAGTCCTCTAAATCACTGCCTTTTTAAAGACACCTCAAGGCTTCCAGATTGACCGGAGGGTTATGATTTCATATCATATATCACATAAGAGGTTGGAATAAAAGCTGTTTAGATCTCTCTTTCAGGTTTTAGGACTTATTCCAGGTCAAATCTCACAGCCACGGAGCAGTTGGCTCCTGTGAAAACACAGGACACTAGTTTGAAGCACTGAAGCGTTGCTCGCCTTCCCCTGCTGGAATGCGACAGGTGCTGAGATGAAGTTCCCGTTAAACAGACTCCCAGCAGCACCGCGCCGTGGTAACAGAGAGCCAACAGCAGAGCGGCCCCGGCGTCTCCACAGGACGTCCAGGCGCTGCTGCTCGTCCCTGCTGAGGACAGAGGCTCCGGTACTCGGCCTCTAGTTGCATTGTGGGAATTGAAGGCCCCGGAGGGAAGGTGTGGATTTATTCAATGTCTCTCCTGCTGATTTTGAAGCTTTGGTTTGTAAAGCGTTTACGTTGAGTTAGAGGAGAACCAGTTTGACCGTCTTCAACTGAGACAAACGTCACTTTTTTCATTGATTTGAAAAAAAAATCTAAACAAAATACTAAACCCGAGTTTAGAATGAATCAAATATCTTTTGTTGCTTGGACGAAACCAAACGTTCAAGCCGGCCGTGTACCAAATGTCCCAAATCTAACCAGTGATTGGGAGCAAGTGGGTTACAGGTACGTTTGGTACGTTTGGTCACAACAGATGGGCGAGTGTTCTTCTGATAGCAGGAGCTCACTCAATAGCTCCCATTGATTACGTGCACTGCAGCACTCACACAGCGTTCGCGGCGTCACAGCAGTCATCCTCACTTTTATGGGCGACCTGGTGAAGTCAGAGGGGAGCGTTAGAGCAGAAGAGATGAACAGACATGCAGGGGTCAGAGAGCATTAGTGAAGAGCCAAAGCCATCCCAGAGATTTATTCCTCATTTAATCGAGTGATTCAATAAAAAACATCATGAAAACGCAGGAGAACAGGAAGAGTAGAGAAAGTCAACGCGAGGGGGAGCAGGAACAGACCGATTGGTCACCAGGTCAGTAGTAAAGAGTAATAGAACGCTCAATAACTCAAATGCATTTAATATAATTCAGTTGAATTCTTTAACAGGACCGTGCCTGTATTACGGCTCACGTTCATGTGTGGATATATATCTAGATCTATAGATATACATCAGCACGCTCTCCCAGGCATGCCGTAGGATTTGAGGTTTTAAGTTTCTGAATTGTGTTTTGCCCAAAACAAGTCAATGGCTTCTGTTCAAACTAAACTTGTTTGAGTTGTGTCGCCTTAAAGAACGGTTTTAGAATTTGCGTCTGGGACTTTAGATGTACTATAGATACATAAACACTGCTACTCAGTACTCAAGTCAGAACCAAGTGAATGCCTTAAAGATAAAACATGACCTCCTGATTTTTAACAAAAACGATCACTTGTGCTTTTTCTTTTGTTGCATTGCGATCAACAAGTGCTTGGTGTTCCACGACGAGCCGGCGACGCTACTCTGCTCGTGATCGCACTGCAGCCGAGACCACGCTGCTCTGCTCAGTCCCGTGGCTGCATTGTGGGGAGTCCCCCTCTGCGTCAGGCCACCACGCCAACCCGCTGCAAACATGGACACGTGAGAGAGGAAGCAGGTCCACGCGGGAAAAGGGAAGAACCGAGAAACAGACCAACAGAGCGTCGGCGGAGAGGAAACTTTGCAGAGTACAAAACAGGAGCAGATTGGATCAGTCTTTGTTCCCAGTTATGTTCTACTACGGTTGTTTATACCTTGCTCCTGAAGAGGGGCTTGGCGCCGGGGCCACAGTACTCGTTGTAGATGAGCTTGAAGAGGAACAGGTGGAAGAGCGTTATGAGCGACGCCACGCTGAACCAGAAGAGGAAGGGCAGGCCCGGGTACCGGTTGGCCATGTGCTCCTCGTGGGCCAGGATGGACTTGAGGTGCAGGGTGTGGCGGAGATCCTGCAGGTGGCGCAAGTCTATGGAGATGTACAGGAGCGGCGTGATGGGCTGCGTCACCATCACGGGGAAGGTGTGACCTTTGAACTCCGACGTCAGCTCCACGGGCTCGTTGAGGCAGCCGGCCTCGCAGGCGTACAGCTTCACCGGTTTCTCCTGCGGCTTCACGGACACGTGCAGAAAAGGCTTCCCCTCCCCGTCCAGCAGCACCGCCAGGTTAATGAGGTCCTGGTTGTAGTGGATCCCCCGCAGGGCGTAGCTGTTGTGCAGCACGTCCGGGTCAGCCTGGAACTGAAGGTGGTTTTCGGTGAACTGAAGGCCGCCGAAGCTGAGCACCATGCCCTGCATGGCGCCGTGGGCTCCGGCCGCCACCAGCACCTTGCAGCCCCTCTTCTGCAGGGTCAGAGTCCACAGCGTGACCAGCTGCAGGATCTGAGCGGCGCTGCTCACCCGCTCGGGCCACAGGTTCTCCGCGTGCATGGTGGCGTGGCCGCTGAAGCAGTGGTCTGCGTACTTGAGGCTGGACTCGAGGCGGACGCGGTCCTCGCCGCTCAGCCTCCGGTCCAGCAGGGGAGCCATGGAGGAGGACAGGATGTAGTAGAGGGTGGTGTTCACCGTGCGGCTGGACGGCGTGTGGGAGTCTGTGATTTTCCTCATTTCAACACCTAAATGAAAAGAAAGTAAAATAGCTTCACTAAAACCCGCCTGCATCCAAGAACCGGAGGCGTTTCCAGAGCGTTACACGGACAATTTGCCACCTTTCTACTTCATTCAATTCCCTCCATTACGTTCAGTTTGCGCGCTCACGTGGTGAAAATGAAGTAGAATAGAATACAACTGGGTCGGAGGTTCTTTTGTGAAAGAAAAGAATACATTCATGTCCCACTGAGCGACCGGTGTTTGTCCTTCAATCAGAGGATCACAGTTGAACCCATGACCGGACGCACCGGCCTGGGGCCACGGCCCCTGGAGCTGCCAGCCACTGATGGACCGCCGTCTCTGTATGTGGGAACGTTGTACTTTTTAATGCGCTTCAATGTTTTTTTTAGATCAGTTCTGTTGCTCTTCTGTAATCCAACAACGGATCTGTGCTTAAATCATTCAGGCCACGTGTGCAAAGATTTGTATTTTATTCAGCCGGTTTTATTCTGCCAATTAATTCATTAAATATGTTTTGAAGTAAAAGTCTTGAAAGGTGTTTTAGTCAATATTTTATTTCTCAAAATGTGTATATAAATATAAAATATGATCTTCTGTTATGACCTTTGACCTTCAAAAGCACACATTAGTGCCTTGGTATGTTTAGGCCAATGTCTTTCTAAGGGCCCATATTTATTATAATTAATATATAATATTTAAAAAGTGTGTGTGTGTTTTCCTCCTCAGACTGCAGGTAGACGCTTGTTGGATCTCAGGTGTGATTCTAGTGACTGGACTAAAACCCGCATCCTCCTTTAGAAGCCACTACAACCCGAGCGTCCCTCACCTGACGTGAAGAGGTCCATCCAGGCCTGCTGGTGATCTCCAACCAGCTCATCCACGTTTGCCCTCAGCAGCTCCCCCAGCTCCTTCTTGGCTCCATCTCTGAGGGTGCTGAAGGTCTCCTCCAGCTTGGAGGGCTCGATGGGCTCCGAGGTCCACACCACCGACAGGATGTTGTCTTTGTGCTCTAGTTTAGCTGGAACCTGGATCCTGCCGTTCACCTTCTTGGAGGCCACCACCACCAGCACCAGGCGGCCATTGTCCACCAGCACCCTGCCAGAGGAGAGCACGATCTCCCTGTCCTCCAGTTTCTCCACGCTGGTGGAGAACTTGCTTCCAAAGGAGGGGCTGTCGTAGGACACGTCCAGGGAGGCGGCGTGGTCCGACGGGTTGCTGATGTGGATCCTCTGCAGGTAGACGCTGGGTCTGCTGCGGTGCGCGATGAACTCCTCTCTGATGGTGACGCAGTCCCGGGCGGACAGCAGCGCGCAGCGCACCGACAGCACGGAGCCCTTCCGGAACCACAGCATGGCGGCCTGGGCCTCGGCCCGCTTCCCCTCCAGGTGGACGCCGACTCTCGGCGAGTACTCGGTCTGGTGGACCGGAGCCGAGCCGGGCTGCGACGACGACGCGACCCACAGCTTGTTGGAGTCGACGTCGATGAGAATGTGGCCGTTCCCCGATACGAACGGCGTGTCTAGCGGTTCCTGGGCTGTGCTGTAGACGCCCTCCCCTCGGTCCACGAGAGACTTCCACCTGTGGACCTCCGCCAGGAGACACTGTCCCGCCGCTCCACCGGGCAGCACCGAGCCGCCGAAGAACCGCCACCGCCGCTCCGCTCCCAGGTACCAGTAGAAGATGAGGAAGAGCAGCAGCCCTACGAGGAGCCTCCTCGCCCAGCTGCTGGACAACAAGCCCGGGAGCCCCTTCAGTCTCTGCTGGAGCCACATCGCCGTCACCGGCCGGGGGCCGCCGGCCAGCGCCGAGAAACGTGCCGTCTGTCGGGGCGCGTTGGTCACATCGAGCGTATGTCCGCTTCTACTCAAAACATGCTGCGAACGGGCTTCCTTAGCTGGCGGCTAGGCTAGCTTAGCTGGCGGCTAGGTTAGCTTAGCTGGCGGCTAGGCTAGGTTAGCTTGGCTGCCTACTGGAGGCGCGCGGCTGCTTCTCGCGTGGTGTTGGCGGTCATGTCCTCCAGCAGGCTCCTTCAGGCTGTCGTATCTCGAGTCGTTTCCTTCTCTGTTCGCCTCCAGGGTGAAAACATCAGTAAATAACTCAGTAAATAACTCGCCGCCACAAGTGAGTCTTGTGTTTGTCTCAACTGCCGCAAAGCAAAACTGCACATCAGCGACCGGAAATGTCGCAGAACTCTGCTACCTGCGTATATTGTAACGTCGTAATGTAATTTAAATGTGTATGGTACATCAATGTATGTTGTAATACTTTCACTTTAATAATTGAATCAAAACAACACCATTAATGTATCTTCAATTGATTTAGACCAGTTAGTTAATACTTATAGTAATAACAATAGTTATATTGTAGTTTTCATCACACCGAATCTTCCCCAGAAACAAATGCAAACGTGTTCATTTTAAACTTTAATTGCGTGTATTGTTAAAACGTCAATGCCAAATCACATGAAAGTAAAAAACTAACTACTGTGAATAAATACATGAATATATACTCTGTTAGAATGTGTATTGTGATTAAAGTGAACAGTAGCGAAAGAGCTCTGTATCCTTACATCTGTTTAATAAATGTAATGGAGAGATTTGGATCATTATTATTTCTCACAGGCAGGTTCAAAAGATTAAAATCCACCAGCATAATTAAAAAAGACAAAATAAACACCAATTGTTTGTACTGTAATTAGATGTATAGTGTAGAGTTACTGGAGGAAGTAAAAGCTACGTGCAAGTGGTCATGTTCTCACAGGAGATGGGCCGTCTTTCTCCTACTGGGGCTGTCCCGTTAGGGGGGGACAGAGAGAGAATGGGGGCGAGAGAGGGGGAGAGAGAGAGAAAGGGGGAGGGAGAGAGAGAGAGAGAGAGAGAGAGGGGCAGAGAAAAAGTTTGAGACAGGACTTTCTGCGGACGTGCACAGTTCGGCTTTGCACCGATTATCTTGCGGGCGATTCCACTGGAATCAGTGAAATGAGACTGTCAGCGGGGGTCCTCCTGTGCGCGCTCCTGTCCCTGGCAGCCGGGGACGAGCAGCGACTCCCCGAAGGTAAGTGCGGCTCCGCCCGCGCCCACGAGCGGCGGCACGGCGCCAGTCTCCGTCATGTCCACGCTGGTCTCCGTCATGTCCACGCTGGTCTCCGTCATGTCCACGCTGGTCTCCGTCATGTCCACGCTAGTCTCCGTCATGTCCACGCTAGTGTCCCGTCATGTCCACGCTGGTCCCCGGTCTGTAGCAGGCAGTGAGACCTGTTAGCTAAGCGGAGACGTGTCTTCGTGTGGTGACACGTGGTGCATTAAACTTTATTTGATTTATTAAAGACATTAACTAACTTATTTTCCGCTTTCAAAGCGCGCCGTGTCTTCGCCCGGGAGCCGCGAGGGGGACGCGCGCGTCGCTGACGTGGACGGGGCGAGCAGCGCACCGTGCACGCGCAGCTCGTGACGTCACAGCTTTACCCGCCCGCGCGCGCGTGTGTGTGTGTACGGTGTTTATAACTTTACGAGGCTCCCATCAACCCTCAGGGACAGAGAACGGGACAAAGTTGCCGCAGTTTGCAGTCTGCGGACTTTTCCTTAACTTGAAAAGTATGTGAGTGAAGTAGGGGAGGAAGGAGGAGACGGACCTGCAGTAAAGCACATGTTTACTGTTAAAAACTGGAGGACTAAATGAACGACGAGCCTCGTCCTTCCCTCCTTCAAATGCACATCTTTTATAAACTAATGTCCTGCAGATGCGGAAAAGGTGGCGACTGCGTGCGTGGTTCATATAGTCACATGCATGGTCGGACTGTCCATAACTGATACAAGTCTGATATATGAAGAAAGAGAAATGACAAAGTGTATTGATATACCATATGAGAACGTGTGTGTAAATCGCTAATAAGATAATCTGTGACAAATGGGTTATTATTACTTTGACAAAACATATAAAATACAACATGTAAAATATTACAACCCATGTACAACAATTAAATAATACATTAGAAATACTTTCAGTCATTTTTTCAGCATTTTGGGGCTGAAACTAAATATCCTCCTCAAAGTACAAATATGGAATCAATGAAAATGTAATATTTCTCCAATAAATAAGGAAATAACTTTTGTTATTGACTCACCTGGGCCCCAGGGGCCTTGTGGGGTCCAAGGAATAACAGTCAGTTCAAAGAATTCATTTTCTCCATTTATGTCTTTGTTAGACGACGGGAAGAGAGAGCCATGTAACTGAGACATCAGCTGGAAGGTCTCATCATCAGATACCTTCAGCAGATCTGTTTTGTTCATTTTATTTTGTAGCCCAAATGACAAATTAGCCACAGAGGGCTTCACAGTCTGCACCGAAACCCTCACAGAAACCCTTCCATGGGGCAATAAGGAACCTGGGTGAGAACGTCAGAGGAGGATCCCTCACATTCTTCTGCTTGTGGTGTCTTCCAGAGGAACTCGTGGTTGTGACTGTTGCAACCAGAGAGACGGACGGCTTCAAGCGCTTCTTTCGCTCAGCTAAACATTTCAACTACACTGTGAAGGTAGGAACCCGCGTGGCATCTGTTCTCTACACGGGAACCGCCATCGCTTTCAACGAACGTCAGTCACAGAAATAAGGCTCTGACTTTTGCGTTGGTCGGTGAGTATTCTCATTACTGGAGTCCTATATTCAACGTATGCTTGTACGTATGCCGTAAGGTCCTTGGCGAAGGGGAGAAATGGAAGTCTGGCGACCACACGTCATCTCCAGGAGGAGGTCAGAAAGTGCGCCTCCTTAAAGCCGCTGTGGAGGACATGAAGGACGAGAAGCAGATCCTCCTTTTCGTTGAAAGGTAGCGTCTCCACCACCGGCCCACTTCAATGCACTGTAACCCGCTGCCACTGGTTCACTCTGGAATTAAGGTTCCCATCATGAAATGTCACTCACTGCCAGTTTGCTCCTGGCTGAAACACGTGGACACTGAGCACCTCGCTGTCCACAGAAGCCATGAAAGACAACCCTCCGTTGTGGCTTCGCTCCGTGCTGATCGCTCTCTCTCCCCCCGCCGCACACAGCTACGATGTGGTGTTCGCTTCAGGCCCCAGCGAGCTACTCAAGAAGTTCCAGCAGGCCAGACACAAGGTGGTGTTCTCCTCTGAGAGCCTGATCTGGCCCGACAGACACCTGGAGGACAAGCACCCCCACGTTGCCGAGGGCAACCGGTTCCTAGGCTCAGGAGGTAAGGCCCCGTAGGTGCGACCCTGGGTCAGGGGGTCCGCTCCACCAGGAGGTGCTTACTCAAAGGTGTCCAGCCCCTCTTCTTTTGCCCAGTTCCACTGATTGACTTGACGTGTTTCGCCCACGTGCTCTTGGATATGCTACAAAAAAGTCAATCACGGTATCACGGTACGCAACGCGCCTAACTAGATGTATTAGCGACGTGTTTTCATGGGGCTTTCCAGTCGTATAGTGATTATATACCGTATGTAGTGAGTACACGGGTGGCTCCGCTGGGATGGTAGTGGGCACGTTCACTGCTCTGTTAGACAAAACCCTGCTTCCTTACAAGGTGACACCTTTATTATTTACAAGCTGGACGCGTGATTTGGGGGCAAATGTGTGATTTTGGGCTTCACAAAGTAGATTGAATTGTAAACGACGGTTTATATACATGGAGAAATATTACAGCTGCTCACTTCCTGTTTGTTTCCACAGGTTTTATTGGCCACCTTCCCAACATCAAAGAAATGCTCGCTGACTGGACAGGAGAGGACACGGACAGTGACCAGCTGTTCTTCACCAACATTTACATTGATCCAGTTAAACGGGTGAGTTTGTTTTATTATCTGTATTATATTTCCAGCACATGGACAGCCAGTGGATCAGAGCCTTTTCCTCTGTCGGCCTGTTTGTCAGCACTTTTTCACCTCTATTTCATTTGTGAAAACAATGCGTGTTAATGTTTCAGAAATCCATAAATATCACTCTGGACAGCAGATGCAGATTGTTCCAGAACCTTCACGGTGCCCTCGGTGAGTCCCTTGAACGTGGCCTGTTAGTCCGGGAAGCGGCTTCATGGAGGTCGATGAAGACATCCTCTCGCCCGTATTTTCCCGCTCCACGCTGTGTCATCCGCTGAGGATGCAAATGTAAAATAACACCCACCCTTTTCTTCAGTGCTGAAGGGGAAAAGCTTCATCCCATCTAATGTAGGAAAGGACCCGAACTCTCTCTGGATTTATTCTTTTATTGATTTGTTCTCAATCTCATGAAAGTTGACCGGAACATCTTAGTTGACTTAAAATGTCTCATTCAGCGCTCGACGTTTTATTTCTCTTCACCTATCTGCTGTAATAAAGTATGACAACAGGCAACGTGCCCGAGGTTTCAGACGGTACTCCACCGACCGACGGATGATGTCAACATGTAATACCAACCAGAAGAGATGGTTCCACTCACCGTGTGCTCATCGCTTCAGCTCTCAGCAGGAACTCAGGAGAACTCTGCATCCACAAAGCACACAGTCACCGTCCGATCGCTCGGCGGTGTCGACTACACAGGATTGTCACATGGAGGCTGGAAAATGGGTGTTTGTTGACGTAGCAGGTCGGGACCTTTGCTTTTAGTGCATGTGAGCTGCAGCGAGATTTAACCGGCTGTAACTCCTTCGGAACAGCTGTTGAACACCTGGCAACATCTCTTTTCTCTGTATTTCATGGACCAAAAGGTGGAACATCGAGTGAATCCCAATAGTATCCCAGAATCATCAAGATATGCTTAAAACTCTTCAAGTGGCACTAAAATATGCTGCAATCTCTTACGCTCCTATTTCATTGCAAACAGCGGTTCATCTGGAGAAGGTAGCGCGCGGCTTCCACCGCTGAGGGCGTAACGCAGAAGAGGAAAGGGCTGCACGTTTAGACACGAGCTCCGCTCACAGCAGTCTGCAGCATTTGTTGAGGCAGAGGAAGGAATTTGTTGGTTCGGTGAGAAACGGATGAGAGCCTGAGGGCCGTCTGCCCCCAGTAAGCCTTCTTCCTCTATCAAGATCACCGTACTGAACAGACACATCGACGGCGCACTAGCTAACCTTTCAATGAGAAAAGGTTTCCAAATCTTTGATATATTGGTAATTACTTACTCACCACAATTAAAGTTTACACTATGGTACATGTTACGCTAATTAGCCTTTGAGAGAAAACACTAATTTAATATATTTACTGTTTCATTTTGATCTTTTTTGTCCTTTTTTAGTTTGCATTGCACTCGACAAAAAGCTGACAAGAATCGATTTTGAATTATTACAAAAAATAAGCTCTGTGGCAGAGACACATTTATGATGATGATGATGACTCACAAGGTTTTGTTCAGCAAGATAATCATTGCATTTGAAGATATCATTTCCATTCGTATAAGTGTGATGTTGTAGAATCTGACTCTGAAGTACAGTCAGGTTCTATTAATCTAAGGATGCAGTGACATGTAATACAAATAGATTTTCCACTTATCTACTGAGCAAATTATATCTTTAAAAATAAATTTGAAAGCAGTCTGCTGTCTGTCTTACACTGCTTAGAATAGACGTTATGTTCAACATATTTTTTAATGAACGAAGACTATGAACAAAGGTTTTGTGTGCGTTTAATCTCTTCTTCCTTTGTGTGTGTGTTTCCAGACGACGTGGTGCTGAAGTTTGAGGATGGGCGGGTACGAGCCAGAAATGTGCTGTATGATACGCTGCCTGTCGTCATCCACGGGAACGGACCTACCAAGGTACGGACCAATCACAGCCCTCTGGCCGGTCACATGACTCGTGTGTCATGATCCAAGCCCGAGAGCACATTATCAACACGTTGATGCAGAAAGGATTAGCTGAATCCAACACGCGTCCGGTTGTGGAGGACAAGCTTCAGAGAAGAGACAACTCAGTAACACAACTCACAACTCATTGTACATCCTGAAATCCAAAATGAGCCTCAGAGGGCTTTACAGTCTGTACTCGTGCAACATTCCCTGTGCTGGAACCGGCTCAAGAAAAGCTCCCCAAAATGAAAACCCTTCCATGGGGAGAGAAAAAAAGAAAGAAGGCTTAGTGAGAACGTCAGAGGAGGATGCGTCTCCTGATGGACAGACTACAATGAATGTCATGTGTACAGAATGAACAATGTAAAAGACCTATAATACATTCAATTCCTATAACAAAAATGATTCAAATATTGAGAGTAGTAAGCAGGTGTACGGCAGGACCACTGTAGGAACAACCACCATCAGAAAGAAGCACCATCTACAGAAACCTGTGGGGAGGGAGAGCACAAATACCATAGGATGTTAAGGATGATGTTAAAATGACAGTAATGTGTGTCCTCCTGCAGTCTAGGCCTCTAGCAGCTTAACTAAGGGCTGGTCCAGGCTGACCTGAGCCAGCCCTTACTATACGCACTATCAAAGAGAAAAGGCTGACCGAATCTGCCCCCCGGACTGAAAGTGGAACCTGGTTCCACAAAAGAGGAGCTTAATAACTGAAGGCTCTGGCCCCCAGCCTACTTTTTAAAACCATAGGAACAACAAGTAACCAGCATCTATGGAGCGCAGCTGCCTTGTAGGGCAATACGGTGTTACAAGCTCTTTAAGATACGACGGTGCCTCACCAGCAAGTGCCTTGTAAGTACCTTAAAATCTATTCTTGATTTTTGACGGTGCTGCTGGATACCAGAACAATTCCATCCATAAAAAGTGTATCATGTGACCTAAGGCGCTCTGGGCCTATCACGATAACTTTTTTGCTTTTTATCAAGTTTTGGTGTCTCCAAGACATTGTTGAAGTCTAACTAGCTGGTCCGTCTCTTCTGGCTTGATCGACAGATACAGTTGAGTATCGTCTGCATAACAATGAAAGTTTATGCGGTGTTTCCTGATAAGATCGCCCAAAGGAAGCATATAGAGGGTAAATAAAATCGGTCCAAGTACAGAACCTTGTGGGACTCCGTGACCAACATTGGTGGTCTTTGAGGATTCACCGTTTACAAGCACAAACTGGGATCAATCCGAAAAGTAAACCAGCTGAATGCAGTTCCTTTGATACCAATTAAATGTTCTAGTCTCTGCAACAGGATACAATGGTCTATGGTGTCAAGCACAGCACCGGTCAAAGTTAGTTAGAAAACTGTCCATGGTGTGAATCACACATGTACACCCGCCCAGCCACAAAGAGGGTCAGAGCCCTGCAATACAAATGAAAATAATTTGTGTGCGGTAAGTTGTAGTACTGTATATCAGGAACAGGGAAGACATGAATTTGTTTTCCAGCTCCAGATCAACTACCTGGGTAACTACATCCCCAACATGTGGACGTTTGAGACCGGATGCACAGCGTGTCACGAGGATCTGCGCCCCCTCACGGCGCTTAAGGTCAGTTCCCAGGCCTCTGATGATCATATCTCCTCTTTGTGCAAGATTTACCTCAACTCTATCTCCTCTATATCGCTCCTGGAACTATGAGGCATGTGTGTTTTTCTCCTACAGGAGAGCGAGTACCCCCTGGTGCTCATTGCCATCTTCATCCAGCAGCCCACTCCTTTTGTGGAAGTGTTCTTTGAACGCCTACTGAGGCTCCAGTATCCCAAGAACAGATTGAAACTCTTCATCTACAACCAGGTAACAGCATCCTTCTGTTACTGTGTTAGAAGTCATAAACGCACGGTCACGTGCACTAAATGGATTTGGCCCCCGTTTGTAGGGGGGGCAGTAAATCATTTACTTTGTTAGTGTATCAGTTGGTGAGATAGTCGTTTTCAGAGGCGTCTGCTGCGTGCGGACAGTGGGGGGGCGAGTAGCCCCCCTGGTGAAACACCGAGCTAAGATATCCAAAGCCTTAAAAGAAACAGAATGAAACTACTGCAGGAATAAGACCTCCATTATGATACATGAATCACTAAAGATTCAGAAGCTTGTCACCAAATTAGAACCATCTTTGGAAGGCAAACCGAGTTGCTTCATGTAGAGAAAAGGCTACTGGTTGTACAGACATGTACCACACATGCATACCTGCTTTCTCTGTAGTAACTGTTTGTTCCTCCTGTCCCTGCAGGAAGCCCATCACGAGGGTCAGCTGAGCTCCTTTGTGAAGGACCATGGAAGCTTGTATCAGGATGTCAAGCTGGTCGGCCCTGAAGAGGAGATGGATCAAGCCGCATCCCGCAACCTGGGCTTGTGAGTCCCAAGTGACCAGTGGTCGGCTGTGTGCTCGAATGTTTAATTTATTCCAGGTCATGGCATAAAAAGTGACCACGTCCAAGAATCAGAAGGCCTGTTAAAACACGCAAGGAGCTGTAGGTGTGTTCCTCTGATGTGCACAAAGTGAAGCAGCTGGAGGATTGAAGGTCATCACAGCGTTTCTTTACGCTCCCTCTAGTCTGCGTTTAACACCACCCATGAGTTTGGAAGCCATCACAGAGATGTGGGAAGACGTCATCTCTTCTGCTCTTGTCTTTTCACCTCATGCTCCACAGATGAGTGTCTGCACAGCGCTCCCCTCTGCACCCTCACATACCATCTTTCCTCTCTTTCAGTGACGTGTGCCGGAAGGACGAGGACTGTGACTATTTGTTCGTCTTGGACATAGAAGTGGTTCTAGAGAACGAAGAAACACTTCAAATCCTCATTGAACAAAACCTGTAGGTATATTTAACAGTGTTGAATTATTAACATGAATGTAGCGGCGTTGGCTTATTCTGTCACACTCATTCATCAGCACTTTACTAAGACGTTTAGTAACCTTCTTCTAATGGTCCATCAGTCCCATCGTGGCGCCCATGATCACTCGCGTTGGACGACTGTGGAGCAACTTCTGGGGAGCCCTCAGCGCAGAAGGCTACTACGCCCGGTCTGAGGACTACGTGGACATAGTTCAAGGGCGCAGAGTGTGAGTCCAGCACGCCATCACAGGGATCACGTCAGCGAAGGACTTCCAGTACTCACGTTCCCGGGTGCTGCTGGTGTGTGTGTGTGTGTGTGTGCTTTGTAGCGGTGTGTGGAGCGTCCCGTACCTGTCCAGTGTGTACCTGGTGAAGGCCGGCCTCCTTCGCTCAGAGCTCTCCACCTACGAGCTGTTCACCTCAAGCCTCTTAGACCCCGACATGGCCTATTGCCACAACGTCCGTGGCCAGGTCAGTCCGCACACGTGTCGATGAGCAAACACTTTGCTCATCGACTTGCTCTTAGACGGAATGAAGAAGCTGCTGTTGAAATACTCTAATCTTTCTTTCAGGGAGTCTTCATGTATGTCACCAACATGCACACGTTTGGCCGCATCCTGTCTACACAAAACTATCAGACGAGCCATCTTCATAACGACCTGTGGCAGATCTTTGAAAATCCAGTGGTGAGCCGAGGTGGTAGTCATGGTGACGGGTCTTTGTGCGATGCAGGACTCTTGTGCTGTTGCTTGGTTATTGAAAATGAATGTATGAAAATGAGAATCTTGTCATCATGTGAATCATATGGATGTGTCTCCACCCGTCCCCATGTCCTCCTGCTGTGTGCTCTCAAGCAGTGATGAGCATTGGAGGACATGTAGTAGCGTGTAGTAGTAGGGTGTAGTAGTAGTAGCGTGTAGTAGCAGCGTGTAGTGGCAGCGTGTAGTAGTAGCGTGTAGTAGCATGTAGTAGCAGTGTGTAGTAGTAGCAGCGTGTAGTAGCATGTAGTAGCAGCGTGTAGTAGCAGCGTGTAGTAGCAGCGTGTAGCAGCGTGTAGTAGCAGCGTGTAGTAGCAGCGTGTAGTAGCAGCGTGTAGTAGCAGCGTGTAGTAGTAGGGTGAAGCAGCGTGTAGTAGCAGCGTGTAGTAGTAGGGTGTAGCAGCGTGTAGTAGCAGTGTGTAGTAGTAGTGTGTAGTAGCAGCGTGTAGTAGCAGCGTGTAGTAGTAGTGTGTAGCAGCGTGTAATAGTACCGTGTAGTAGCAGTGTGTAGTAGCAGCGTGTAGTAGCAGCGTGTAGTAGCGTGTAGTAACATGCTGAACACCAGCATGTGGCAGCGTGTGTAACCATGTGTGTCGGCTGCAGGACTGGCAGGAGCGCTACATTCATGAGAACTACACCCGCATCATGAGAGACCAGCTGATTGAAACTGTGAGTGTACATGTGACCATGAGCTGGTCCCCACATGTCTTCTGTCATATATATATCTATACATATATATATAGCTATATATATATATATATTCTCTGATAAGATCCCAGTACAGACAGTTCTTTAAAAAAGGGTTGGACATGGATGTGATTTATTAATGTGTGACCTGCCCTCCTGTCCTTCGTCTCCCAGCCTTGTCCTGATGTCTACTGGTTCCCAATTCTGTCTGATGTTGGTTGTAACCACATCGTTGAAGAAATGGAACATTTTGGGAAGTGGTCCGGAGGAGCCACTACGGTATGTTATTCTCTAACTGTCTTTATTTGTAAAGATGGTTTATCTTCAGTATAACAATAAAAACATCATTGGATGGTTATTTGTGTAATGAATCGGCCATCTGCTGTAAAAGGAATACCTGAAGAGTCGCTGACATTTTTCTAAACGTGTTTATTTCTGGGTTTGTCAGGACAACAGAATCCAAGGAGGCTACGAGAACGTCCCCACCATCGACATCCACATGAATCAGATCAACTTTGAAAAGGAATGGCAGAAGTTCTTACTGGAGTATATAGCGCCTATAACGGAGAAAATGTACCCCGGCTACTTCACCAAGGTAAGACGTGACCCTCCAGCCCACCTGCAGCGTCTCAAGGGGTCCTGCTGGGCCTGCAGCCCCGTTCTGTAGACACGTGTGTTTGAGAGTAGATCAGTGGATCGGAGGTGAATAAGAGAGAAGAAAGTCAAATATCATCAGACATTGTTTCTACCAGAGACATCGTGGTGCTGAATAGCAGCTTTCATCGGTGATCCTGTGCTGCTGTCTCACATGTCTTCTCTCATCAGTGCTCCACTCCCTTGAACTTTGTGGTGAGGTACAAACCCGACGAGCAGCCGCTGCTCGTCCCTCACCACGACGCCTCCACATTCACTATTAACGTAGCTCTCAACAGCAAAGACCTTGACTACCAGGTAAATGGGGAGGAGCTACGGGACGTGACGGTGTGGCCGATCTCCACCTCTCTCTGCTTCTCCTCTCCATGTCTGGAAGTGAATGCTGGACCGGGAACCGAGCTGATGCTTGCTGTGTTTAGCAGGGCGGCGAGGTGCCCCCCCCCCCCGTGGGCAGATGCCAGCGCTTGCATGACTCCTCTCTGTCTGTCTGTGTGTTTGCAGGCTCTGTTTGACTTGGCCTTTGTAGTTAGATATAAGCCAGACGAGCAGCCGTCTCTGAGACCACATCACGACGCCTCCACTTTCACTTTAAACATTGCCCTCAATCAGGTGGGCCCCGATTACCAGGTGAGTGGGTTTAGTTTCATGTGTTCATCGTGCTCCTACATGCTGGAAGGGTCGGATCCATCATCCTCACATCAGACGCTAATAAAAGCAATCATGCAATATATATTTTCCCTACAACAAAGCAGTTGCTGGATACGACATATTCAACAGTAACCGATTGTGAATATGAATCCTGAATAAGCCTCAGTTAATAATCATTTTGTCACTGAGCGTGAGGCTGGGACAGCTACAGCCCATGGTCCACGGGGTGGTGGGGGGTGTGGGCTTGCTTGGTCACTGAATATGCAATAACATCATCATCGTTTCCAGCACGAACATCTTCCTCGCTGATGTTTCAAACTTTGCATCGGTGTCATTTCTGTGTTTGTCGTCTCTGCATGACGCTGCAGCTCGGAGCCTTGTTGTTATTTCTGCATCCGTGTTGTTTCCGCCTTAGTCCCCGGTGTTCTGCGTCGTGCTGCAGCTTGTGTTAGGATATGATATATTCAGCTGTAACTTAACCTCAGCAGTGATTTATGGTCCGATGCCGTAAGAAAACCAGACCAAGTCCATATTCTCTCACGGTGAAACGTTTGGTGACCTGTCGCTGTGCTGCGCCTGCAGGGAGGCGGATGCCGGTTCCTCCGCTACAACTGCTCGGTTCAGGCGCCGCGTAAAGGCTGGACCCTCCTGCACCCGGGCCGCCTCACGCACTACCACGAGGGCCTGCCCACCACCGGCGGCGTGCGCTACATCGCCGTGTCCTTTGTGGACCCCTGAACCCCCCACAGGCGGCTGGTCCAGACCAACCAGGCGGCTCCTTCAGCTCGTTGGCTTGTCTTGTGCCCCACGTTCGCTTTCCGTTAGAGCAACGACGCGCTGCCTCCTCCTGTAGTAAACATCTGTGTGCGCTGGTCCACAATCCAGCTGTGCACGTGTTGTATTACCAGCTGTTGAGCTGGACTCCTCTCAGGAAATCACCAGGAGTTCAGCTGCGTCGTACTTTTTCTTACTTTCTTTTCTTAGTCAGACACTCCGAAGCCCGAAACGCCGCCTTTATTTATTTTGTGTATTTTATTGGACATTTATTCCACGTCATGTTACAAACTACTGTGATTAAAGTATATTCATCAACGTGTGTCTTTGTGTGAAATTCACTCCACGTGTGGGAGACCATGATAGTGACTGGATGCTTTTCAGAGTAAAGGACCAGAACAGGAGAACCGTTCAGCCGTCGGTAGCACGACTTTATCGTGGGGTCAAAAATATCAACCATAAAATGTTTGGCCTCCAACTGGATTTAGTTGCCTCGGGCCGCAGTATCAGGTTCTCTCTCGTAAACACAGGGAAATAAGCCAAACAAGCAATGTGAGCATTTAGAAAGTTTATTTTGACATTAACCCCAAATGACAATCAGGAAATATCAAACCAAGAAATGAAACACTGGCTTTACAAAATCCACATACAGAAGACGCACATTTAAGGTGTCACTTCGGCCTTTAACTTCACGATAACCTGAAGAATGTCTTCAGAGGCAAAATGCTTTAAATACTGAAGTGTGACTCGACATGAATGATTGACACGCCGTGTTCTACTGACGGAGCCCTGATCGGTCTGGTAGGGGTCCAGCTCTGACTGGGACGGCCCGGACTGCTTCATCCTGAACCTCGACCGTGAAATGTTCCGTGTCCGTCGGTATCAGCAGTCGCAAAAACATTGACTGAGCAAACTGCACAGTGCTGCTCGGTCCGTCTCCCTTTGTGAAGACGTCAATGGCTGACGTTAAAAAGGCTTTTCTACATCATCTCCACACACACACACGTTATGCATCAGGGTCAGCAGTAGTTGGAGTTCATGACCTTTACACACAAGATGCACGGAGGAGCGATCTTATGAAAAGTGAACTCTCCCTTCAGCTGCTCAGCCGCCTCCATCCTGGATACAGCTAAACGTCATGTACTCCTCACATTTCATGGACTTTGTCCATTATTTATTGTATTATTTGAATAGTAGTGAATGCACATGTAAAAGGTGGATTTCTTTATACGTGGCACAAGACCCCATTTAATATAAAACACAATTTTACACAACATAGTATGGGCTTCCAACAGGGGTCCTGGGCCCCTCTGCCAGAGACAAACATTATATCCCACCGGCTGTAAATGGGGTTTTAAATAAAACCTGTTGAGTTCTTCCTAGTAACAGTCACATAACCAAAGTCTTCTTCACGTAAACGGCGTCAGGATGTCTGTATTTCAGTTTCATTACACATGGATGTAAAGTCAGAGCTTCATTTTATGACTTTTATTTAAAACAAGAGTTAGATGATAAAAAGGAGACTAACGGTAAATGGCTTGTTAGGATAGAAAAGGGGAGATTATATACAGCACAAGGAAACAATCTATAGCTCAACGTGGAACAGAAGAACTGAGCTTCAGTCTCTTCAATGTGCAACTTCACATCCAGAGTTCTACGGACCCACAATGCAAAGTCTGTAAAAGTTCTGAGACGAAGACACGCATGCGTTTAAATACATCGATGTCGGCTGGATCACAGGCGGAAGCGGTCGGAGAAGTTGGGCGAGTGTGGGACTGTGAGCGGAACCTCACTCTTCTTCACGGCCACGGGCTTGTAGTGTCTGATGGGCTGAGCGGAGTGGACCTGGGGGACGGAAACAGCAGCGAGGGGGGGGTTACCACGTTAGAATCAATCACCGGCACCGAGGACCAAACGAACCCGTCGCTAGTGACCTGCTCCTGCCGCATCCTGGTGATCTCCTCCTTCTCCTTCTGCTCCTGCTCTCGTCTCTGCTCCTCCTCCATGCGCATCCTCAGAGCCTCCTTCTCAGCGGCCTGCTGCTCAAACTCCTGCCGCTCCAAAGCCCGCCGCTCCGTCGACAGCTCAAAGGCCTCCACCGCTGTGGAAGAGACGAGCCCTTAGCGCTGCGGGTGGAGGGGAAGCGGCGGCAGAGCGCTGCGCCCACGGATCACTCACCCAGTGTGCCGCGCGCCTCCTTCTTGGGCTGGAAGGGCTCTTTATGGGTGACGGTGTTGGGCCTGGCCTTGAATACTACGGCTTCCTCTTTCCCCTGCAGGAACACAGCAGCCGGGGATCAGGGTCAGCGCGGCGCTGGTCGCTGCCTTTAGCAAGCGGCCGGTACGTGTGACGGTCCTACCAGCTGCTCCAGGCGAGTGCTCCTCACGGCTCCCCGCTCGTCCACCAGCAGCCTGAAGGGCTCCGGCTTCGTGGGCTCCAGCTTCTTCTTCTCGGGGAGGAGCACAGCGTCAAAGTCCGGGAGGGGCTGGGCCTTGAACTGCGGGACCTGGAAGGGGTCAGAAGGGGGTCATTTAGAGGTTCTGTCTCCACTCTGAAGGACAAACGGACGAGGGTTGGTGGTCCTCCACCTCTTCATTTCGCATTTCCTGCAGCTTCTTCTCTTTCAGCGCCCTCCGCTCCCGGTCGCGCCCCTCGAAGGAGAAGGGACAGACCTCCACGCTGTGGTTCTCCTGTAGCTGGGGCTGGAAGGGGAGGCCAAAGTGAGGCACCGGGGGGGCCTTGATGGGCGACGGCTGTTTGACCTGAGCGAGGAGTGAAGAAAGCCATTACTTCCGCACCGCGCACGCAGGACACACAACCAGACGAGCACTTACTTCCTCCACCTTCTCCAGGCGAATCCTCTTCTTCAGGGCGAAAGCCGGGGACTCCGGCACGGTGGGCTGCAGAACCTTCTTCTCCGGCAGCCCCTGTCGACAGGGAGGAACCCACGTTGGCACGTTCACGGTGGAGACGGTGGAGCGGCGGAAGCGGGATTCAAACTCACCACCACGCCTTCCAGGATCCTCTTAGGCAGCCGCTGGGCTCTGAAGGTGTGACCCTCCCCCTCCTGAGGCCTCTTGGCAGCCTGTCGCTCGTGGAGCCGTTTGTCGATCTGCAGCTCGAAGCCTTCGGGTACGGTGGGCTCCTTCGCCGCCGGCCTCCTCAGGTGCTCGGCGCTCTGCAGAATCTTCCTGTTCAGCTCCAAGGCACTGAACTTAAACCTTTACCGGAAACAAAGGGCCATAGCTTATTGGGACCAGGGAGAAGGGGGGGCGGACAGCTCTCCTGGGGGGCTGAAGTCCGTATCAGGAGTGAACTTGGCGGCCATCGCCCTTACTTGTGGAGCTTGTCCAGCTCTTCGGCCTCCAGCTCCTCGCTGCTCTTCACGTTGGTCGGCCGGCTCCTCTGGCGGGTCATCAGGTGGGGCGTGTGAGGCTGCGTGAGCTTAAGCTTGTCCCCCTTCGCCGCCGCTGGACCTAAGGGGCCGCGTGAGCAGGTTAGGCGTGACCTCGCACAGCGCAGCGCACGCCTCGACGAGCCGCTCACCTCTCTCCTGACTCCTTCGGCTGCGCAGGTGGTAGCGGTCTGGGGTTCGCTTCTGGAACTGCGCGATGGCCTGAGCCATGGGCACGTAGGCAGCCGCCTCCTCCGCCTCCCTCTTGTGGCCGGTGGACAGGTTGAAGGGCTTCGGCACGGTGGCGCCGGTCAAAGCCTTTGCCTGGAAAGCGGAAGAGCGGAGACGTTGGTGGAGATTTAGAACGACTTCTAAACGGAGCTGCAGGACACGTCGGGGACGGTGGGGGGTCGTGAGAGGGGAGCGTGTGGGAGGTACTGACGGGGCAGGAGGATTTGCGGAGCTGGCTGATGAAGTCCACCTCCTTGTGGGCGGCGTGGGACGAAGCGCCCGGCTTGGCGCTGGTGTTGAAGTGGAACTCTTTGGGCACAGTCGCCGTCACGGCCGCCTTCTTTGGGGGTGGATCTAAAAGGAGCGATGCAGATTTACGTCCCATCGGATCCTCTGAAAAAAGGTACCAAAGGACAGTTTGCAGCCGGAGAGAAGCACTCACTGCCGGCCAGAGCGGCTTTGTAGCTGGCCTCGTTCTGCCGGCGATGCAGCGCCACTTCCTTCTGGAGGTTCCTGATGCGCTGCAGCTCCTGCTCCTCAGAGCTGGTTGGCCTGGTTGGACACAGTTACCAGTAAGCATACAGCTCACGAGGACATCTAGCACAGCCCCTTCAGGCTGCAGCCGCACAACACAAACTCACTCTGTGTTAGAAGGAGCGGCGGCGGGCCGGGCCTTGGGCGCCGTCCTGGTCTTCTGCTGCGCCTTGCTGCCCAGGACACTACTGGGTCGTTGGCCAATAGGAGACCTACAGCAAAACGCAGTAACAGGATAAAGAAACGTGAAGCACAAAAGGAGGCTTGTGAAATGAAACTAGACACTCACTTCCTGTGTTTCTTCAATGGCGGTGGAGCTGCACTGCTGCTCATCTCTTTACGTTTTGAAACCCTAAAACAAAAACACCAAGTGGGTCACTGTTAGACACCCTTCTTATAAACACCAGTCCGACATTACAATTCAATTAGTTTTATTTTGTAGGGCCCTAAATCCCAAATGTGCCTCAGAGGGCTTTACACAAATACGACATCCTGTGTCACCGTCACAGGAACAACAACCCTCTGCAGAGACGCCGCCCTCGGCTGCATGTCCTCTTTATGCTGTGCACGTCCTCTTTATGCTGTGCACGTGCACGCACCCATCCAGGAAGAAGCTACAAAAACGGGCAACTAAGCAACAGAAAAACAATGAATACGAGATACACGAGCAGATGGTCCTGAATACACCGCTAAAAAGAAAAGATACTGACATTTTGTGCAACAAAATATCTAAATTAATTTTGATGAACTGCAAACAGCGAGTGATGGTGTTAAAGACCACAAAACAAAGAACCGTACGTTCCAGAACGGACAACATTCACAGAAAATTCAGTTGGAAATTTTCCATGGGAATTACTGGGAATATACAGAAACTTTAAGGTAATTTAACTGTATTTACAGTGTTGGCATAAGCAGACATGCATGCAAACATTTAATTTTAACTTAATCCATTTGTATTCTTTATTTTAAGAAAATGAACGTTGAATTCTGTGTATTCCCTATGACAACCCCCCCCCCCCAAAACGTCCATTTCTAAATGGGTTTCTCCCTGAATCCTTTCAGGTCGACGTCGCGCTGAGAGGTCAAATGTTTTATCTCAGTGAGCTGCAGCGCGAGTAAAGCACAGCGTGAGCAGCATTCCAGACATCTTTAAAATAGTTTGGATTTACGTCTTTACTACTTTCATTTGCAGCAATGACTTCATGAGAAGTCGGCGAGGAGCAGGATCCCCTCCCACTGGAGGGGATCGTGTGATATTCTGTGGACATAGTTGTGTTCTCTACTACACTTACGTTCATGTTATAGGCTAAAAATCCCCCAAATCCCTGAGCGTAACTTCCCATGGAAACGTGCCGCCCGTTTGCAACCTCATTTATAGCACACGCTGCAGTACAGAGGAGCCAGAGGAGGACTTCACCTGCGTGGCTTGGCAGGAGGTTGGCCAGCGGCGCTCCTCTTTGGTCGGGCACCAGTCCGAGCAGGACCTCCAGCTCCCCAGGACGTAACGATGTTCGGAGGAGGCGATGTGGACGCGCTAGGACCTGAAACATGAAGGTTACGTCATGAGAAACAGAAGAACAGACTCGACTGGAGGGCCACACTTTAAATGCCCATTGTTTACACCCGTATTGCTTTGGGTTAACCCAGACCCGTCAGAGGAGGGTGCGGGTGAACCCAGGCCCGTCAGAGGAGGGTGCGGGTGAACCCAGACCCATTGTGGGTTTGAGCTCTTTAAAGAAATAAAAAGGCACCCAGATGCTAAGGATGTTTTTATTTCAATTCAAATGTCCTTTTAGAGCCCAAAATGACAAATGTGCCTCAGAGGGCTTTACAGTGTGTCAGCATCCTCGGTCACCCCATCGAGTGAGAACAACAACACTAAGCGCCATCAGTAATTAGCAACGATGAAATAAAACCAACCCGAGTCCTCTTCGGTCTTGACGTGAGGGGATACGATGGCTCTTGGCAGAGCGGCCACGTGGCTGATCCTCAAGGCCGCTGGCATCGAAGGCGTTACCAGGTGGCCGTCTGCTGCTCCAGCCTGTTGTTCTGCACAGAAGATACAGAAGATACAGTCACGGGGCAAGAAGATGGACTCCAGACGGTCTTTGATGGATCGACTAGATCACGACTCTTCGCTGTCAGTGGATAAAAGCGTCAGCTAGATGACATGTAATGAGTATCGACTACTTCATACTTGTAGTAAAATATGTCCGCTTCACTTGTATTCACCATGAGGACAACAGCCCCGCATTGGTCTTATTGTCCATCTGTCCAGAGGTCGGAGGCCTCAGTGACGTCACAGTGGGCTTACATACAGTTTACCAACACAAAGGCAGTGACAGCAGTACTGTGAGGCTGAAGGAATAACCAGGTTAGATGATTGAATCAGAGACTTACCAAACCACACATCTTCCCCTCCAGCGTCCTCCAGGTCGACGAAGTCGACTACGTGAGACGGGGCATCGAACTCGTAGCGATCACAGGAGCCGCTTTCAGCCATAATCTCAGAATGTGTTACTGGACAACTCACCTAAACAGGAAACCAGTAGACGCGTCAGATTAACCGGCCCTCGCGAGGAGACTGCGCTCGGCTAACGTTAGCTGGGTTTTTCTAGCTAACGTTAGCTTAGAGGACACAGGCTGGAATCACTTTTAGCTGACGTTAGTTTTATGAAACGGTTCCACTTGGCCTGTAAGCATATGCACATGAACGTACTACCGATGCACCTTTAGGAGTCACATCTTCTCCGCCAGCAGCGCGTCACGATAAAAGTTGGCGTGAAACTAACGAAAGCTACCGTTAAACTCGCTTGTATTAGCATGTATCAAACTCCTGAAAGCTATTTCGAATTCCAATATTAGTAGTACTGCTAGAGTGGCGCGTCTGTTTGAATACACAAACTTGGACCTTGAGCACAGTTAAAACAATAAGACAATGAGTATTTATTCAAAAAGTCTTACCGAAACCGTCCGTTCTTAGAGCAACACAACTAGAACTGCAGCGAGCCGTTAGCGCGTAAATCGCTTTCTATTTGAACCAGCCAATGGTTAACAGCATGATCCCCAGCGCGCTGCCCATTGGCTGATACGAGTCATCATCACCCCAGCGCGCTGCCCATTGGCTGATACGAGTCATCATCACCCCAGCGCGCTGCTCATTGGCTGATACGTGTCAACTTCCTCTGCCCTGACCATGTGATCCCCACAAATACACAAACACATAAAATAATTAACATTAGTCGCACTGTGAATGTGTGGATGATGGAGTAAAACAACAAGGCAACAAAGAGCGGGAACTGCGACGTGAATCTCTACTGCAGAACAACACAAGACTCAAGGATTATTATTTTTATCGTAAAGAGCCACTTCCGTGTCCAAAGGGGAAATAATGTGTTGCTTCTGTATCCAAAAGGACACATGGACACATTAACAGTGATTATGTTTACAGTAACTTACTTACTACCAGTTAGTTACTGTGGATTTACAGTACCTGTCCTACAGTGTATGGTTTTGTCTCTATTCAATTTAAATGTAAAATGACTGTGTCGGCACATTCAAATATTTACTGTATTTTTGGTTGCAGTAATAGTGTTGTGACTGTAATATAAAGGACAGTAATATTGTATTAGTGTCACTTTGTTCACATTTATGTTTATACTGTAAAATAAAACAATTTAAATGTTGTATTTGTAATGCACATGTTAATGGAATGTAGGTAATTTACATATTACTATTACATATTTTTATGTAAACATAAATGTTGCTGTATTTCAGAATTTACTAAGCTTCGACAATAACTGCGGGTAGACAGCAAACTATATATCTCAACAATGAATTCTTATAATTGTGGAACGTAGCATGAATAACATAGTTTACGTAATGGAGAAGCATACTCATAGGGTGTGTTTGCATTGGACTGTGTACACCAAGAAGTTCTTCTTCTTTTGAAAACCCAATAACGATTCTCTTCTAAGATGCATAACTGACAAGCAACTATAATCCATAAACATTTAAAATATTAGCAGTTGTAAAAGGATGGGTCTTAATATCCAACAACATGAATATTGCAATATTTGAAACAGTGGTGATAAAATAATGAACAGTGGGCTTTTTCTTCTGCAAATTTGTAAATTCTGCAAAAAGACACTGTAAATACATTATACACATTCTTACACAAAATATTTAATAACATTTTAAATACACCCAAACAAATGTACACCAGTGACTTCTAGTACAACTCAGAGAGAGTTCTGGGAGAGGATGTGGACACGGGGAAGGAGTACAAGTTCCTGGCTGTTGCATTCTGTGAGATAACCTTTGATCTGGTCTCCAGTTAACTTCTCGCTCTGGTTTCCTGCTAGATTCAGTCGTCACCTGGGATCTATGATCCACTTTTACTTAGCTAGTTGTTCTCCGCGCATTTGTATTAGTTCCTTTTATAAGTCTCTTAAGCCACTGTTTGTCCCCTTGTATCTTCCTCGATGTTGATTCAGGCTTGTTCCTGTTTTTTGTAGGTCTTTAGATTCTGGTAAACTTTAGCTTTTTGTACTTAGTTACTTTTTTCTGATTTCTGCGTTTGGGTCTTTAGAGTTCTGACCATCACACAACCTGGCCCATTTATTTGAACATAATCAATGGAATTAAAATTAGCTTTGAGGTGGGATGAGAGACGAGATGAATAAAAGTCATGTTAAAAACGTGACTATTTTGAATATTTATAATTACATTTATATCATAATTTTGATATTTATTAAGTCTTATGCCTTTCCCAGCCATATGTACTTCTTTCAGATGTATGTTTATTTATTTATACATTTATTTAATACTCATTTAAAGCCTGTGATTTTCTACATTAAATCCTTGTTACTGTGATTGTTTTACAGTAAATTGGTGGTAAATTGTTTGCCCCCGTGATCGATTATTTGTTATTGTGATTTTTTACCGTAGATTGTTTGTGACTCATTTTTTAATAACTGTGTTTTTATACAGTACACAACTTATTACTGTGCTTCCTACATATTTTTTAGATTATTGTGTTTTTATACAGTACACGGCTTGTTACTGTAATTTTCTACAGCAAATTGACAGTTCAATGTCTTTTTAATACTGTGTTTTTATACAGTACATGCGCAACTTGTTACGGTAATGTTCCCAGGAAAGGGTTAACTACTGTAATCTTTGGGTGAATACACAGTATATTACTGTGAAATAGTAGCTTACTGCTCACAAACTGAATTTCACAGGAATTCTTTAGAGTGAAGATTGTCAAAGGTTTAGGTGAACTGTAAATGAGTATTTCCTCTCTTAAGATGCAAATAATTAAAAAGAAAATATCTTTAAACATGGGGAGGCCATTTAGGTATTTGCTGTATTAATATTATTTGACATTATTCATAAGTCACAGTTTATCTGACTAAAGTATTTATATATATATATATATATAACAATGAGATTCTTTTGTATCACTGGCTTTATTAACAGTAGTTGGTAATACAGCTCAATTTTAAAAACAAGCATTTCAATACCTCCAAAACTTAATATCAAATGCAAAAGAATCCCCCCAAAACCCATCAGGATGGCGTACATTCAGCAGAGAATCACAAATGCACAACAACCAAACGTGTCGACTAAAGAAAGGTGTGCACACGGTCCTTGAAGGCAGACCCAGCAGCAGGAGAAATGGTGGAATGACACTCCGGAGGGATGGGAGTCGCCTGGCCGAGTGACACCCTGTCAGTCAGCCACAGTCCTTCCATCGAGTGAGAGAAATCAGACCCGTCCTGTCATTGTGATCCGATACGTCACCAATCTTCTTGAGCTTACTGACACGGACGGCTTCGCCTTGTTCAAGATCAATTTGCTCTCCATCAAATTCCTCAAGTGCTGACTTTTCAATGGGAGAAGTCCAAAGCTTTGCACGACGACTAATAAACAACCACTGGTGACATTTCAGTAGTGGTGGAGAAGTTTAAAAAGAAACCAAAAAGAACATCAACAAATGTCGCTTCTTCGCGCGTTGATGATCTGCTCTTCCTCTGGAGAACTCCGTCCATGCAGCGCGGGTTTGGCACAGAGGGGAGCAAAAGGTTTTGCACAAAAGCAAAAAGTACAAAAGGAATATTGCTCATCTAACGAACTACAACAGAAAACGTGAGACAATTTACTCATCAAGTAGTTTTTTCATTTCATTTGTACTGTACACACCACTTCGTCTCATGAGAATCCAAAAAAAGAGGAAAAATGCAACACATTAGTTTAAGGGTTATCATGCCGGTCTACTTCTGTAAATTGGAATATTAGAGAGTATGTGATCTTTTTTGGTTGAGAGAATCAAATGGGATGTAGAGAAAACTGTGGCACTGCCCTGTGGATACAAATGTAAGCTTCATCTCCAAGCGTAGACATCAGGAGACAAAGAGGACTTCTACTCTCACAGGCAAATATGTGCATTCTATTTCATCTACTAGCCTCCTAAAACATTGCTGGAAATGATGAGCAAGCACATGCCGTGGACAAGCAGATTATTTATCGGACTGAAAGTTCCCCTTTCACTTTGAAACGCGTGGAAATAAAGCCACGCCGTCTTGGTTGCAAGCTGAATACGATGTAGTGACGGTGAGAACATGTAACCTCAGGGTTTCTGAGCGCTGGGTCGCCTCCCTGTCTTCCCCTCTGCTGCTCCCATTAGATGTGCAGACAAACATCACCACATACATTCGATGCATCATCTGAGAAAAGCGCCTCGGCCGTCCTCTACCTTCTGCTCTGTGTGTCTGGACCTGCTAAGCTGCTGCTAGACACGGCATGTTAGACACAAACAGCTGCAAAAGGACCATCTGTGGCATGTACTTGTATCCATTTATTTTGCACCTCAATGGAGACACACACTTTACATCAGTGACTGTTTAGCGGTTTGAATAATCACCCCTGGAACAATGGAGCTGACTCTCCATCAAGTCTAGAAAGGATCAAGTAAAGAACCGTGGAGTCGGGGCTAAGCGAAGGACTGGCAGGGCGAGGTGGTGCAGGCGGAGCGAGGCGGGGGTCGGTGAGGTGGGGGCGCGTCGTCTGGCTCACTTCTCTCTGTAGAACAGCAGGTACATCTTCAGAGGCTCGGGCAGCGGCAGGCCCAGGATCCTCTCTCTGAGGACGTTCACGGCCGGCTGGGGCCGGAGAAGCTCCCCGGTCTCTTTCTCCTCCTCCCCCCCTTCCTGCTGCTCCTCCTCCTCCTCCTCTTCCTCCTCAACCATCTCCTCCTCCTCCACCACCCTCACCGCCCCCCTCCCGGCCCTCCGGCTGCCCCTGATCTGCCGCCTCGCGTCCCTCTCTCCGGCCCCCTCCTCCTCCTCTTCCTCCGCTCTCCCTCGCTGGCTGTCATTCCCGTCCGGGGGGGCGGGGCCGATGCCGCCGCTAGCGACGACCTGCCGCGTGGCCAGCACGAGGGCGTTGCAGTGACGGCGGTGCACGCGCCTGCGTTTGAAGCGGGGGCCGTACTTATGAAGCCCGGCCACCGCCAGGCCCCTGCCGACGCTGAACGAGGCGCCGCGGCCGCGCGACTGGCTGTCGGCGGCGTCCGTGGTCACCCGCAGCGTGTGACGGATGCAGATGCGCGTGAGCTCCTGTAGCGTCCGGACCTCGTACTTAGCTGCAGCGTTTGAGAAGCACAAGGAAACGGGGGACTTAAACACATTATAGACTCAACTTGGTGACATTAGTGAGGTTCAGTGGCACTCACGTAGTGGGGCGCTCTTGGGTTTGCGACTGGCGCCGTGTTTAGGGAGGACCAGAGGGGCGAAGGACACAGAAATAATCTTTTTGGTCTCCCAGCTGTTTGGTCCCGTTCGGGTGATTTTGGTCAACTGCAGAAAATAAAACAGCAGGAAATCACAGCTGTTTCATGTCATTTTGTGTGCGTTCCCAACTGCTCTACTATTTACCTTTATTTTATATGTTAATATACATGCATATAGGATAGGATGTATATGCTTAGGATAGGTTACTTTCCACAGTCCAAACTGGCCACTAGGTGCACGTTGCTAGTAAGAGTTTGGACCCCTTTTGCCTTCAGCACGGCCTTGATTTTTAGAAAAATAACCCGCCATGATTCTTATTTTCTTTTACATTATTTTTTACATGTATGTGCATGTATTGCCGTGTTCCTTTCTTGAATGTGTTATTTGAAAAATGATACAGTGAAACTGCCAGATTCCGCCCAGCCCCAACCTTCTCCCGAGACACACCAACCTTCTCCTCGAGAGGCATCACCAGAACACCTCCCAGCTTGAGCAGGTTCTTCATGTGGTCCTCGTGCTCCTTCTGAACCCCGGCCCCGCAGTACACGCGGTCGTACTGCCGGCTCTCCGAGGGGGGAATCTCCAGGCAATTACCCGCAACAAAGGACGGCTCGCAGAATTCAAATCTATAAGAATACAGGAGCAATGAAAACACACGCGGAACAATAAAGAGCAACGGTAAAACGTCACAAGCACATTTGGACACATACTTGTCAAAGCTGTCGCTGGTTTTGATGAAGGTGTCGAGCTTCTGGTAAGCGTAATCAATCACATCTGCGTGCAACTCTATTCCGTGATTCACTCCGAAGGGCCCTGCAACAGCAAGCAGACTGGAATCAGCCACGTTTACAGACTGGACAAGAAACTCAGTCGCTACAATAAAACATTTAAAGCTGAACATCTTCACGCTCTGACAAACCGACGGAGGTCTCCATGAGACAAGTAGACCTGAAACATGGAACATTTATTGCCAAGTACATTAGACATACAAGGAACTTGACGTGGCGGTTGGTGCATTACAATGGAAAACGAGACAAGTAACACGTCGATTTACAAATATGCACTTTAAATCTACAGTGTAAAATAGCAGGCTAAGAGCGAGAGGAATATGAAGACAAAAGAAGAGAGAACTGAAGCACACAGGTGAACATAACCAGACTCCACACAACGGCGTTGTGTCGGTGAGTGTGTATGTGCACGTGGAGTGACGGGAGGAGATCGGGATCCTTTTTCTTCTGAACATGACAAAGAGGCTCGCTGGTCATGGTCGTTGTTTAGGATTTAAGCAGAGGAGCACGTCTAGTGGTGGAAATGATAATGTGTGATTATGGTTATATCTGATGGTGCTTACGTCTGATGGTGCTTATATCTGATGGTGCTTACGTCTGATGGTGCTTATATCTGATGGTGCTTACGTCTGATGGTGCTTACGTCTGATGGTGCTTATATCTGATGGTGCTTACGTCTGATGGTGCTTATATCTGATGGTGCTTACGTCTGATGGTGCTTATGTCTGATGGTGCTTACGTCTGATGGTGCTTACGTCTGATGGTGCTTACGTCTGATGGTGCTTACGTCTGATGGTGCTTACGTCTGATGGTGCTTACGTCTGATGGTGCTTGTCCCTGCTGTGTGTACAGATTGTAATTTGTATTGTGTGATTTGGGGCTGTAATGTAATGTAATGTATCTCAATGAACATCTCAGTTCTTCTTGTAGGTAAAGTGTGTTTACCTAGAAGCTCCTCACTGCCACATGTTCACATGAACTATTAGAAAGACACCACATACCCAGTATGAGGCCGACCATGGTGCTGAGGTAGCCGGTCCCACTGCCCAAGTTGAGGAAGGAGAGGCCAGGGTGGAGGTCCAAAGCCTCCATCACCTCAGAGTAGATACACGGAGCAGACAGGTGGATCTTTCCATGCCGCCATGCTAAGTCCTAACAACAACAACAACAACAACAACAATACAACGTCACCTTTAAAACCATGCCACTCAGGTTCATTGTGGAAGCTGCTCTCCATGAGGACCTTGTTTCAGTGATCTCACAGACGTTAGTGGTGCTCACCTTGTAGGCATTGTCCCGGTATTCGTCCAGGTAATAGTCCGCCCGGTCGATGGCTCGAAAGGCCCGCTCCACCAGGTCTGAGCGGATGTAGTACGCCTCCTTCAGGTTGTCAATCAAGTCGTCATTGTCCTCACCGGCACTCACAGCTCCCCCCATGTTCACTGAGGGAAAAACAGGTGGCTCAGTCCCAAAGGACAAAAGAACCACGAGCAGCGGTAATGATCGGGCAGAGAAATACACATTGACTTCTGTACTCCTGCTCGGCTCGCTCTTTCACAATGTGTTTTTTTGTGGGGAGACGGTTTCTGAGGATTACCATACAGACACCCAGGCTCCGTCACCTCCAAAGGTGAACGAGACGGAGCTGTTAAATAAAAGACTCATGCTTTGGATGATTTACAACAATGCCAACATTCTCTGCGTCAGGCTTCTTAAATGGGTGTTTGTTCCTGGTAAATGAAAAATCTGGTTCTGGACTGTCGGTTGTACAAAACCAGGTTTAACAATGTCTGTTTGTAACAACTGAAGGCTAAATTGTTGAGTAGAAAATTAAAGCACAGAAACTCCTTCAACCGTTACATTTGTAAACAACCACCAGTTTCTTTGGAAGTCAGTGCGAAGGGTTCAGCGCTGTCTAACGGGGACGTTACACGGGGCAACAAGCTAAATATGCCTCTCCCCCCCCCACACCCCCCCCCCGTTCCAAGCAACTAAGTGGCCTTGAGGAGATGGAAGAAGACTTTCTCTATTATCATAAGTACTATTTGCTTTCTCCATTCTGGGCTACTGAAGCAATATTGCAGCTCCTCGTCTCATGTGTTTATAGATGTATGATACATAGTTATAAATGATTATAAACTATGACACGGTTATACATATTATATTGGTTTTCTGCTAACAAATCCCCCTGAAATCCCAGGTCCTTTTGTGCAGAACAAGGATAAACTCCCAGACAATCCCGACCTGACAGACAGTAGTGGTTCCTATGGATTCTAAATATTACATTACAAGTCATTTAGCAGACACTTTTATCCAAAGCGACTTACATTACACTTCAATGTAATTTAATTTAATGGCTTTTTCACATTTTGCCTGGGGAGCAATTAGGGGTTAGGTGTCCTGCTCAGGGACACTTCGACATGGAACATGGGGCAGCCTGTGCTTCCCAGCACACCTTCTCTAACCCCTGCGCCACGACGACCCCACGTGGTCGTTTACTAGAACCCCAGTAAATACTAGCGTCCCAGTGAGGACGTTAGCTCCACTATCATCTCAAAAACATCTCCAAACTCCGCCCCACTTGGACCCTGTCAGAGAAGCTCGTGGCTTTATCTCCTCAACGCTGGACGACTGTAATTCTCTCTTAACTGGAATCACTGGCAAGAATATGCTGAAACTACAACACATCCAAAACAGCGCTGCCAGGATCCTGATGAGAGTCTGGAAATATGAGCACATGACACCCGTCCTACACTGGCTCCCTGACTCTCTCCGGATCGACTACAAAATCCTACTACTCACTCATAAATGCACCTCCCTATCTGCAAGAACTACTCACTGCCAATCTGCCAATGAAGAGTGCGTTATAAATAAAACGTATCATTACTATCCCCACTGGGAGTGAATGCAACGTGTGAGCGGTGTCCAGTCACCAGAGGGTCTATTTACCATCCAAGCGCTTTCATTTGATTGGATCAATAACAAGGGGGCGGGCGAGCTGTGTTCACATTAGTGACGAAGCAGCAGGCTACAAGTTCCCAGGGAGGCCGGTAAGTTAACTATTACTGTTAACTGTTAACTATTACTACTATTGGCTCTTACGCCCTTAACAGATTTACAGATAGTTGACTTGATTTATTTGCTCACAGTGTGTGAACACGTTCCCTCCAAGTTGAAGGTGGATGGATGTCATGATAGTAGTGGTGGATCTAGCGATAGCAGGACACATCCAACATGACGTCCCCCATTAATTGGTGGACGCATGTTGACGTAATTGTGTTGACGCATCTGTACAACCAGGAGTCACATCTGTACAACCAGGAGTCACATCTGTACAACCAGGAGTCGCCCCCTGATGGACATCAGAGAGAATGCAGCTGCTGCTTTACTTCCAGTACCATCGGCTGCTGCCTGGTACCAACTAAGAAATGGGGCTGGATTTTAATTTTAAAATATATATTTTGTGAATTTCCCAAACGTCTGAGTGATGAGTGAAAATGGTAAAAAATAAAAACTCCATCTAAACTGTAAGTCCTTTGGAGTTTCCACATGAATAGCCTGAGCCACCACATGTGGAGGCCCAGAAGATGCAGCTGAACCTCCAGAGAGCACAGGGGTCAAAGGCCACAGTGAGAGAACATCCTGATGTGGAGCAGTGGTGAGAGGATGAGGAGGGAAGAGCCGTCCTGAGTGAAGACGCTGCCCACGTGACCACCAGAGGGCCACGCAGCCATTGCGCGCGCGACTCGGCTTTAGCTAGTCGGGTTCCCCGCAGATCACTGCTCCTCTGGACTGAGCGGCTCTCGGCTCGATGGGACCGCGGTTAAAACCACGTCCTCCGAGTGGCGCGTCGGCCGCGGGAACCACGAACGCGAACCATCGCACCCGAGCGGCGGCGGCAAGGTCAACAGAAACGGAGAGCAGCTGCGAGGAGGCACGTCGACGCGCAGCGCTAACAGCGGCGCGTGTCCGCGGCGCGCGCCGCCTCCTGCACGCGCCGCGGACACGCGGGTCTTCTACCTGGTGGAAATGGCGACCGATGTTCTCCGTCTCCGCGGGGTCCCTCGCGATCAGCCTCCTGTTGTTGCGGGGATCCAGACCGAAACACGCCACCGCTGGATGTAAACATTCGGCCAGCTGACGCTGTGACGTCAGACGTAAAGGAGCCGACGCAAGATGACGGCCTGCCTACGTCACTCCGCGCGGCGGAACCAAGGAGTTTTATTATTAAGTATTAAAGTACAATATGAAGGTACTTTAGTTTCATCTACACATTTCATCATTATAATTCAGAGGAAAATAGGAAATAATAAACAGCTTTCACGTGTTACTTTGAGATTCTGAATATTAAATACCACATGGAATAATTAGGTATTAATACTGTTATTATTATTGATTGAAGCCTTTACAAACTGTTTAAAATTAGTTTCACGGTCAATTATTGTAATAAAATAATAGAATATGCATGAAATTGTAATGGGCCATTTTATTTGTTCAATACTTCTACATTTGGTCTTTTGCAGGACTTATGACTCTTAAGTAATTCTCTCTATTTTACTGAGCCAAAACATCGGCTGCAGCAGACCTTCTTCGATGCAGACGTAGAAGCTCGCAGTGAGGCGTCCTTGTCCTACTGGGACAGGATGAAGTGGAAAAGACTCGTCAACCAAGGAACACAGGGACCACTGAATGACCGGAGGTGCTGTCTCAGTTAGGCAGTTAGCAGGTTCAATTCAATTCATTTTATTTTGTATAGCCCAAAATCTCAAAAGGGCTTTACAGTCTGTACACATACGACATCCTCTGTCCCAAAACCCTCACATCAGCACAGGAAAAACTCAAAACCCCAAACCCCCCAAATGGTGTTAGGACCAGGGTCCAGAAGGAACTACGATCTACGTAGACCTGCTAGGGGAGAAAGCACAAACACTCCCGGAAAGAAGCTGAATTAGTCATGTGCATTAATAACACGTGAATTAGTGTGAGAGAGGAGCTCGGTGTGTCCTAAGAATTCCCCCGGCAGTCTAAGCCTATAGCAGCTTAACTAAGTGCTGGTCCGGGCTAACCTGAGCCAGCCCTAACTATAGGCACAATAAAGAGGAAAGTTTTAAGTTTTACTTTAAAAGAGCTGACCGAATCTGCCCCCCGGACTGAAGTCTAGAAATAACAAGCGCATGAACTAATTTTTCTACATCGCTTTGAGAAAGTTCCTGATTTTTGATATGTTACGTAGATGAAAATAGTCAGTCCTTGAAGTCTTCTTTATATGCGAGTTGAAGGTCATATCCTGGTCGAAGAGAACTCGCAGATTCCTGACGGAGCTGCTGGGTACCAGAGCAATTCCATCCATAAAAACTGTATCACGTGACAGCTGGCTTCGAAGGCGCTCTGGGCCTATCAAGATAACTTCTGTTTATTCTGAGTTTAGCATCAGGAAGTTGCCGGTCATTGTTAAGGTTTCGGAAGCTCTCGAGGGAGGACTCAATCCTTTGTTCTCGTCCCGGCCGGAAACGAGGACACGAATGAGTCAATTCGTTTAAATTCAAAAATCAAAAGTTATTTAATAACTGAACAACGTAATAGGGATTACAATTACAAAGTGAAATACTAAGCGAACAGTGGAATATTTCGCGAAATAGAGAATCCTCTGAGCAAGTCTGAAGTGACTTATCAACGCGGCTGCAGGAGAAGTTCTAACAGTCTTTTCCCCGCCATGGTCCTTTAAAACTCTTGAGGTGTGTCTTCTTTGGTGCATTTGAATGTCATTGGCCTCTTCTCCAAAGGGTCACCTCCTCCATTGTCCCTTCCACGTCGAGGTGTGAATCTGCAGCTGTAACCTGAAACCTCTCTGTCCTAGCTGTCCCTCACATTCCAATGCACTCAATGTAGATACATTCGGCTTTATGCCTCAATGAGTGAATCTAACAAAGCATACATCGTTTAAGTCTTCATCTTATAACTAGTACACTTTAATTACAACAACCCATCATTAATGATCACCGTTCATCACACTTCATCATAAGATCTAAGACAGTTCATGTGGTTCAATTCTCAAGACATTTGCCTCAGTCGGCTGCCTTACATTAAGTTGTTCATTTATTACCTGACAGGAGAAAAAACTCCCAAAAAACCCTTTTTGGGGATAAAATTGGGAGAAATCCATAAAGAACGGCAATTGGCATCCGTCCCCAGGTTTTAACATCACATTGTGACAGAATGTAAATGTTACAGTGTTTATATGATTTAAATGACTATGAATTGTGTTTGATTGAAATTGCATTCACTTCATCTAACATGTTAATGTAATAACTAATATCTAACATCACACAAACTATAATTCTAACACTAAACATTATTACACGTACTATAATTTCCTGACTAGGGGTGCACTTCTGGCTTAAATCCCTAACATCATACAAGTTTTGATGTCTCCAAGACATTCTTGAAGTCTAACTAACTGGTCCGTCTCTTCTGGCATATAGAGGGTAAATAAAATCGGTCCAAGTACAGAACCTTGTGGGACTCCGTGACCAACATTTGTGGTCTTTGAGGATTCACCGTTTACAAGCACAAACTGGGATCGATCCGATAAGTAGGATTTAAACCAGCTGAGTGCAGTTCCTTTGATACCAATTAAATGTTCTAGTCTCTGCAACAGGATACAATGATCTATGGTATCAAATGCGGCACTGAGGTTTGTCTTGGATTGCATATTCTAAATTCTATGTATATATTACTATGCAACATTTCCGTTTAAAAGGATATGACTTGTTATACAATTATGTTGTTGATTAAACTTTTAAAGAATTTACAAATAAATAGCAGAATGGCGTGCATCATTGTCCTGAGAAGATATGTGTGTGTAAACATTTGGATTCTATGTGAGATTAAATGGATGCATGAGTTTCACTCAGTGTTTAAGGAGGATTTTGCCCAAGTAACTGCGTAAATATGAGCAGCTGCAGGAAACATGATGTTGCATGAGAAGTGCTCCAGTCTGCAGAACCTGTGGGTTCACTAAAAGGTCCACCAGATGTCAGTGCTGTTCAACACACAAACTACATGTAACTGCATGTCAACAGCACGCTGGATCCCCCATTTTGTTCACCGTCAGGAAGGCAGCCTGTGTGTGTGACTGTTTGACTGACTACACCGTGTGTACACGTACATTAAACTTCCCTTACGCTAGTCACAAGCCGCGATGCTACTGCTGTGCAGGATCACTAGTTCCTCTCCAACACTCGTTTGGCCGACTCGGGAGGACTTCCACCATGACGTCATGATTATGGCGTGTGAGGGGTCTAGTGGCATCTGGCGGTGAGATTGCAAAGGGCCACTGACTAAATGCCCAGCTGCTCACCCCTCCACCACATTCAAGCTGCCAGTGTTTGGTGCATTTTGTGCTGCATCATGGTGCGAAGCCCCAGAAGACTTTGATGCATTTGGGACCCATCGCTCCACCTAAAGATCAGCTTCCCAGTACAAACTGTATAGCTAGAGCCGGGCCATATGGAGCTATTTAAATATTTAGATATTTAGATATTTTGGTTGAAAATTGAGGATATTCAAAATCGAGGAGGATTTCTAGTCTCTTGTCATGAAATCCAAATAATATATTGGCCAGTTCTACTATGAAAAGCCCTGATCTGAAAAGTAGTGAATGCATCAATAGCTGGATCCAGGGTTGTCAGATGGGGCGGGGTTAAAGGAAACTACAAGGGGCTTTCTCCTCGGGCCCAGTGATGCAGAAGATCAACAGAAGATCTGGGTAATGTCATCACTCCGCTATTGACCCATTGTTTGTGTGCCATTGAGCAACGTTCAACCCCCCCGCTGACCCCACCCCAAACACTGTGTCCAGTTCTCTTCATACGTCCAAGCTTTAAGCCACACACAATCCAACCGCACCTTGCAATTTAGCAAGGCTCACACATGCACACGCACACACGCACACGCACACGCATGCACGCACAGATAAGACGGGCTCATACGTGTCTATGATTCTTTATTTGCGTTTTTCATAGAGAACATTTAAAATGGTTCATCCAACAATAACTGACATCACTTCTCTGCTTTATAACACTGACACAGGAACAGGGGAACATGTACACAAGTACACAAACACACAGTCACGAGTTCGGCCCATCTACAGTGTTTTACTTCCTAAACAAAATGACTAAAACATCATGAGACCCCGAGGACACACAGCAGGGCTGTCCCACTTTACAAACGTTGCAGTAGTAAAGACGAGCACATCTACAAAGTACAAGAGACCACACAATCTATTGTTGAGGAAGTGCTTGTAATTTTGGAAGTTTTGTACTTTTTGAAAAGGATTTCAATATTAATGCCTAGAAAATCACCAATAAAAATAGCTCATCTCTGTAAAAATATGCTAGCAGGACAGGCCTTGGCTGTGGATTTTTTTTGTCTTTTTCACAGACTTTTGATTTTTTTTAAGTCTTTTAAACGCATTTAATACAACAACAATAACACTGCTTCTTCTTAATACAAATATGTAGACTTTCACTTGTTCCAAAATATTGCCTTTCACACTGATGCATTATCTAGGGATGATGATGATGATGATGATGAGGACGAGGTTTTCAGATTACTGTCCATGCAGTTTTGTACCACAGAATGAGATCACAGTTTCTTTAGCCGCCTGTTTTATCTCCATATACATCTACTACCCCCCCCCCCCCCCACCCCAAGTACCCCGACAGCATTGTGTAAGAAATCTAGACTGAATGTTTGAGTCAGGCCTGCCAAGTGTAAACGTTCCCTATGTTGAGATGAGGGGTGAGAAAGGCACACATGATAAGACCACACGGCTTGTAACTACAGCTGAAGGTGGGGGTGTGGGAGGGGGGGGGGGCGTTGGGGGGGGGGCATTGCTTTTGGTTTTGCTCAGCTTGGTGAAAAGTGCCACTCAGCGAGACATTCCTACATCAGGAGGTGCCACAGATATGTGTCTAACATGCAGAGGTGCCCCCCCCCCCCCCCGCCCCAAACACACAGTTGAATTTTGGTCTGGGCTGGTTTCCCTGAAAGTGTTAACATGTCTAACTCCTTTTGTTCTGGGGGGCTTTAGGGAAACTGTTTTTAGTATTTGGAATAATATCACTCATCACTTGCGTGTAAATAAGAAAAGACACGCGTGTGGGCGAGGAAGCGACTGGAGGCTGCCCTCGCCTCCTCACCTGACTCCTTTCCTTTCTCATAATGCAATGCTTTCATGGGCTCAGTGTTATTCATTTACATACCTCAGTAGACAGTTTCAAGCAGTTTGAAAGGGTTCATGCCATATATCAAATAAGTTAGGAGGATATTCACAGTCTTAACACTCTTGGGTAGTATTATCGTGCATTTCAAGAGAGGAAGAATATACTACTTGTGAACCAATTGCATCAGAAATGATCTTCTCTGAGGAAAGGTTACACTCGATATGAGGGTGGGGGAGGGTTTAAAAGTCATTAAAAGCTTCGACATTCTTTTCACTGACAGACGTGTGTCCATGTTGCATATCTATGCAACAAACGCCTCCTAAAGCAAAGGGGAGATTCTAGCCTGGAAAACCAATTTCCTGCTCCCACACACTCGTCTCCTTTCACAGGAGGCCCCCATCCAGCCTCTAGCCTCCACCCTCTAGCCTCCATCTTATAGCCTCCACCCTCTAGCCTCCATCTTATAGCCTCCACCCTCCATCTTCTAGCCTCCACCCTCCAGCCTCTAGCCTCCACCCTCTAGCCTCCACCCTCCAGCCTCTAGCCTCCACCCTCTAGCCTCCATCTTCTAGCCTCCACCCTCCATCTTTTAACCTTTAGGCTCTCAAGCTCCATCTTTTAGAGCTTCCCCCTCCCATCTTCTTAACCTTTAGGCTGCAGCCTCCAATTTTTTAGGCTCCAGCCTCCATCCTTCAGGGTCTTAGCCTCTGGCTCCAGCCTCTTAGCTTCCACGTTCCATCTTCAAAGCTTCTAGCTTCCGGCCTCATCTCCTAGCTCTAGCTCCCAGCCTCCAGCTTGTTAGCGTGTAGCCTCCCATCCTCCAGCCTCTAGAGGCAGCCCCCCGGAGGAACAAACCCTGTCAATCCATTTTGTTTTTTATTTGGAAAAGAAAGCAGCGTTCTCTTTCAAAATACATTCGGAGGTCCGACGGCGGAACCCGAGGAATGAAAGACGCGTCTCTGTCTGGCGGGACGCCGGCTGGTTTTCTACGGGGTCAGCGACACACGGGTGTGACAGCGCTTTGCTGGCAAAGGCTTCGGTGGAACACTTGACTTGATCTATCAGGGTTCTTACAAGTCACGACTCAAATGCTGGCATTCTCAACAGTTATTCAGAAAGTGCAGACAGTAGTGTCATTCTACATTGGCTAAGAGCACATTAACAACATGCCTTTGACATCAGAGCCACACATGGGGGGTCACACTGTTACACCACAGTAGCTGCAAGGAATCACTCACAGGCAGGTCACACCACGGTCTCCCACCCGCTCCTTCCACACCAGAGAGAAGACCAGCAACAACACAATAACTGCACCTGTCGCCAAACACCATGTGCAGAACATTATTCAGAGGCGTCACCTTTTTTTTTTAAATATACATGAAGTTACATGACACTTAGGAACCAACCATCTAGTTATTTGTTAGATTCAGTAGTACAACATACATTAGATGATTTTGCTTTGACATTTCTGGATCAAGGACAGACAGATACAGGAAATAGGGGGAGAAAAGAAAAGGAAACCTTTGGAAACAGATCCAAAGTAGGTCACTGTGTCATCGGCGGCGCCTGCTTCACCTCCGCTGGAGGGGCTGCAGTGCTTAAAGCCACAGTCGAGCAGGTCGTAATGCTAGTAAGTAAGTGGTAACTGCCAGTGATCCTCTGGTAAGGTAATACAAGAGAAGAAAAGTCGACAATTACACTGGAAAAATATATGTGTGTTCATATTCATATATATAGCATCTTTAAAATCTATTTATACAGAATGTATATATCGAGTGTACTAATGGCCATCGTGGCAGAGAAATAAAGGCATCTGAAACAATCAGCGCTCTCGTGCTCGTCCCGGGACCAGACGTTATCACAACGCACAAATGCAAAGAATCGGGAGTGTTTGTCCTCTTTTTTTCCACTGGCACTTTGTGCATCTAAAAATTAAAATCTAGAATAAGGCTACAAGGGTGTGTCTGTTTATCAACGGAGGCCATATCCTCCCTGTGTGTTTACAGCCACTTATTCAGCCTGAACCACAGCTGGAGCACATCTGCTTCTCCTGCATGTACCATTGTGCTGATGGAAATAACACAAAAGAATCCAAAGCGTGACGCGAGCCCCTCTGGTGCTCCTCGGCCGGTCAGCTGAGCGAAGCGTTTCCAGCGACTGGTTTGCTTTTACCTGACAAAAGCAAACACACACACGGAGCACAGAGCAACTAAACGGGCTCCTTTCGTCCGTACAATCAGCTGCTGCTCCGTCCAAGTCTACGTCTAAGCAATCAAACAGTGTTTGTATTGATGATGTCGTTTTCTTTATTTAAATATTAGCAGTGGGTCTTTAAGACTACTCGGACTCAACCGTCACATCACGCAAATAAATAACAAAATAAATACACAGCCATGTCAGTCAAATTCTTTCATGTTAAATAAATAATAAATACATACTTTCTTTTTTCGCCCCGCGTGGGGGTTCTGAATGTAACAGTAACAAAAAGAGAAAAGCAAGGAACAAACAGCAAAAGATGACCTGCTCTGTGTAAAATTATCAAAGACAGTTATAAAACATCTGCACTTAAAAAGGCTTTGAAAAAGTACTCAAAACTAAATACGCCACGTCAGCTATCTGTATAGATTCTTAAAATATTGACGTGAGACATTTGCGTTGACCGTGATAATCAGTAAGGATGATGCTGTGTGAGTGTGTGTGTGTGTGTGTGTGTGTGTGTGTGTGTGCGCGCGTTACAAAACAAAGTTAATAAATAGATTGCTTCAAATAAATAAACCTCAATAACATAAATGGCAATAAGTTACAATTTAAGAGTTCACAAGTTTAAATAATTCATATATAACAATAATTATGGTACCACAGAACTATCCATTAAGATGAAGTGCAACTCCTATGTTGATAAATACTATTGATATGACTAACGGAACTTGAGCTGTGCGCACAAAATTACTATTATCTCAGGTAAAAAAATAAAAAAAGGAATTAATGGATTAATCTGCTGCTGTTTAAAATCCTCACATCAGTCCCATGAAAACAGCCCCACGGCCTTCCTGCCCCCCCCCACACACACTACATGGGTCAACATTGTGCTGTTGACACCTTTGCCCGCAGTAATACCACAGAGACCCCAGCCAGTGTCTCACACACACACACACACACACACACACACTGTGCGCTACAGGGCAGCGCGTCCAACTCGTCTCTGTCCTCTCCGAGCTGCTTCAGGCGATCCTGTGCTCCAGGCGAAAACATGATCAACCGCTCATCCACAAACAGTTGAGGACAGAAAAGAGACAACAGGTAAACACAGAGCACATCACCCCCCCCACACAGTCCCTGGTGTCCGTCCTCGTCCTCTGGGGACCAGCAGCACGCGGCTCGTCTCCTCTGGCCCGCTGCTCCCTGGGTTGATTTCTTATTCAAGTCGGCGTTTATTTAAAATACCTGAATTCCCTTTTTTGTTTTTGAATCGTATTTCAACGTGTCGGAGAGCGGTTCAACGTGTCTCCCGTAGCGCCCCGTCCTTCGCGCCGCCGCGCTGCCTCACACTTTGATGCCCTTCACAGCTCTGTTGATGGTCTCCAGCAGGGCTTTGTTCTCGGCGCTCTGGAAGCGGTCCTTGTTGGTGTACATGTGGGTCAGGGTGCTCACGTAGCTGTCGAAGTTCTGCTCCGTGATTGGCTCCTGCTGTGGTACAAACAACAACCAATGGCGACTGAGAGGAGCCGGCAAAGGGACCCGCCGGCACAGCTGTGCGTGGAGGAGGACTCACCATGTGCGGCAGGCTGATGTTGCCCAGGCTGCGGATCAGCGCGCGGCTCAGGCCGGACAGCTTCGGCAACAGAGCCTCGTTTCTGCTCCTCGATCATCTTGTTCTCGTGCTCGATGGTTTGCAAGTTTCATCTCCATGAAGAAGATCTCCAACACACAGCAGGGGGGGCGGGGGTTCTACACGGGTCCCACTCCAGACACATGACATCATGGGGGATAACCAGGACGGACAAACCCTGCTGTCCATATATATGCAACGGACATGCAATTTTATCTTAAAAGTGAAAGTAAATATTTGTGAGATTTCACAGATTGGAATCTTCAGACTGGGACATGGATATTTAGTCGTACTGAGGATGCAGTCACAGCTGCTTCTGCTTAACATACATTGCATGTCCCCTTGTCTTTTAGAGGGGACGTATCCCCCTCGTGCACACACGTTTCTGTCTAAATACCAACAAACTGTGAAATAAGAAACCGTCTAGATTCAATAGGACGGCGTTCCCCTTCTTTTCACACGCAGGATCGCCGGGATTTCATCCCATGAAGAATGGCGTGGAAACGTTTTCTCAGTTCAGATCGGGTGCTTTTGGGGTGAGACGGCGTCTGTTCAGACGAACGATGTGTTTTTAACACTAAAGCACGTAAACACGTGGCAGAGGAACGAAGAAGTATAAATCTGGAAACGAGCCCAAATGTGTTAGTGGACCTGAAATGTTCCAATAAAAGCCTCTGTTGCCACAAGTGGTGATTACAAGATACAGATAATGTGAAATGCTCAGTAAATAATGTCACACTTTTAAACACACAAACTTTGAGTCTAAACACATTAGCACACCCGTCCAGCAAGAATGTTGAGAGATGTAAAAACCAAATCCTAACCCACCTGAGTCTGCAGGTTGACCATGTCCGCCTCCATTTCATTGTTGGATTCATTCAGGTCGTTGATCTCTTTGTTGAGCTGCTTAATATCTTCATCGTTGTCCAAAACTAAAGCAGAAGCCAGAAACATTAGCATAGAAAAGAAGAGTCTGGTCTGCATATTCTGAGAGGAACAGTAAAAACGATGCGGTGGGTTCCTCCATGGGCCTGACTAGGCCTCACAGCCGAATGAAGGTTCCCTGCTGCCACTACAGGATGCGTTCCAGTCTACTTTTACCTTGACATGATACACAACAGGGGTCGCTCATCGAATGAGACCGTGTGTCTGGTACGGCTTACTCATACAAACACGTCTTTCACACATCTCACCATCACTGGCTCTGAACTTGGTGCTCAGGTAGTCCTCTGTGGGGAACTTGGCCTTCTTCTTGGCGAACAGGGCTCTGGGGCATCCTGACAGGCTGGAGGCAGGTGACACAGAAGAGGGGGGGGGGGGTCATCACTGTTGCCTGAGCTGCACATCTCAACACATGAAGGAACCTGTTGCTTCCAGTGGACCATGTGTCAATAACGTCACGTGCTTGAACTTTTCATTATGAAGCTTTTTCAGGTCCTGTACAACTTTCCAATGTTGGACATTGACGCAGATTTCTATGGCTCGATCCATGAGAGAGGTGGTCTTATTGTCATCTGGTTGAGAGCTGGTTGAGAGCTGACCTGCGGTGCGTGAGGAAGCTTCCATTAGCGTGTCCGGAGCCGTCACAACCTGGGGTTGGGCAGGTGGGCCCCTCAGTCTTGAAGGCCTTCCAGTTGAAGGGGGTTCCGTTCAGGAGACCCTCCTTCTGTCTGCGGGCGGCCAGCGGGCAGCCGTAGGCGCTGCGGTGGGTGGCGTATTTCCCACTGATGTGACCCAGGCTGTCACAGCCGGGAACCGGACACCTGCACGCAGAAGACACGCGGGTGAGATGAGACCGACCCAACAACACAAAGGCTAGAAAGGTGAGAATTTCTACAATAAAGATTTTCGTTATATACTTTCTATACGGGGCCAAATCAGGGTTTAAACATTGGATAATGCCATCGATGCAAGAGCTTTAAGGTTAAGCACGTCCCGTTATCATCATGCTGGTACATTAACTGGGATGTGTGCCAATGCAATATGAAGCCAATGTACGGTTCTCTACCAAGAACTACATTCAGAGTATCTGGAGTAAGTGTATTTTCCCATCAGGGCCTAATTCCATTTTGGGGGTAAGTATGATTCACAGTGATTTCCTCTCTCTCTGTCTTTCCCTTTTTATTGCATTTTACTTTTACCGTCAGTCTGGCTAAAAGCAGACATTATGGCTTTCTGAGCAGTACGAACTTTAAAAGCTCGGAGTCCTCCTGGTTGTCCTTGGTAGGAGTTTTAATTCCACTTTTCTTGGCACGCGGGCACCCAGAGATACTGAAAACAGAAAGTATGGAGTTGATAGCATAGGGTTGAGAAAAGGTCTGCTTGTTAACGGGAGAGCACATTATGAGGAAGGATAAGTTCACAGAGGCCGATCAACCAAACTACAAAGCAAATCAACTCAAACGCGCCCGATGTGGCCAGAAATAATGGAAAGGTGTGCAGATGTGTGAGTACATGATCCCTGTCTAACTCTACCATGAACTGTCACTAGGCCTCTCTGGCTGACTGTGTGTGTGTGTGTGTGTGCGTTTTTGTATTTGGGTTGTTACCTTCTGTGGGAGGTGTAGTTTCCTGTGATGTGGCCTGAGCCGTCACACCCTGGCGTGGGGCATCTGAGGGAGGAGAGGGGGTCAAAATCAAGTTCCAGAACACTGGAGAGAGTCGGTGTGAAACTGTGCAGATGAAGGAAATAGTGTGTTTGTTCCTTCTGTCTTCTCCGTTATTCAAACGCGCGTTGTGTGTATTCTGCTGCATTTAGCGTCATAAAGAGAACTACTGACTCAGATCACATTCACATGAACGGACTGAAGTGAAAGCGAGCGCAGGCCGAGCCGGAGGAAGAGGCCCAGGCGGACGCGGCAGCAGAGGCGGCGGCAGGCAACAAAAGATGAGCCAACGCCAGCGGAACGGAGCGCTGCGCCGCTGGCGGCGTCTGTGGCAGTGCATGGAAGTGGCGGTGGAAAGGCAGTGGAGGTGCACAGCAGACATACTTAAGTTCAGGGGTGTGGGCCGCCATGAGGGACCGAAGGCTCTTATCAGCGAGGGGACACCCAGACAGACTGAGAGGAGGGAGAGAGAGAGAGAGAGAGGGGGGACAGGTGGGAGGAGAGGCGGGCGAAAGGAAAGCCAGCGTGGGGGGATTGAAAGGAGAGAGGAGGAAGACGTGAGCAAAGGGAAATCAAGAATGCACGGCACACCAAGGTCATTCAGGAGGAAGAGGACAGGCGGCGAGAAGTAAATTACTGATGCGTATCAAAGTCAATGAGCGTCGCCAGGCTCGCGCTGCATTATTGCCTCGGCCGTGTCCATATCAAACAAAAATATCAGAATTAGTCGCGGTGCCGGCGCTCCGGGCTCAGCGCACATTTCGCCCGGCGCCTCACACGCGGGGGCCAGTGCGTACCTGCGATGGGACGCGTAGTTCCCAGTGATGTGGCCGCTGCCGTCGCAGCCGGGCGTGGGGCACCTGCAGGGGGCGACACGCACGGACGGGGCTGTTAGACGCTGGGGCTGGACGGGGGGGAGAAGAGCTACATCGCTGCTACCAGACGGATTGTCAGGAAGTGTTTGTATCACAGCTGTAATCGCTCACTAAGTCAACGCACAGCTACTGTGGTAATGATGCACATTAACTGCTAATATGATCATCCTGTTAATTAAAACAATTAAAAGCTTTTCTGTTAATATGTGTAAGAGCATAGTTAGTATCACATTATTCACACTATACAAAATGAGAATGTACCTGTTCAATGTAGTGGTTTTAAAGGAAAAGCGGTAATTACCACATGTTAGCGTGCTAACATGCTAAACTAGATGTCGTCACTGCGCGCGCGTCAGAGCGAGACTCACGAGAGCAGTTCTTTCTTGCTGTCCTTGGGCTGGAACTTGACCTTAAAGCTGGGGGTCGTGACCTCTCCTGGGTACTTCCTGTCCTCCAAACAGTCCTGCGTCATGTCGCAGTCCTCCGCGTCAGACGACGGCTCCATCTGACGTGCAAACGGAAGCTTGTAAATCCCCCGTGCTCCCTTTAAACTGGACTTATTGTTCATTTAATTCATTTCATCTTGATACCATTTGAGTGTTGGCTTTCTTTACACATTCAAACCGTCCGAATCACCCTTTTCTACTTTGTGCAGACAAATGGCGTCTCCGAATCCAGTGTCCTCATGAAAAATGTACACTCCGAGGCCTTTATGTTTCTTTTGAACCGGTTCAAAGGAGAAAGAATTAGCATATGCCAAAGCGAGGATGGTGCAATGCACCTGACACACCACCTCTGTTACGCAGAGCTTTTCATTGTTACTCTGCGAGTCCCTGAAACAAACTAACAGGACAAAGAGACATTTGTCTCATTTGCGGCGCGTGGTTTGGAGCTCGCGCTCACCTCGTCCGGTTCCTCCTCCCGGTGGCGGCTGGATTTGGTGTAATCCAGGGGGCCCTCCCACTCCTCCTGCTTGTAGGTGTGCAGGTGTGGCGATGTCACCCCGCTGCTTCCACCGTGACGGAGGGAGGAGGTGGAGGAGGAGGAGGAGGAGGAGGACGGGTCTGGGGACCGGACGCCGGGGCTGCTGCCTTCTCGCTTGATGGGCTTCTTCATACTCAGGTCCAGGGTGCCGTTCTCGTCCACCTCAATGGCCAATTCCTTAACCGAGAGAACCAATGCATACGTCACTTCAGGAGGTCCTTAAATGACATTATAATGGTGAATATTTTCTTTTAAGGCTCTATTTTAGGATAAAGCGTGGATCATCATGCAGAGCAGCTGGTGCAGGTTTGCTTGGGAGTTGAAGATACAAACACACTAATTAAAGTGTAAAAGCGGAACGCGGTCTCCTCTGGTGCGGTCCTGCGTGTTGATGATCACATGACATATCACTGATTCACAACCTGCGCTGAGGGGCATTCATCTTCCATATTGATTTCTTCCTCTTTCTGCCCCTTCGCCCTCACGCATTCATACAGGCGTTTTCACGGCGCAACACGTTGGTATTCAGAACGCCTCATTCCTTGCAGTGAAGCTGCTCTGCAGGGCGCCGCTGGCAGGTGAACACAAGCGGCGCGGCGAGATGAGCTGTTTTCAGTCTTCATCTAAAATGGCGCTCATAAGAGCTGGTCAAGGGCCAGAAAAATCAAAGGGTTAGAAGGAGGAGAGGAAACGGGAACGGTTCCCAGAAATGTCCCCGGTTGATGAGCGCTGTGTTCCAATGTTTCAATATTGGATTTCGACCGGCTCCGGCTCTGATTCCAGATCAGTCCGCGGTTGATCGGCGCTGTAATACTGCGCCGACAAGGCCAGACAACACCGCCAGAGCCATTAATCCCCACGCTGTACCTTCCTAACACAGCGCCGGGGAAGAAGAAATGATGAAGCAGTCACTTTCTCTCCTCTGTGAAGCAAAAAGGCTTTTAAAAATCACAATATGGGGGAAGTGGTGCTCCAATTACACCTTTCTGTGCACAGGCAGGGGAAACGAGGGATGAGGAAGAGAGCGAGATAAAACAGAGTAAAAAAGGATGTGAAAAGGAAATGAAAGGACGAGTGGCGGGGGAGGAGAAGGGGATTGGAAGATCTGTCCGGCGGATAATGAAAAAAGGCTACCTGGTGTCAAAGTAATCCAGGGAACCGGCAGTCAGCCAAATTCAATAACAACAGGAGGAGTGTGTGGGATGGAGGGATGAAAGGGTGCAGCGGGACGGGAGGGGTGATGCAACCGCATCTCAACACCACCCTACAAGCCAACGCCTCCTCGTGATGCATTCATGCAGAGCTGATGAGAAGGGAATAAATGAGCAAAAGACAGGAGAGGAGAAAGGAAGAGGAGGAGGGGGGGGAGATGAAAGGGGGAGGGAAAGAGGTGAGTGACGGGAGGAAGAGGAGAGAAGAGGAAGAGAGGAGGGAACGCTCTATAACTCTGACTCGATGGAGGACGTATCGTCCCCGTACGTCTCCATCGCCTTTCCTAAAGCGCTGCGTGAGACGTCTCCTCACCTTGGAGGGGGCTTTGGTGCTGAGGTTCTCCGGTTTCTCCCAGCAGCGCGTGGACAGGTTCAGGATGGCGGTGGCGGCCATGTGAGCGGCCTCGGCGTCGTGGGAGTAGTCGTAGGCCAAGGAGGAGCTCTTCCCGTAACCCGGGAGACTCGGGGACGGAGACTTGGGGAACGAGGGCTTTGCTGCAGGAGGACGAGAAGTCAACTTCAGACCAGCTGATCGTGCCCTCAACCTCAAACGCTCGGTGGGGCAAAGCCATGCAAACTGCACCCAACATAAGGGTGTAGAGCCAGCAGCCCATACGCTTAGCTTAGCTTAGCATAAACACTGCAAGCAGCTGTCACTCAAAAATCAACCGGCGATCCGCTCTCACTTTTGAAGGCTTTGGGTGGCGTTTCGCTGGCGGGCATCTTTGGAGCAAGCGTGCGCTTCCCGAACACCTGAGCGTCGAAGCTTGCATAATCGAAGGACACCTTGGAGTACTTCTCCAGCTCCTTGGCCAGGTTGGCGCGAGGCGTGGCGGGCGCCATGTTGGGCCGGTAGCTGCCGTACTGAGGCACCTCCAGCTGCTTCACAAAGCACATGGGCCTGAGGAGGAGAGGCAGGAGACGTCAGGAGAGACATAAAGGACAGAGAAGAGGATCGACGCCATAAAGAGTCACACAATCGACCAAAACGTGGAGCAGAGGGAGAGAAATGGAGGAGAGGCGAGGGGCTGTGGAGGCTTTGAGCGGGTGAAGATGGAGGAAAGCGGGTACTTAGCAGCAGCGCGGCCGGATTAAAAGCTTTCTTATCAGCAGAGGGCACATTTGCATGTTGTACAGCATAGAATTTACGAGCTTTAAGCCATCTCGTTTTCCTGGAGAGCCGGGCTTTTGTCAGACCTGTTGGTGTAAGTCCAATGATAGACGGGGGAGAGAGAAGGTACAGAGGAGGAGGAGGACGAGGAGGAGGCTGTACGCCATCAACCCCCTCTGGCCCAGCCTCCTTCTGTCCTCCTCCTCACGCTGTATCACATCTCAGAGTCGCAGGCCGAGCAGAAGACACTGCCACTGACCACAGTGAATCCTGCTTCTCCCTCTCCATCCAACGTGATTCCATCAGAACATCTCATGGAGTTCTTCTGTACCAGACAACCGGGCTCAGATTAAAACAAAGCAAGTTCTGTCTTATTCTGTCTTAATCCAGTCCGCTTTGTCCCACCGCTGATGAGGTTTTCCTCAAGGAAAGCAATTATTTTTCCTATCCGCCTCGCGATGCCCCTGTAACTTACATCATTAGCTTATCGTTGCATAGTTGATTAAAATACCAACGAGGAAGAGCTTGCAGCGTAGTGCCAGGGTCTGGTTAATTATCAGTCTTACATTCAGATAAAGACATCTGACAGTGATGCTTCCCGCTGAACGTTTCAGGACCTCCTGGCTGCAGGGGTCAGGGGTCAGCTCTGCCTCTCCTGGCGAGGGGCCACCACTCAAAGTCAGGGCGGTTCATTCACATCTACGGAGCCCCCAATCCAACAGGTGAACGTCCAGAAAGCTCAGTTCATTAGACATATGTGATGGGAGATAAATGTCCCTCCCATTCTACTATTATTACATTCACACTACATTTGTTGAAGTCTAGATGGTCTTTTGATGGACCTGCTGAAGATAAGAAATACCCTCCATTGTGATACGAGTCGAAGGCTCATCTGAGGTAAAGGCCCTTTTTACTACTCATTGATGCTGAATTAAGAATAAAGAATTATACTTTTGTTTCTCAATTTTCTTCAATTTCCAGGACGTTGAGAAGGAAAGAGCAAATGGACACGCAACGGGGAGCTTTTGTGACGGCCCACCTCAGCACCCGGTCGTTGAGACTCCCTTTGAGCTGCTCGCTGCCGGGCTGGGACAGATGCTGCTTGTCAAGGCCCTTGGACAGCTTCTCTGCAGCAGCGATGGGGCATCCAGAAAGACTGGCGGAGGAAACAAAGGCTGTGACTCTGCATCACGCTGATGTGGACTCTCTGCATGCATGAATATAAGAACTTATACATACCTGCGGTGTGTGTTGCGGTTGCTGTTGACGTGACCCTGACCGGTGCAGCCGGGGGTCGGACACTTCAGCACGTTCTCATGCATGGCCAGAACTACGGAGCAGAAAACACACACACTCAGGGTCAGAGGGTCCAATCTAGACGGTTTAAAACTCTTTTTTCATGTATTGTATGTAAATATCTTGGTTGGGGTGAAGGGTTGCGTCTTATTATTGACATTTATTAACGTCCAGACACCGAGCATCATAAATATTCCCGCTCTTGTTGCAGCTCCTGTCTTTTCTTTTGAACGGCTGCCAAAAAGCAGCTATTAGTTCCATTGAATGTATCGTCTCTAGCAATAAGTCAACACTATAAAATATATATATCTGCAATGAGAAAGACATTGAGACCCAACGTGTGTCCCCCTTTAATCGGTTCAGGACGGTCCCAAAGTAAGAAACACCCGCAGGAGTATGAAGTGAACGGCATTCAGAGAATAGCAGCGGGCATAACAACGGGGCATTAAGCGGACCTGTCGTCATGGCTACGGGAAGATGGCCTCTGACATTTATGTCTGGGGAGATGAGGAAAAACACGGTAACTGCACAATCTGCATAGCTGTGGAGAACCACGTCGGATAAACGCAATTTGAATTTTGATAGCCTGTTAACCTTTTCTACCTGTCAACTGTTGACACGGTTGCCTGATTCCTCCAGCAGAAGCATGAGCGGCGATGACTGAGGCGTGTGCTTAGACCAACATATTATCAGCTGGTACCGCGGTAACGTGTGCGGCGAGCCAGGGCGCTACACTCACTCTCCGGGGGGATCCTGTCCTTGTGCGGACAGCCTGACAAGCTGCGGTGGTGGGGGTAAAGGCCGGTCACGTGACCCGTCCCGTCGCACCCCGGGGTGGGACACTTGATCTCCCTCTTCTCCGGCCTGCTGCTCTCTGCGTGGAGGAGAAGAGGAGAGGAGAAGGTGGGATGAATGAGGAACGCCACCATTTCAGGGAGCTTTTTCTAAACGCCCCTGAGGAAGAAGCGACATCCAATGGTGGAAATGAACCCAGAGCAAAGTTGACCTACTAATCCTGGAGGATCTTGTCGGGACAAAAAGCCACCTACATGTCCCGGGGGAAACCACGGCGCTACGACCTCCACATAATTAAAGAGGTCTCCTCCCTGCTGCTGCTCGTCGTGAGCAGGCCAGAAACAGCAGAGAGCCACAGAACGCCTCCACGCTCTATTGGCCTTCAAATTGAATGCTAACGAGACGTGTATCTCCTAATTAGCGCCGAGTGGAACAGGATCGTCTCCGGGGGGGGGGGGGGAGGCCAAGGAGAGGGCGTCACATACTGCTGTACCGCGAGGAGCGTGACGAGCGGGCAGCGTGCCCACGGTGGGATACAAGGCCTGGACACGTGCAGCACCGGGGAATAAGCTCTGTCCTCTCGAACACGTGTCTCTCGCTGTTGTCCCTCTCTTCAAGCACTTCCCTGGAAATCTATTCAGCTGGAACCACTTCATTCACATCACATCGGAGATCTAAAAGGATCTAAGAGGAGTGCTCTGACTCATCCTGGCTCTTTATTTGGCAAACTGTGTTCATTAGTGCACTGTGCTGCAAACATTTAGTTCAGTACACGACGCGGCGCGCTGGTTCAAAACATGTTGTCTCCGTTGTTTCTGTTTGAAAGAATGAATCACTCACTATTCGTGTCCTCAAGATTCACTCTGCTGAACTATCGCAGTGAACACGGGGACATCGGTGAGCAGGGAGACGTGCAGGGAGACAAGAGCCCTCATGCCTGCAGGCTAAACATGCAGCTAAGGCCGGGGGAGGGTTAGCTTAGCATAACGACTACAGTTGGCTCGCTACGTTTTCTACTTCTAATAAATCCCCTTGCACCCTAAAGCCTCGTTCTTTAGAGGCACGCAATGTGCCAAAGCTTCCTCAGCTGCCGCTCAAAGAAGCTGTTGAGACTCAATCTCGCGCTTCGCAAACAATGATGATGATCATGTATCTGATGCTTTGAACACAATTCCATCCACCTGCGTTTCATTAGGGCAGCTGCAAAGCACATTATCCAAAGAGAAGAGGGGGGTTCTGCTCTTTTGGTGGCAGCGCGACCACACAATGCCAACGTGCCTCACGCCCTACCTTTGCTGAAGTAGCTCTTGCGGATGACGTCCAGGTGCTTGGGCCGGTCGTCCAGGGTGAAGTATCGCTGCTGGTGGATATCTGGCGTGCGGAGCAGCTCCCCGGGCCCGGCCGGCTTCACCTGCTCCGCCTTCAGGGCGATGGCTTGCTCCAGCAGGCCCAGGTTCCCTCGCGTGATGTCAAACATCTCCGACTCGTCCGTCACGGTGGAGCGCTGCGACAGGCTGTCGTCATCATCGCGCTCGTCGTCCCCGTCCGCGTCCTCAAAGTCTCTCTCCTCCGACCGGTCGGATCGCACTTCGATAACGTCGGGAGAGGTGGAGGACACGGCTCTGTGCACCTTATAGTTCTCACCTCTGAGGTTGGGGAAATGGTCTTCTAATGGACTGACCCTGTTTAAGCCGTAGCTCAGAGGAGGGCCGGCCGTGTAGTTCTGAAGCAGGCCAGGTTTATGGAAGTCATATTTGTCTAGTGGACCGGCCCTGCTGTACTTGTCACAGGGACTGGCCCTCAGTGAGTTGTGGTCCTCCAGAGGACTGGCCCTCAGTGACTTGTAGTCCTCCAGAGGACTGGCCCTCAGTGACTTGTGGTCCTGCAGAGGACTGGCCCTCGGTGACTTGTAGTCCTGCAGAGGACTGGCCCTCAGTGACTTGTGGTCCTCCAGAGGACTGGTCCTCAGTGAGTTGTGGTCCTCCAGAGGACTGGTCCTCAGTGAGTTGTGGTCCTCCAGAGGACTGGCCCTCAGTGAGTTGTGGTCCTGCAGAGGACTGGCCCTCAGTGACTTGTGGTCCTCCAGAGGACTGGCCCTCAGTGAGTTGTGGTCCTCCAGAGGACTGGTCCTCAGTGAGTTGTGGTCCTCCAGAGGACTGGCCCTCAGTGAGTTGTGGTCCTCCAGAGGACTGGTCCTCAGTGACTTGTGGTCCTCCAGAGGACTGGCCCTCAGTGACTTGTGGTCCTCCAGAGGACTGGTCCTCAGTGACTTGTGGTCCTCCAGAGGACTGGTCCTCAGTGACTTGTGGTCCTCCAGAGGACTGGCCGTTAGGTCCTCGGCCTTCGTGTGCGTTCCCTGAGCTGCTGCAGTGCTGGTGATGTTGCGGATGGCGGTTGGCACATCAGAATTGGGCAGGTTGTGTCTCACCTCTTTGTGTCTCTCCTCCTCCTTCTCCTCTTCAGCTGAAGGCGCTGCCATGTCTTCCTCCTCTTCTTCGTCACCTTTGATCTGTTGGTGGCGGACATCTTGGGTCAGATGCTGGTGGTTCTCTTGGATCACGTGGCTGCTGCTGTCTGGGCACTCCCCTTTCTTATCTTCTACCTCCTCCTCCTCTACTTCAGCTGCCTCCTCTGATGCCTGAACCTCCTCCTCCTCCTCCTCCTCCTCCTCTCTCTCAGTCATGTTCCCCTCCTGCTCATCCTTTGCGTCTTCCCCCCGTTTGGCTGCCACAGTGACCTCCTCCTCAGTATCCACGGCAACGGGCTGATGAACGGCCGCGGCGGGAGCAAAGCTGTCAGAGACGCGGCCGAGGTGGAGGAGCGAGTCGGCCACCTCCTCTGCGCTCTGAGAGGCCGACCGGCACTCGCGGCGTGCAGGCGGCGCTGGTCCCAGCCTCGGCCCGACGATCACGCACTCCTCGTCTGAGGGAGCAGAAGAAGAGGTCAGAGCAGCTAAAGCCATCGTCAGCCACGTCTCCACCTCCCCCACCTGCTGGTCCCCCACTGGGAAATACAGCTGCTGTGAGGGGGTGTAGCTGCTACGGAGACAACTCGCCTCCTGTAATATTCATGCAGGTCCTTCCATTACAAGATAAACGCGTGTTAGCTTCATTGTTAGCTTAGCTGGACTGTGCTAACAACTTGTATCAGTGGAGAAACCCTCCTCGTGTTCACCAACAGAAGATTATGTTAAGTCTCACACAATAAAGCTTGAGATTAAACTCAATTCTAATTGTTTATCAAAGGAAACCTTCATCAAAGACCTACAAATCATATTTTGTCGCTGATTAAAGGAGCACTAACAGGAATTTAGCACTTCTGAGCTGCACTAAGCCTCCTGTCTCTGGAGGCGCTTTTGGAATAATAATTTAAAGCACACAGGGATGTTATCGTGGACGTTTGGTTAAGGCTTCGTGCTGTTTCATCAACCTGTCATTACTAACTGGAGCGCAGCTGTTGACTTTATGGGAAACTAAAGATCCAGAACCGGCCCGGCCGGTTCCATTTCAGACCCGTCACACAACATGCCGTGTGCGACTTCCTTAACTTTATGCAAGTGCGACACTTAATCAGAGCCTGTGTTATCTTCACGCTCTTCCACTTAATCTCTACATACTGAAGAAGTGACTTAACAATGTGTGTTCCAGGGAGGAACATCTGCAGAGTTTCCTCTCTGGTGAAGAAGAGCAAAGACGACTACGAAGTTAATGTGAGCGTTTTCTTCTCACCTTCATCTGCAGCAAATGAGTTCTCCTCCTTCTGACCCACTTCTTCTTCTTCCCTCTCCTCTTCCTCCTCCACCCGTGTCCCATTCTCCTGTCCGTTTGTCTGTCCATCCTGCAAAGGGTCTTCTGCCATGTCCTCCTCCTCCTCCTCCCCCTTGGTCTCTGCTGTCTCTCCACTCCTCTGTCCCTCGCCCTCGGCCTCGCTGCCGGCGTCGCTCTCGGCGCTGAAGCCCTCGTCCAGGGCCATCCTCAGGGGGGGGGACTTCCTCTTGGCGGCGGGCTGCTCCGCGTCTTGCTCCTGCTCGGCCTCTGCTTCCTCTAAACGCCGCTTTCGGGCCACAGGGCATCCCAGAATGCTGATGGAGGGAGGAAGAAGAGTAAGAACCAAACCAAGACCAGCCCCAAACATCTCACAACACTTCACCGGCTCCATTGGTGACTTCAAGCAGCATGACAGAGGCGTGTTTGGACATGAAGGAGGATGGAGAGGTGTTTTTGGCAGCGAGCATGAGTCAACACACGTGGCCTGGTGGCGTGGGGGGGGGGGTCGGGCTAAGCCGCCTCACTACGACATCACAAGTTGCAGTGGAGGGTGAAATCCAATAACCCCCCTCACTCTCACCTGGGAGATGGTCTACGGACAAAGTGCATCCTGCTGAACACATGTAGACGGCTAATATTTGCCCCTCGGTAAAGAGGAGTCACAAGCCAGTGAGCGCGACCAGGGGGGGCATTAGGTCCAAATAAAACCCCAAGGAGAAGAAGTTCTCCCTGCTGGCCACTGAAAGCTGCATTACTTCACTTACTCAAGGGCCTGGTGAGTCATGAAAACATCCTCAGAGCCTCAGAGTGTCGATTTGAGTTTATTTTTTGCAAAAGAAACTAGTTCCCAATCACAACATCGACTCCCACAACGTTCCATCGTATCGGACCATCAAGACCGGAGACCAGGAACAACTCGCCGGTAGAGAAACAAGAAATAGTCCAGTAAAAAGTAAGAGTTGTGTGTGGATCCAGGTCGTTACTTTAATGCTGAGCTATGCTATGCTATGCTATGCTATGCTATGCTATGCTTTGCTAACTGGCTGTAGCTTCAGTTAAATACATATAAGAGCACTATAGCTCTCATCATCCAACACTCGGCAAGAAAGCAAATAAACCCACTTCCATAAAAGGTCCTTTGAAAGACAGAAAGTCCAGGCGTTACGTTTGTGTTTTTGACAAAGCGGCGCTTCGAGGCAGAGGACAGACGGACAGAGAGGAAGGACCGAACGGTGTGTTTTTAATCCGCCCTACCTTCTGTGTCGTGAGTATCTCCCACTGATATGGCCAGAGCCATTGCATCCCGGGGTGGGGCAGCTGCATGGGATGGATGGAGGTTAGACATATGGTTAAGACATGGTGCCCTTTGCAGAAGCAATGAATCAAGAAAACAAAGAAAAGACATGCAAACTGAGCCGACACGTGCACAAAGATGAGCCCCCGCCAGCGGACGTACGTGTGCATGAACGCGGGCGGCTTCAAGCCGTGCAGAACGTAATATTGCACGTCGTACATCAAGCCTGGCCTGCATCCTGTTACCAGGAGCGATAAGAACCAGCCCGGACCTGCTGTGATCTCCCCTGCTCTGCTCACCAGTCATCCTCAGCTCAGCTCTCCTCTGATTCAGGTTGCCATGACCCCTCAGGACAGCTCATTTCAATTCTAATTAACTCCCCCCAGCAATTGCCCTTTATTACTCCAATTATCCTTAATATTAATTTCACTTATTAAAATGGCTGCATTTGCATTTCAAATGAGGACCTCTCTGCTGCTTTTTATCTTAATCAAGAAATCAAAAGGTCTTTTTTTGGAGTGCGGAGCTCGGATGGATGCTCGGGGGTGAAGTGTGACAAAATGGGAGGGAATGAAGACTGAACCATGGGCCCGTTCCAGACACTCCCTACACCCCTCTCATGGCCTGCTGGGTGTGTTCATGGCAGGAAAGAAGGCCGTTAGAAATCAATCGCAGCTTGTTGGAGGAACTGACCACAAGCTGAGAAGTGCTGACTGTGAGAAATGAAATAATATATATATATATATATATATATATATATATATATATACACATTCTACATCATCTGAAGAGGCGCACACACTGAGTCTACGAGAGCCGCACATAAAAGAACTTTATGAAAGGGATTTGCACAAAGATGAAGGTGTGTTTCCCTACCTCAGCTCTTGTCCTACGAGCTCAATAGGAACTGGGGAGAGAGGGGAGAGGGGGGAGAGGGGGGAGAGGGGGGAGAGAGGGACGGGGGGGAGGAGAAGAAAGACACAGGGAAGGAGAACAAAGGTCAACAACCGCTCCGAAAGCTGCACTGCTAAAAGAACCTCGGATCAATAAATCACAAACACATACGAATCCAATGAGGCCTCAAAAAGAGTTACACGGCTCGCTGCAGGACCGGGAGACGAAGACCTGCATGCACACGCACACACATGCATGGGCAGGGACATAGAGGGGTGGAAGCGCTGGCCTGTGTGTATTCCTTCTCATCGGAGTTCAGCAGGTTGGTGGACAGTGCGTCCAGGGGGCGTCGGAGACACTGAGGACGTCCACAGGGCCGACATGGAGACACAACGCTTCACATTCACACGGGGCACCTTAGCGACACCAATGAAGTCCTTTCACGTTTTCAACCTTCTTTCGAGTCCTAAAATCGTGGAATCTCTGCAAGTCTAAAGTTAATAGAAGATCACAGCTACATGTAGAATAACACGCACACTCTGTACCACACACACACACACACACACACACACACACAAATGGCCTCTGACTTTTCAGGAATAAATGCAGACTTCAGCAACAAGCCATGATTAATTGTTGCACTTTAGTTGTCGTAATTGGCTAAATGAAATTAAAAGGAAAAACTGCCTTCTTCCGTAGAAAAACAGCGTTTTTTCAGGGACATCGTGAAGTGATTGCTTTCAAAACATAAATCACGCACAGCTCACACATGGAGGCATCGATCAGGGTTCAGGGGCCCAACGAGTTTGCAGAAATAGATCCGATTTTTATTTGGAGATAAAGGAGAAAACAACAGGATCCCGGAGAATTGAGTTTGGGCTTCGATATCACGAGCATCAATCACACGTCGGAGCGACCGGCGGTGTCGAGATGCACAGAACACGAGCCTGACGGCCTGTGAGTGTGTGTGCAGCGTCGCTTTCTCCTCCTTTCATCACGCAGCCAGAGGGACTGAACCGTTTCTCCGCCCAGTCAAACATCAACTAACA